TGACATTTATCTTCCTGATCTCGATTCCAAGCCAGTCTGTGACCTCAATATTGTTATCAGTGCAGGCTGCAGTGGTGGGGGAGGATGGGGGCCAAAGACCCAGCCTTGTCATTGGGGAGGGGGCATGAAATATTCGCTCCAAGAAACGTCTGTGACAAAGTCTCAGCCTGTGTCCTTTATTTGCATTGATACACCCCATCCATTACCTTCCTGAACACCAAGCCAGTCTCCTACCCAATTCATCCTTTCTCCACTTCCTTTAGTCCCAGGCAGTCCCTCCGGCTGAGTTGCACACATTCAGTCACTCAGGTACATTTACTGTACACCCATTATATGCCAGGCCCTGTCCTAGGCACTGAGGATGAAGCAGTGAACAGAACAGACAAAACCCCTTTCCCACGAGAAACTTCTGAACTTTATCGTGGAGGAGACAGTAAATGACATGTTCGAAATGATGTGTACTATACAGAAGAATAAAGTGGAGAGGGGGGTACAGTCATTTTTAGCCAGGGTGGTCAGGGATGCCTCACTGAGGAGCTGACATCTGGACAAAGCCTCGAAGGTGAGGGAGTCCTGCGGACGTCTGCAGGGACATTCTAGGTAAAGGGGAACTGTTCCCTGCAAAGCCCTGGGGAGGAGCATGTCTGGTAAGTCTGAGGGACATCGGGGAGTGAGTTTCTGGGGGGGGAGGAAGCAAGGAGGAAGATACTTCAGGGATGAGGGCAGACCTGTGCGGGTCCTTGCAAGCCATCGCATGGACTTTGGTGTTCACCCTGAGTGTGATGGAGATACAGGAAGGCTCCAAGCATGGGAGGGATGTGACCTGACTCAGGTGTTTACACGTTCCCCCTGGCCGCCTGCGGGGAAGACACTGGGAGTGAGTGGGAGGGAGATGGAGAGGCAGCTGCTGTGATGGCCCAGGGGGAGACCAGCACCAAGATCTGCGTGAGAACAGTGGAGGCTGGGAGAAGTGGGCAAGATAACGGATCTATTTTGAAGACAGAATCCACCAACTTAAAGAGTTTACAAAAAAAAAAAAGGAAAGGAATCAAGGCTGTGATTCCAAGGTTCCAACTTGAGCAATCTTTTTTTTTTTTTTTTTTTTAATTTTTTTTCCCCACGTTTATTTATTTTTGGGACAGAGAGAGACAGAGCATGAACGGGGGAGGGGCAGAGAGAGAGGGAGACACAGAACCGGAAATAGGCTCCAGGCTCTGAGCCATCAGCCCAGAGCCCGACGCGGGGCTCAAACTCACGGACCGCGAGATCGTGACCTGGCTGAAGTCGGACGCTTAACCGACTGCGCCACCCAGGCGTCCCAAACTTGAGCAATCTTTAATGTCTTGTTAAAGTCAACAAATGGTCCCAAGTACCCAGCCTTGGGGTAGGCAGGAGCATGCAGGATTAGGTCATGATTTTAACAGCAGCAACAAAAACAGAAGCGGTCCTAACAGCAGTACTAGGTTAAGTGATTAAAAGCAAGGACTTCAGGATCAGGTCTGAGTTTGAGTCCTGGCACCACCATACATACTCTCGGCGGTATCCTCTCTGAACCTCATGTTTCTCCTCCCTAAAATGGATCTGAGATGCTTTAGTAGCACACACAAAATATTCAATATACGTTGTTAGTTACTGAGTACCCCGGGATGTCTACTAAACATGTACGTACAGGACTCATTCTCACGACTAGTTTCATCCTTGTACGGCTAGGAAGCAATTTGGCAGGGAGACACAGGTGGTGAGTGGTGGACTCAAACCCAAATCCTAACCCAGGGTGCAATCTCTTAACCACGACGGGATGTTGCACCTGCTCCCTTTCCAAGGCCTAGGGAGCCAGAGGGGTGAGGGCCCAACTCCCGCATTGCGATCGATGAGACGGAGGGCCTCGCTCTGTTGGGGGTGCGTGTGTGAGGGGGTGAGCCGGGCTTCCTGAGTCCCTGACAGAATTCCAACCCTCAGTTGGAATGGTGGAAACAAGTTTCTGCATTTGGAGCGGAGCTGGGAGGACAACACTTGGTCTAGGGTGCTTCAAGAGCAGAGGGCATCTGAGGGAGGATGAGAAAAAGGAAACCGAAGTTTCTAAGCTGCAGCAATAGCGACACCCGCTGGCCTGTCGCGACAGCTGGGATCCTGAACGCACGCGCGGGATTCACAGAGCTGGGGGGATTCCACGGTCCTGACTGAGTCACCCGAAGGGCGGCGCTCTAGGTCTCCGCGCCGGCAGGTCTAGGGGCGGGTCCTACTGCCTCCTGCACCAATCGGAACGCCGAAGGCCCTTAGGGGCCGATTGGACGGAGCCGCAGCGGGGCGCCGGGCGCGCACGCCGCCCCTTGGGCGGGGCCTCCCTCCGGCCGGCAGGGGGCGCGCGCCTGGAGAACAGGCAAGCTTTCATGGAGGGGGCGGAGGCGGAAGCGCGGGAGTGGGTCGCTGTGGCCCGGGACCTGCAAGCCTTAGGGTAAGGGGAACGGGCGGGGGGAGGTGGTGGCTAGGGGCACAGGAAGGGACAGGTTTGCCCTCAGAAATTCCTACTGACCTCTCCAGCCCCCTCCCGCTGCCTCGGCCCCGCCACAGGTATGAGGGTTTCTCGGGGGCGACGTCGCTGGGCACCTCGTGTCCAGACTTCAGGGCGCTGTGCGCGCGGCTGGCGGCGGAGCTGGCCACTCTGGGCGCCCTGGAGCGGGAGCGGGAGGAGAGCGCGGAGGTGCTGAGGGCCGGCGACGGTACGTGTGGAGCGGGCGGGCCGGAGGGGTGGGGCCGCGGAGGTCGCCGCCGCGCCCTGACGTGTCTCGCCTCCTGCAGGCCCCGGCGCAGAGGAGGAATTCCTGCGACAGTTGGCCGACGTGCTGCGGGAGTTGCATTGCCCGGACCGCGCGCTCTGCGGCGGAGACTGCGCGGCCGCGCTGCGGGAGCGCGGCGCGTGCCTGCGCCTGCTGCGTGAGCCGGGGGCTGGCCCAGGATGCGGAAGTGGGCGAGGCTACAGCCTCTAGAGGGGCGGGCTCAGCACCTTGGGGTGGAGCCAGGGTTCCCCTAAGGGGGCGCAGTCAGAATTGAGGCGGAACCGGAGGGTTGGCGGTGGTGGGGTTAGAATTTTGACGAGAAAGTCCTGATGTTTGAGTGGGTTGGGTTTGCTGTTGCGGGCCAGGTGTTTCCGATGTGGGCCGGGTTCGAAGTGCGAGCGGGGGACAGGGTCTCGAAGTGGGTGGAGCTTATCCTGGAGATAGAGCCGGGGTTCTAGGTGGGCGGAACTAGAAGGCGCGAAGCAGATGGAACTTTCTGACCCCGGTGGGTCGGTGGGTCGGGTGGCAGCCCTCCTTGATTGCACCGCTCCTTTTTCCTTCTTTTAGGCTTTCTCTGTTCAGAACTCCAGGCTGCCCGCCTCCTCCGTCTGTACCCGCGGCTGGATTCCAGCCCCGCACCGCCCTGTGGGGAAGGGGCAGAGGAGGGCGATGACGTGGTTCAGGAACTGGTCCTTACCTTCCAAGCTCTGGGGCTGCCCAGACCTACGCCTGGGACCGCTGCCAGCCGGCTGCTGTGGGAGTTGCATGACAAGGTAGAGAGCTGGAGTCCCTTCCGCACCGGGGCCACCGCGCTTTCCTTGTGGTAGGGGGAGTCCTTTCTCCAAAAGCGGTTCTGGCAGGAGTGCCCCAGCCACGGGGATGTTTTTCTAGAGCAGTGGCCACCATTCTTGATTCCGACGCCTGGGTCTTCAGGACCATGGGGAACTGGAATCCACGGAAAGTACATCTGGTTTCTGCCTAGTCAACCTCAGACTCCTCCTTCTCCCGTCAGATCTCTGAGCTGCTGCCTTTCCTGCCCCCAGGATTCCTGCAGCCCCTCCTCAGCAACCCGCTGGACGCACCCAGATGGGTAAGACTGTGTGTGGCTGTATGCCAACAGCGTCCTCACCCAGAGATGAGAGTCAGGGGGACCCCTGGCATGACTGAGGCCTTTTTCCCAGGAGGCATTGGAGTCTCTGTGCCAAAGGCTGAGAGATCAGTACTGCTGTCGCCGCTGCCTTCTCCTCAAGCGCCTGGACCTCACGACATCTGCCTTCCACTGGAGCGATCGGGCAGAGGTGTGGGCATAGAGGACCTTGGCAGGAGCAGGGAGGACCAGTTTGGGGGCTACGAGTACTGGGAGGAGGAACGAAGGCCGGGAATATTTCCTTATACCAGGTTTTTAGATTCTTGTAAGGTTTGGGGCTCTAGAATGGCAGGGCCTCCAGGGCATTCTAAAATCTAGGGGCCAAGGACATTCTAGAATTCCCAGCTTTGAGCTGGGAGTGTCTTCGGAACTATACATAGCTCTTGTTTAGAGATGTGGGGGGTGAGACCCTAAGTGGAGAAAGAGATGCTTCCAAGATGGCAGATGCCACCTGGGGAGGGCTCTTGGGCACCTTTTCCATGCCTCCGTCCCCAGGCCCAAGGAGAAGCCATGAAGGTAGTGCTGATCCCAATTCGAGAGGCTCTGAGCCCAGAATCAGACGTCTCCATCGCACATGTCCTGGCTGCCCGAGCGGACCTGTCTCGTCTTGTCCCAGCCACCAGCAAGGCTGCCCGCCGAGGGACCTGCTGTGCCATCAACAAGGTGGGCACCTGGGAGTAGGGAAGGGCCCCAGCATCCTTGGCCTTCACACTTGGCTCTCTGGTCTCCGTGTTCATTTTTCTTCCCTGAACCTCAAATCTGATCAACTCTCAGGTGCTTATGGGCAACGTGCCAGACCGAGGGGGCCGTCCAAATGAGCTGGAGGCTCCCATGCCCAGCTGGCAGAGCAGAAGAGAGGACGGAGGTGGGCGGAAGGCAGGCCGCCAGAGCTGGGGTCGCAAGAAGAAGAAGAAGTAAAGGGGAACTGGTGGTCGAGTGGGGGGGATCCTCTCTGCCAATCCTCGCGGAGTCATTTTGAGAGTTTATCTTGGCATCTGGCTCCCAGGCCCCACATCCTCTGTTCCTAAGGTCCCAGAAGTCTTTCCCCCATCCACCACTCAACAGCAAGGACCACGTTCTCTAGAAAATAAATTTAATTTATGACAGCTGTAGGACCTGTCTCTGTGGGGTCAGGCCAGGGGTGCTCAGGTTTGAGAAGGGGTAGGGGTGTCTATGTCCACTGGGTTTCAACAGGCCCCTGTTGCTCTGACCCTCATAGTCCTTTGCTCTTTAGCAACACATCTTTCCCTTCCTGTGGGCATAGGGAAGGAGACATGCCGGCATTGGACGAACAGTTCTCAGGTGCCCACCATGTGCCAGCCCCGTTCTAGGCACCAGGAATACAGTAGCGAAAAGTATAGATTATAAAAACCCCTGCTGTCCTGGAGCTGACATTTCTGGTGACGAGGAGCAGACATTCAACAAGATAAATAGGTAAAAAAGTATTGTTTGTCAGATGGGTAAAGGACTTTGGGGAAAAAACAAAGCAGGAAAACAGAAGCAGGACTGGGGGTGGATTGCAACTTCGAGTATGGTCAGAGGGGCCTCACTGAGAAGGTGACATTTGAGCTAAGTCCCAAAGAGGGAGCCATGGAGGCCTCTGGAAGAGCACTCCAGGCAGAGGGAACTGCCAGTGCAAAGGCCCTGAGGTAGGAGTATTTTTGGCACGTTCAGGGACCATAGGGTTCAGTGTAGCTGAAGCAGGATGAGTAAGGGGGTGGGTGGTGGTAGGTAAGGTCAGAGAGGTGACAAATAGATTGTGGGAGGTGGGCCACAGTGAGGACTCTGGCTTTCCCCCGAGTGAGACCGAGGCGTGGAAGGGCTCTGAGCAGAGGAGGGACTCAGGTGTTCACAGGCTCCCTGTTCCATCTCTACTCCAGCCTTCTCTCCTGTCTCTGGAGCCCCAGAGTTAGGAACTCTGCCCAGCCTATCCCCTCCCATCCTGACCCATGCTGTCAGTGTAGCATATTGGTAAGGAGCTTCCGTTTTAGAGGCAGACAGAAGACCAGGGTTTGAGTCCTGCCTCCAACACTTAGGAGCTCTGCCACCTTAGAGAGCAGCTTAACCTCCCTGGGCCTCGGTTTCCTTATCTGTAAAATGGAGATGTAAGGACTCGGTGAGATGACACTTAGGTCTAAACATATCCACCATGAAACCACACAGATGCTAAGTGCAGGAAAACAGAATACAGGTTGTAGGCACTCTGATGCAAAAGAAGAAACTTTCGGAGTAAGAAATGACAAACTCTTCGCTGAAGGCAGTGTGGATGCGAAGGAGGTGACGCCTTTGGGGGTCCTGCTGGAGGCCGAAGAATAGGACTTGGGACTGACTGTGGGGGAGGTGAGAGAGGTCAGACCCAAGCAGGGTCTAGGAATTCAGCGTGGAGGGCTGGGTGGGCAGGGCCGTCGTTCGAGGGGCACCTGGAAGGAGGAAGACATTGGGTGATGTGGGGAGTGTTTGGTATCTAGGAGAAACTGCGAGGGGGCGGAGCCTCACCCAAACTTCTGTTTAGTGGATGGATGAACGTCCCCAGGGATGTTCTGGCTTTTTTTTTTTTTTTTTTTTTTTTTTAAACTCAATCTGAAGGTCTGTACCTTTGAAGAGTAAAATTTATTCCACTGACATAAATTATAGCTCCTGGTGAATTTGGCCTTATCTTTGTCCTTTTCTTTTTTCTCCTCAAAATTCTTTTTTTTTCTTTTTTTTAAATGTTTATTTATTTTGGAGACAGAGACAGAACATGAGCGGAGAGGGGCAGAGAGAGAGAGGGAGACACAGAATCCGAAGCAGACTCCAGGCTCTAAGCTGTTAGCACAGAGCCTGACGTGGGACTCGAACTCACAAGCTGTGAGATCACGACCCTGAGCTGAAGTCGGATGCTTAACTGACTGAGCCACCCAGGTGCCCCCTCAGAATTCTTCTTCTGTTCTACTAGCGGCTAGCCCCTCTTCCCACCCCACCAGACTGAAATTTTTATTTTTCCCTCAACATTAGAAATTAACCAGTATCTATACTCTCCTATCCAAGCAGTTGAGGACTCTTTCACCTTTTTGCTTTGCTATGCTTTTCCAGATCTGCCTTGGTTCCCCCAAGCAAATGGCCTGGTCTCCCCTGTATCCAGCTGGCGGTAGGGGGGCAGTCCCTCCTCACCGTCTGTGGTTCCCAGGAAGGGTGCGGGGGCTCTGTCTGAGTCCAAGCATGGCGAAGATGGTGCCCCGTCTCCGGCTCCAGGGATAGTGTGTAGGAGAGATTGTCCTCTGTGCCTGTTTGTGGGGTGATGGGCGTGGGTGGCGTGGTTACGACGGGAAGGGCCTTGTGACCTTGAAGTTAATCCCCATCCACCAGGCCTCCTTCCCGGGACTGCCACACCCTGGGTCTTACCACAGCTGGCGTGGGGAGCTGGTGTGGGTGGGCCAGGGGCTCCAGGGGGGCTCACATCGCCCTTGGCCCCTGGCCTTTTCTTACACTCCACCTTCACACGGTCTCTGCAGTGTTTGTGGCAACACAGCCCACAGTCTGAGGCAAGGTCAGCAGTTAGCGGCCAGAGGCCCAGCCTGGGCCCCCCAGCCGCCCAGCCTGTAAGTGCTGGATCCCCTCCCCACCACTGATGCCTCACTCACCCCGACAGCGGTAGCCTTGCTTGGTGACGCCCCAGAGCTGGTAAGAGAAAGCAGAATTGGTTACCTAGGCGAGGGGAGAGGGCTGTGGATGGGGGTGGGGTTGGTCTCTGGAAGCATGGAGACCATGTGGTTTGGGAAATTCTCCAGGCCAGGGGCTTAAGGGGGGATCTGGGGATTAAAGGGATTTGGAGGTTACTGCAAGTCTGGGGAGTCATCTAGGATATTAGAATTAAGTAAAATCTGGAATGAATGAAATGTACATTCTACGGGCAGGGATTGGGTTTCCTGTTGCCTGCTTGAGCCCCCCCCCCCCCCCCCCCAGCCCTCAAGTCCAGAACTGCCTGACACACAGGAGGTACTTACTAAATATTTAGTGAATGAAAAATAGGTTTGGAAAAGTAATCCAAGGTATGTGAATTCGTTTTGGTTTGGAGATTGAGAGATCTGTCCATTATCCAGAATTTGAGGATACCTTCAATTTGAAAGTTATCCAGGGTTTGAATTAATCTGGATCCTAAAGACTTGGAAATTGATTCTGTTTGGAGATAATCTACAGTTTTAGATACCCGTGGTTTGGCAGTGATCCAGGATGGAGATCATCTGGGATTTGGGCATTATCCAGACTTTGGGTATATCCAGTGTTTAGGGTTTACACGGGATGTGGGGATTATTCGAGCCTGGGGGCTTTTCTGGAACTTGGGGATCATCTGGGACTTGGGGACTGTGGGCCCTCCAGGGCAGGGCTGGCCTTTTGAGTCCAGGCCGTAAGGAGTTAGGACTTGGGACTCTTCAGGGGGGATGGGCACTAGGGGTGATGATAGAGGGGCAGGGTGCTCACGAAGCCACTGCAGCTGTCACAGAAGGTGGGCTTGCGGAAGGTGACTTCGTGGAAGGTGTGCAGGAAGGCCAGGCCCAGCTTGGAGCAGATGGCGCTGGCCCGGAGCAGGTACGCCGTCAGCTCTTCTCGGGTGAAGGAGCCATTCCTAGGGGCACAGACCACCTCAGCATGACCAGGAGTCCTGGCAACCCCAGCATCCTCGTCTTTGGGGGACCCAGAGGTCGGGAGTGCTTACCCCGGGCGGGGCGGGGGGTGAAGCCCATGGCAGGCGAAGGGGAAGTTGCCTGAGAATCGCTCAAAGTCCTCCTGAGAGATGGCTCCTCGGCCTTCTGGGTCATAATTCTTGAACACAGACTTCAGGGGAGCATGGGGAGGGCAGAGTAAGGCCAAATCGTGATCCTCAGTCTTAGATCTCGTCCTCTGCGTCGGGACTGTACAGATACCTTCCCTCCCGGCCCCTCCTCACCTCCACCAGCTGCTCCACGTGCTGACCCAGGGTGACCCTGTCAGGCTTGGGTGTCACGCCAGGGGCCCACTCCACCACCAGGGGCGCTTTGAAGGGGGAGGGTGGCTGGGGCAGGGACAGAGGGGCACAGTTAGTCAGTGCATGGGCTGGGGCCGGGGCCAGGGGTCAGGGGTCAGTTCTCACCAGACTCTTGGGGCAGCGGGGCTCCCGGGCGTAAGAAAGCTCATAGATCTCGTCCTCCGTGTAGAAGAGATCCAGGGAAAGCTGCGGGTGGGCAGGGCATTACAGACCCTCCTCTCCAGCCTCTGCCCTCGGCCTGCACCCTGCCCGGATCCCCACTCTCATCCTCCTCCCAAGCCCCTCTTCTCTGGGGACTCCTAGGGTCCTCTCTCCCACCCAGCCACCATTCAGTCTCCACACCCCTGTTCCCTAGTCCAGAAATGCCACCTTCTCACTGAGGCCTTTTTTGGTCCTTTTTAAAATTGTAAACCCCTGTCACTTTCCTTGCTGGTTCCTACTTTGGCCTTCTCTATGGCACTTATCCTCCGAAAGACCGTACGATTTACTCACTTACTTTGTTTTATTGGCTGTCTCTCCACTACCGGGAAGTCAGCCCCACAAGAACAGCAGGAGGTTTTTGTTGTTGTTGTTGTTCTTTTCGTTTTGTTTTGTTTTGTTTTTTCTGACGTGCTCACTGCTGTGAGTCTAAGTGCCTAAAGTAGTGCCTGGCTCGCAGCAGGTGCTCAATAAATATTTGGGCTTGATAGCCTTCTAGAATCAATAAAGCATAGGGCCTTGGGCCCCACTCATCTCAGGGCAAGGCCAGCTTCACAGGCAGGCCCCATACTTTGAAGGGCCCCCATTTCATTTAATGCCCTGCTGTCATCGTCTTGAAATTCTTAAGAATTTTGAACAAGGAGCCCCACATTTTCATTTTGCACCGGCCCTGCAAATTATGTAGCTGGTGGTCCTGTCTTAGGTCTGCAAATCAGTCTTAGACCTCATGGCCTTCAGGATCCCAGTCTCAATTTGTAGCTCCTTGGCAAGGAGGGGGGGAGGATATATATGTTGTTATTTACGTTATATAAATAGAACGTAGCTGGAATCGCACACCCTCAATCTCAGGATGTAGTATGGTGGTTAACACGTTAACACACGGGTTCTGAGGCTGAGCTGCTTGGGTTCAAATGCAGGTTTTACTGCTGTGGGACAGTAGGCAAGTGACTTCACCTTGTGGACCTCAGTTTCCCAATCTGCAGAATGGGCGCCACAAGGGTGCAGACGCTGTCGCGCCCAGGACTGTAAACCCCTGCACCCTCCAGGTGCAGTCTAGGGGCGCCCAGCCTGGGCAGGGGTGGGGCGGGGCGGCTCACCGTGAGCAGATGCAGCAGGTCCTCATTGGCACTGCAGGGCGGGTGCTGCCTCTGGAGGGCTGCCAGCTCCTGCAGCCGCAGGTAGAGGCTGTTGAGTTTGGGGAGGTGCAGGCGGCCGTCTGGCAACCTGTCGGGCTGCGCCTCATGCAGGGACACCAGGTCTTTGAGGTGCACGCCCAGTACCGGCAGCCGGAAGCCCGTGCAGTCAGCCCAGGTGCGGCGGTAACGGGCGTAGTTGTTGTGGGCAGCGAGGAGCTCAGACAGTTCTAGCAGGGCCTGTGGGGGAGGGGCGTATCGGGGGGGGGGGATGTTATGGGGGAGGCCATTTCTGCTCCCTTAGCCACCCGCGTGAGTTCCAGACTCCCAGGGGTCCAGTGGCATTTTGGACAGCTCCCCGAGCCCCCTCCTGTCCCCCATTGGCCTCAGCAACCTCCTCCCCCAAACTGCTTTTCCTTTTGGGTCCCCATTTCAGAAAGCTCCGTATCCCCCATTCCCCAGGCTAGTGATTTTTTTCCAAAACCAAAATCTGATCGTGCGTGCTGTCGTCATTACCAAACCTTCCCAACTCCCCATTGCCATCTGGATAAAGCCCAGACACCTTAGTTCAGCTCGCAGGTCTCATCAGGATCCCCCACCCTGGGCATCTCCAGTCTAATTTCCTGCCAGATCCTGACTTCAGCCATACACTGGACTCATGAGTACCTCACTCTCCCCGTGCACTTCCCAGGACACGCCTAACCCATGCTCCTCCCATGGGTGGCCTAAATTTGGTGTCCTTAGGGGCATCATTTCACTCCCCGCCTGGACTGCAAGTTCTCTGCTACCATCTCTCTTACGTGTCTCCCTCCAGTCCTGCTCAGGACCGGAAACACGGAGTAGAGAGGGGTCAGCATGATGCATGCATGGTTGAGGAGGGAAGAAGGCAGGCAGAGGACAGAGTCTGGGGGTCTGTCGGATTTGGAGGAACAAGGTCTCCAGGTGGCTCCAGGGCCCCTAGGTGGATGGAGGGGATTGGGAGAAAGTGCGGGGTGGTTCAGGATAATTGACCGCTGGAACCCTGGGAGAAGAGTGGGGGTTCACCTTGGTGCTGTCAGGGCTCAGATGAGCATGGGAGTCCTTGAGTCTGGAGATGGCACTGTGACACAGGCCCCCCGTGACCGCCATCAGTGTGTTGAAATTCTGTAGCTGGTGGAGCCTCTAGGAAGGAAGGGTGATGCTGAGATGGTGGGTATCACATGGAGGATAGGCAAAATGGGGTTTCACGTGACAGCATCCAGGTTGAGCTGGGGTGTCAGGCGTATGTGGGTATGGACCAGTGTGGGCATCAGGTTAGATGTGTCAGGCAGGGGTGGGCCGCAAGCAGGTATATGGGCATTAATGGGGCGGGGTGGGGGGTCGAGCAGGTGATAGACTGTCAGTTCAGAGAACAGTGTGGCGGGAGGGGGGTAGTCAGGCAAGTGTGAGGAGTTGGACAGGTTTGGGGACTAGACAGGTGTGGGGGATTCAGACAGATGTCAGGGTGCTGGGCACCTGGGGGTCAGACAGGGAGACAAGACGGCCTGGGCTCTGGGCAGGAGTTAGGAACCGGGCAGAGGTGAATGGGGCCAGAGTGAAATGGAAGGGTCAGAAGGACATGAGAGACAAGTGTGGGGTCAGCCGGGCAACAGGGGCAACTGTCTCATCCTCCTCTTTTTCAAGTTTGCAGAGCAGAGGTCGCTGTGAGGAGGGGGGCCGGGGGGGAGAGCCAGGGAGGAGTGGAAGACACTCAGCGGGAGGAGGCCAGGGGCAGACACTAGAACCTCCAGGTCTTAGGGGCCAGACAGGCGGTCAGGCAGACAGGCGAAGCAGTGCGTTGGAAGACGCGAGAGGAAGGGCGTGGTCTGCGAGGAAGTACGCAAAGGGGCGTGGCCACGGTGGGGGCAGGAGGCTTCCCTTTTCTCCAGAAAGGAGAGAAGGTATCTATTTAGGGAAGGGGAAGAGAGGGATTGTGACACAGTGGGGCTGGGCCAAGGACATACCTGACGTGATGGGGAGGGAAGTATGCAGCCGAAGGGACGGCTGGGGCCTAGAGACCGAGGTGAGGGTGACGCAAACGTGGGGGCATGGAAGAGACGCTTTCACTGCCCCGTAGGCAGAATATTCGGGCATGGGGCTTGGGCAAGGGGGGGGAGCATCGTCAACAGCTACATCTAGGACCAAGGAAGGGAGTGCCGGGGCGGGTTCGACGTGGCGCTATCCAGGCCAGGAAAGAAGCGCACAGTCCGGGTTTAGAACCTCGGGACTGGGGCCTCGGGGGCGGAGTCAGGGTGGGCGTGATGCGAGGGGGCGGGGCCAGGATGTGGATGACGTCACCACTCGCGCGGGTCAGCTGTGGCCGAGGGCAGGGCAGCAGGAATGCGAGGGGGGTTGGGGGGTGGGGTCTGAGAACTGCGGGTGGCGGTTCCCTCAGTCCCTGGGGGCGGGCCTCACCTGTGCCACGTGGATGAACTTGTCCAGCACCTGCGCGCGCTGTGCCGGCCCCGGACGGCTCAGCACCATGACCTGCACCCAGCGGGACACGCTGTTGCTGAGGCCTACGGATCCCTCCAGGGCCGGGCAGCCCCGCACGGAGCCCTGCAAAACGTAGCCCCGCAGATCCTGGGGCTGGGGGTGAGGTGGGCATCAGGGTGGGCAGGGGTGCCGCGGCCTTGCCCTCACACGCCCATCCCCCTAGCAGTCGTGACCTCTGAGGCCCTAGTCTGGCTGTCACATGTCCTTGACGTCACCGTGGCCCTCCCCCTCTGAAGAGAAATATTTAAATAAAGTCAGGCACTGTTCTCAGTCCTTTGTTATATTAACTAATTTAATCCTCACATCAACTCTACGAAGTGAATATCGTGACTATATTATTCACATTTTAGAGATGAGACTGTCGAGGCACAGAGAAGATAACTTGCCCAGGGTCACACAGGCGAGAGTCCGGGTGGGAACCCAGTCTATTGCCCCTATCTGTATACCTGCCTGGTGTGCAGTCAGCAAAAGGAAGAATGGCAAAGAGACACAAAAGCGATTTCTATTTGTTCTGCTCAAGGGGTCAACATTCCATGCCCACATGTACTGCACATGTGTGTGTGTGAACAATCAGGATATTTCCAGATGAAGGAACTGGTGGTGACCTTCCCTTGAAGTGGCGATGGCAATAGCTAATACTTACACACACACACACACACACACACACACACACACACACACGCACTTATATATACCATAAGTATACTTATATAGAGGTTGAAGCATATGAAATGATCATTTGGGTAGGTAAAACATGGCAAAATACTACAATTTCAAATGGTTCTACCAGATAGCATTCAGTCTGGACCGGGCACTGATCCTACGAGGCAGGAACTGTGAAATCCCCCCTTTTTATAGATAATGGAACTGAAGCACAGTGAACTTCAATGCCTCCCGAATAAATTAATAATTAACAAAATATTCTGAGCACTTACTTACTACTGTGCCAGGTAGTGTGACAAGCATTTTTAAGCGGACATTTTAATTGAATTCTCCTGACCATCTACTGAGGTATGGGGACCGCCATCTTATAAATGAGACACGTGAGTCCCAGAGAGGCTGAGAAACGAACTCAAAGTTACACAGATAAGGAGGGGCTGCTGGATTTGAACCCAGGGGTTCTGTCCTCAGTCAGCTTAACTCCTTTTACTGAACCTTCTGGCACCCATCTTGAGAGTCTGAGATCCCTGCTCAAAGCCCATGCCCGGGCCCTCTGACTCTTGGAGGCTCCCCCACTCCTAGCCCTTCCCAGCTCGGGGAGGGCGTCCTCACCGTGATAGCCTGGAAGGAGCGAAACTCCAGGTAAGTGAGATGCTGAGCCAGCTCCTCCGTCTCCAGGTGGTCGAAGAGCAAGGACACTTTGCGCTTTTTGCCGAGGCCTGGGCTGCTCAGAGGGGGCGGGGGGCCAGGGCCCCCGGGGCTCAGGCTGGGGGCAAAGAGGGGCAGGGTACTGGATGGGTGCGGGGTGGAGGATGTGAGGGTGAGGAGAGAGGCGGCCGAACGGGGGTGGGGAGGGCTGACTCACAGGGTGGAGGAGTCTCCCAGGTTCCTCTGGGCAGAGTTGCCCTCCTGCTCCACAGTGGCCCAGAAGCGCCCGATAACCTCTTCTAGCTGAGGCTCTTGATGCACTGTCTCCGGGTGTTGGGTCAGCCAGTACCTGCGGGTGGTTTAGAGACAGGGGTGGGGGTGGGCAAGGTCTCTAAAGGAGGTCTCTTGGGCTGAGGAATCTCGGGCCAGGGGTCTCTGGAAGGTCAGGGTTTGGAGAGGCCCCAGCCTAGGGCTGTCTCTAGAAGTGGGACAGGGGGCCTCTTAACACAGGCTGGGGGATCAGTGGAAGATAAGTTGGGGGGATCTCTTGGAGGTGGAATTGCTAGGAAGCAGGATAGTGGAGGGGTCTCAGGAACTAAGCCGGGGGCCTCTGAGGAGTGAAATTTGGGGAGAACAAGGTGAGGGGGTCTTAAAAGCTAGGCCGGGGTATGTGAGAGGTGGGGGTTTGGGGCATCAGAGCTAGAGGTCTCTGGGCATCAGGTGGGAGAGGGTCTCTAAGAGGTGAGGGTTCTAAGGGGCAGAACTGGGAGGGTCTTAGGAACCAAAGCGGGGCTGGTCTCAGAAGCGGTATTTGGGGGAGCAGGGCTTGGATCTGTGGGGGATTGGGCTGGAGAATCCCCGGGAGGTGTTTTTTGGGGGAAGGAGGCCGGTGGGGACCCCGGGTCATGGGAGTAGCGTTCTTGACCCCACCCTACCTGACCAGGTGGCAGATCTGCAGCCGCCTCAGCTCCTGTGTGTCCCCTGTGGCTTCCTGGTACTTGAGTTCCGGTCAAGGCTCTGCCAACCTGCCTGCTCACCCTGCCCCCATCTTCCAGACCCGCCCGTCTCTGCCCTCCGCCCTCCACCCGCTGCTCGTGGCCCTGGGAGGATATAAGGTCAGCAGGCGGGCAGCGAGGTGGGCGGAAGGCAGCACCCAGCTGTGCATGGCCAGCACCATGTTGAGAACGTGGTCCCCACGGCGCAGGCTGCCAGCTGAGTCTGGGGGCGGGAGGAGGGGACTCTGTGTCAGAATGGCTCCTGGACCAAAGACTGCAGAGTCTCCACAGCCAGTTGGACTAGCTGGTTCCGACTCCGGCTCTACCGGTGACTCCCTGCATGAACTAGGGCAAGCCACTTAGCCTCCTTAGGGTGTCTCAGTTTCCTGGTCTGTGCTGTGCGTAGACCAGCACAGTACCTGGCAAGTCATGGTGTGGATGGAAATAGCATCAGACCTCCTCCTCCTCCACATCTCGGGAAAAAGAAATGCACGTGTTTCTCTCATCCCTAATGTAGTGCTGGAGATTCACTCCGCACACCCTTGCTCCCATTTTATACCCCCGCCCCCCCAAACTGAGGCCTACAGAGAGGTGGGTGCTTTACCACCTGAGGGCCAGGGAGGCTGGCCAGGGAAGGGGACACTCACCGAAGGACTGAATACATTTCTCCAGCAGCTCATCTTCGCTGCAGCCGCCCTCATTCAGCATGCCCAGAGCCATGGAAGCCATGACCTTGCTGATTTCCCGGGGGCTGGGGCATGTCTTGTGGCGCCGGGCCTGTCGGGGCCGGCCCCGCCCCCCTGTCTTTGCTGGGCATTCCTGGTGGGACTTCCTGTGGGCACACCCCCCAGGGAATCATGGGAACCCCTTCCTTTGGGCCGACCCTCAGAATTCTTCTTGACCCCCAAGCCCCGAGGCATTATGGGAGAAGCTTCCCAAAGGCAAAGCCCCAGACGAAGCCTCCTGACCGACCATGGACTCATGGGAGAAAACCCCTGCAGTATTCCAGATAATGGGAGCCCTCTCTTACAGGTAAACTCAAAGGATTACTCCTGCCCCCCTCAGGGAATCGGGAGAAAAGACTCTCAAGACCACCCTGAACCCCCAGGAAATCATGGGAGAAGACCCCCAGGATTACTACAGACCCTACAGGGAATCATAAGAACTCCTTCCTCCAGGCATTGGCTCCAATTCCCCTTAACTATACAGTCCCAAGGCATTTTGGAGAGACTTCCTGTTGGCCGACCCCTGGGACGACTCTTGATCTCCCAGAGAATCATGGGAAAAGACCCCCCCCCAGAATCATTCCTGTCCTCCCCAGGTTCTGCCTTCAGGGAGACTCTTCCCAATTGCCCTTTGCTCTAAAGCACGGCCCGCTCCCTCCCCCAGCCCTCAGGAAAGCAGCAGACCCTGAGATCCCATCTGTCATCCCTCTCCCAGCTGGAGCCCCCACTGAGGTGACACACCCCACCCCAAGACAGTACTTTGGTGGGACCTGAGTCTTAGCCACCAGCCCGGGTCCCTGGATTCGGAGAGAAGATACAGGGGCAAAGTGGCCTCACCAGGGCTCTTCAGAGCTGGGCAGGGTCCCTGGGGCTGAGGCAGCTTCAAGGAAAGTTTAAAAATAACCCTCGCTCTGCCTTGTGCCTCCCTGAGGCTCGTGTTCCAGTTGGGGAAAGAGGGTAATGGAGAGTCAGGGGTGGTGGAGGAAGGAGGCAGCAGAATTCAGGGTGGCACGGCCTTGGCTCTCACAAAATGGGATTAGAGACACTTATGTTGGCTGTGTGACTTTGTGCTGGTCACTTCATTTCTCTGGGCTTCGGTTTCCCCATATGAAAAAGGAGAGTCGTCCTGAGACCTTCCCAAGGAATTTATTATGAACATTCAATGCCTCGCTCTTCAGAAGTGCTAAATAAAGGACTTAGTTCACTCAGGCTGTTAAGTGGCCAGAGATGGGAAGGTTGAACTTGAGATAGAGAGAAAGTGATGGGGCAAACCAGAAGCCAGGCCTGGGGCGTGGGGTGAAATCAGAGACTCTCGTAACGAAGGCACTGCCGTGTCCCAGGGGCATCATAAGGGTTCAGGGAATCAGTATTGACTGTGGTTAGCTGGTATCGACTGAGTTCTGAATACTTTTTATTTTTTATTTATTTTATTTTATTTTTTTCTTTTTCTTTTTCTTTTTCTTTTGGGGGTGCCTGGGTGGCTCAGCCGGTTAAGCGTCCGACTTGGGCTCAGGTCATGATCTCACGGGTCAGTGAGTTCGAGCCCCATGTCGGGCTCTGTGCTGACAGCTCAGAGCCTGGAGCCTGCTTCAGATTCTGTGTCTCCTTCTCTGCCCCTCCCCCGCTCACGCTCTGTGAGCGCTCTCTGTCTCTCTCACACACACAAAATTTTTTTAATGATTTTTTTATTTTTAAGTAATATCTATACCCTACATGAGGCGTGAATTCGCAATCCCGATATCAAGAGTCACATGATCCACCGACTGTGTCAGCCAGGCGCCCAGCAATGTGTTTTACAAGCCCTCCAGGGGGTTCTGATGCACACTTGGGCTTGAGAACCACTAGTCAGACTGTCTCACTGAGGACTTCTGGGAGGAAGACACCAGGGCACAGAGCAGTTAAGTGACTTACATAAGGTCACACAGCCAGAAAATGAGGTAGCCAGGTCTCCACCAGTAAACTGCTGGCTATTATAGGGAGGGGACCCCTTTACCCATCAGAGCCATGCCAGAGGAGGCCGGAGGAGCTACCCAGGCTAGGGACCCAGCCACCATCACGCCTGTGAGGACAGGAGAGCAAGCTTGCCCAGGTGACAGGAAGCCCATTCCAGAAGCTGCTAGGCCCTTACCTGTGGACCGGCTGCTCTCTGGAGTGTCTGGAGCAGCCAGGAGTGGTTTAAGAAGCAGGAGAGCCGCCATGCCCTGCGTCACACTCCCCTCCCCCCGGGGCAGGGCCCTGCGGGAGCCTGGAGTTTCCAGTCCAGGGGCAGGGGGCAGCGAGGGAGCGACTGTGATGGGGAGCGAGGAGGACCCGAGGGAGGACAGAGACAGCCAATCTAGGGAGCAGGGATGAGTGGGGGCGGGGTAGCAGAGGATACAGAGCAGCTCAAACTCCGGAGACAGCGAGGACAAGACCCAGGGGCTCATACAAACGGTCCTGGCCCAGCCAGCGGCTCTGGACTCCCTGCAGCATCTTTCGCCTGGTGCCCCCTGCCCCTGCTCCTGTCGCTGAAGGAGCCCAACACCCTACCAGCCGCCTTAGTACTCCCCGGCCTTCCCACGCAGCCCGAGGCGCGCTGAGGGTGCTCCCAGTCTTCCTGGGGAGGGTCCTCTCACCTCTTGCTGTCTTTCCTGTTCATGCTTCCTGGTGGGGGGAGGGGGTCTTGCCAAAGTCTGGCTCAGTTCTTCCTCCTCCCCAGTGCTCCAGCTTCTTAGCCCCTTGGGAGCTGGGGCCTCCTCTGGTGCTTGGGAAGGAAAGAGGAACTTCCCCTCCCCACCCAGCCCCAGGCCAGGGGGAAGGAAGAGGCTGGGGAGAGACCAAAGGTCCCCCCTCCCCCCACACGGGGATCCCTTCAGGCTGAGGTTTCCGGTGCTGCCAGCCCCCACCCCCAGGCGCCCAGCGGGCTCTCTATCTCCCCCATCTTTTCTGTCTCGAGACCCGAGATTCTCTGTTCCCTCACTGGTCTGTTCTGTCGCTGTCGTACTTCACTGAGAACAGTTATTTTGTTTTTTCTTTAAGTACGCCCAATATGACACATTTATGCGAAAACACGTACTCAGAAGTCGGTATTTCTACAAGGACATGTTCACGTATGTAATACACAAAGGTGTGAGTGGAAAGTCACAAGACATGGTACTTCGTCTATTTCTTATGTTTCTTTTATTCCTGATTTTAGTTTTAATGAGACCATTTGTGTCCCAGAAAACATTTTTACTTTATTACCTTTATTGTGACAAACCCTGAGGCAGCGCCTACTGTATACCACACAATGTTACAGGGGCTTTAAAAAATCAACTAATTTAATCACGACAGAAACTTAAAGACTGTTATTTTATTGTGAAAAACATTATAGATGGATGTAAACCCTCTGGGGAGCCCCTTCCCCATCTCACTGTCCCTCTTAGGCAGGGGACCCGTAGCACATACTGCTGGGGTACATCTGCTCTGTGAGCTATGCATTTGTTGAGGTACATAAATACGCGCTCCTAGAAACAGACTCTTCTTTCGAGTATGTGTTTTTTTTTCCTTTTACCTAAGTGTGTCATGCTTGACATATTTTTAAGTTGACGTACAAAAAAAAAAGCGCAGATCATACGTGTGTAGGGTGATGAATTGTGATAAGCTGAATGTGTCTACGTGACAGTCACGAAGTCAAGAAACAGAACATTCCCATCCTGCACGAGCCCCCTGCATAAGCCCCAACCCAGCGCCTACCTCCTGAAACTTACCAGTAGCCTAATTTCTAGCAGGGTAGTTTTGCCTAGTTTCAAGCTGTTGATAAATGGAATGATTTATTGTGTCTGACTTCTTTTATTTAGTCCTGTTTTCGTGATGCTTTCATGTTATGCCTGGTTGTAGTTTATTCCTTTTTGTTACGGTATAGTCTTCCTTTGTGTGACTATTCCATGATGTATTGATCAATTTCCCCGTAATGGACAGCTGAGAGGCTTCTGGCTTGGGGCTATTGTGACTCAGGCTACTGTGAACATTCTAGCACCTGTCTTTTGCTGAACGTTAAAGGGTGCAGTTCTGTAGGTAGATACCCAGGAGTGGAATAAATAGGTCAGAGTAATTAATATGCTTCTGCCAAACCTAGGATGTTAGTCAATTCAACCAAAGTTCTCTTAGAAGTATATTTTTACTCCTTTCTTTTTTTCACTAAAAGAAGTCACCATGGACTTTTTTTTTCATGCCAGAACATTTAGACAAGCACAGAGCTCATTCTGTTTAGCTTTTCCATTACGTGATATACTGTATGCTCTCAGGCCCTCTCTCTCTCTTCCTCTCCCTACCTCTTTACCGCGGGCCGGGGGGGCCCCCCCAGTCTCAAGCAGTGCCGTCCATGATGTGCTGTCTGTCTGTCAGCCTGTCTCCCTAGTATCTGCGAGGTGATGTAACGCTGTTGGCGGAGTCTAGCTTGTGGTGTCTCCACACCCCTCCTCCTCCCCCAGAAGTCTCAGGGAGGGAGATCAGTAAAGCCCCTCCCTCCCCCCCCCCCCCACCGCAGTAGCGCAGCTCTCAAGACCTGCAGGGATGGTTAAAACCAACAATAACACCATCAACCACAAAGGAAAAGACTTCTGAAGCAAACCACAAAAACTCATAAGACAGAAAAAGGATGCATTTGATAACATCCAAATAACTATTTCTCTTAATGAAGGCACCATGGGACAAATATCCGATAAGATGGCAGAGTGGGACAACGTTTTTAGAATGTCTAAAATCAAGGGGAGGGGCACCTGGGTGGCTCAGTGGGTTAGGTGTCTGATGTCGGCTTGGGTCATGATTTCACAGTTTGTGAGTTCAAGCCGTGTGTCAGGCTCTTTACTGACAGCTCAGAGCCTGCTTCAGATCCTCTGTCTGTCTCTGCCCCTACCTCACTCACGTGCATGTGTTCTTTCTCTCTCTCTCTCTCTCTCTCTCTCTCTCTCTCTCTCTCTGTCTTAAATATAAATAAACATTGGGGCGCCTGGGAGGCTCAGTCGGTTAAGTGACTGACTTCAGGCTCAGGTCACGATCTCACAGTTCCTGGGTTTCGAGCCCCACATCCAGCCCCTCATTGGGCTCTGTGCTGACAGCTCGGAGCCTGGAGCCTGCTTCTGATTCTGTGTCTCCCTGTCTCTCGGCCCCTCCCCTGCTCGCACTCTATCTCTGTCTCTCTCTCAAAAACAAACAAACACTAAAAAAAAAAAAAAAAAATTCAAATATAAATAAACATTAAAGAAATTTAAAAAATCAATGGGAAATTAATCTTTAGAATGTGAAAGTCGCAGCTGCAAATCAGCAAGAGAAACAGCGGCTCTGATAGAAAAATGGGCCAAGAGTGTGAGCAAGTGTGAGCAAACCCAACTCTGACAAGCACCTGAGAAGATGCTAGAAATTCTTGGTAACTGACCAAGGAAGTATAAATTAAAACAACGGTGAGTCACCCTATTGGTCTGGCAAGATTGGAAGTTGAGGACAGTCTCCAGGGAGCTCTGCAAAGCCCCCACAGCCACAGAACAGGTGTCCGTAGAGCTGCATGGGTAGGTCTTAAAACACAGCATGATGACTGACAAAAAAAAAAAAAAAAGAAACACTATTAATATCTTATGATATAATGCACAATGACACAGAATAATTTTGTTATACATACAATTCTAAGGAAAAGCTTAATATTTAACATACCATGTATGTATAATAAGCATATAATTATATCGGACTGTGTAATTACATTAGCCCAAATATATAATTATGTAATTATGCATCATGTAATTCAAGAATATGGTACAAACTTATGTGCTATATATGATGATGGTATTAACATTTCAATATTTAACTATTTAACACATAACAACATATACACATTAACATTTTATGTGTAATTTGAGCTGTAAGGTGTTTTTTGAAATATTTATTTATTTTTGAGAGAGAGAGAGAGAGAGAGAGAGAGACAGAGATAGAATGTGAGCTGGGGAGGGGCAGAGAGAGAGGGAGACACAGAATCCGAAGCAGGCTCCAGGCTCTGAGCTGTCAGCACAGAGCCCGACGCGGGGCTCGAACTCACAAACCACGAAATCATGACCTGAGCTAAAGTCGGACGCTCAACTGACTGAGCCACCCAGGTGCCCCCAAGGTATTGTTTTGTAGAACTTAATAGATACCATTACATGTTAACAATAATTTTAGTATTATCAATAAGTTACCTGTATCAGTAAGTTACTATGTCATAGGCTCTAAAAGGTTCCCCCCCCTTTTTTTTTCCTAAAAGGTTTCCTCATGGGATCTTCCCCATGACCCCCGGTTGTGGGAACTATTCCAAATTCGCCCAAGTGACAGATGAGGAAACTGAAGCCCAGCGCCACAAAGGTGCGTGACTGACAGGAGGCCCAGGTGGGTATGATGTCCTGCACTGGGGCTCCAGGCCCCACAGCTGCCTGTTTTAGGGAGCTGCAGAGCCCCTCCACCTGAGCTCCCCGGAACCTGTGGGGACCGGGAGGAGCCAGTGCCCCCTCCAGGCCCTGGTGGGCCAGAAGCAAGAAAGAGCTGGTTACCCCAAGTCTCCCCTATTTACAAAGCCCAGGGAGCTCAGCTGCATGAAGGGATGGCCCAGCTAGTGGCCCTCAGCGGCTCAGGCTGCCCCTGGGGAGGGAAGTTATAACTTGGGAGTGGCGTGGGTTGGGGGTGCTGGGCCCCACCCTGGGGATTTGGGTTTTTGTTATAATCAGGAGATTTTATGCAACTATCAAGACAACAAAGTGGGACGGTTAAGAACCCTAGCTCTGGGTTCAGACCCTTTGCTCGGCCTCTGTGCGACCTTGGGCAAGTCGCTCCACCTCTCTGCGCTCAGCTTGTCTCATCTGTAAAATGGGCACCACAAGTTACTGACTTCACAAGATTGTTGTGCAAGCTACATCATTCATTCCAGTCGTGTCCTTAAAATTATTCATGGTGAGGACCATGCATTTTGACTTCCTCCTCTAAATGATGGGAACGACAGCAGGATTGGTGTGAGAACCAAACGAGATGCAGTGAAAATATCTTAGTTTGGGGTCTGAAATACAACAGGCCCACGAAAGACACCTCCTATGGCGATTATTCCTGCCTCAGAAGATTTTATCACGATGATGATGATGTCGGCAACACTTCCATAACATTTACTGTGCACTGGTACTAAGTGCTGTAAACACATTATCTCATTTAATCCTTACAAAAGCCCTGTGAGGTCCGTATTATTAATATTCTCCTTACCAGTTGGGGAAACCGAGGCGCCGAGCTGCGATGTGACTTGTCCAAGGACACATAAGGGAGTGGCGAGACTGGGGATTCGGATCCAGACTGTCTAGCTCAGTGCTTTTTTAAGCATGGTGCTTTTTAAAGTCGGGAGACCTGGTGTGCATACCGGCTCCGCTGTAGGACATATAGCAGCGGCTTCCCGGCTCAGAGCCTCAGTTTTCTCTCTGTGAAATGGGACAATGACGGCATCTTCCTTACCAGGGAGGTGGAGAGAGGGCAGCTACCTTCCAGACTCTCCCGCTACAACCCCCCACCCCACCCACGCGTACCTCCGGCCGAGGTTTGGGTCTGCGGGTGGGGCTCCGGTGAGGGGGCGTGGCCTTGGACGTCCTGGCCCAATGGGAACCGGGAGGGGGCGGGGACCTCCTCCCAGCTCTGTCCAGCACGCGAGTCCTCCTCGCAGTTCCATCTACCTCGCGGGTGCCCCAGAGGTCTCCGACCCCAGCCCACCCCCAGCCCACCCGCCCAGCCTGCGGCCCCCTCTTCCTATTCCCCGATCTCAGCCCGCGCCCCTCGGGCCTCGACATCATGGGTGACGGAGGAGAGGGCGAGGATGAGGTCCAGTTTCTGCGGACGGTGAGTATCTCTGTGCTAGGGGTCTCTGGGGTCATCTCTCCGGTCCCTCTGAGTGTCTCTTTGTCTCCGGGTGTCTCTGTCCTGATTGCTCGTAGTCTCTGAGTCTCGCGATCTATTCCTCTGTCCCTTGGGTGACTGTCACGCTGTCTTTCTCCTTTTTTTTGCCCCTCAGTCTTGCTCACCTTTCTCACCATAGAGAATTAGAAGAATTTGGGACTGCAGAATGGGGAGGGGGATCTTCGGCCATCCTCTCTTCTGACATTAGCTATTTGTCCCAGAGAAGAGGGGCCGCTGAGGCAACCCCCCCCCACCACCACCCTGGAAGCCAGCACTTGGGGAAGGTGGTTCTAATTCCTGAGCTTAATTTAGCTGTTCCCCTGCCCTGCCCCTCCCCCCCCCCCCCCATCTAGGCCTAATTCTCTTCTTGCTGTAGACTCTGACCTAATTTAAATTCTAGGGAAGGGGGCTGGGGTGGGCTGGGGCATCTAATTCCTTTGAACTCCCAGCCCTTGAGGGTCTCCTGGGGTTCCCTTGGGTTCCAGGTCTTTCTTCCCTCCTCCCTTTTGGTAGGAGGGCCAAATATGGCTGCTAATGGTCTCTGGGTAGTGTCTCTCCCTATTCATCTCTTTGGGTTGTCTCTGTGTCTCTGTCTCTCCATCTCTGCCTTCCTGTCTCTCGCTGTCTCTGTCTCTTTGTTCTTTAGCTTTAGGCTCTCTGCGTTTCATTCTGCCTCTCTAGCTCTGTCTCTCCTGTCATCTCTGATCCCCGGCTGGGGGGCAGGGATGGGAATTGGAACAACAGGTGTCCCTCCCAGAATAGCTGGCTTTTCTGGGGACTGGGCAGGGGACAGGGAGAGGATAGGGGGGAGGGCCTGTCTATCTCAGAGTCCTTTCCACTTCTCCCTCCCGGTGGCTCAGCTGGGTGTGGGGCTGTGAGTATGGTGGGGGGGATGATGTTCTCTCTTCTGGGCCAGGTCTGCTGACCCTGCACTAGCCCCTCTCCTCCTCCTCCTCCTCCCAGGCCCTGGGAAATGCTGACACAGCATTCCAGGCCCCAGAATAGGACCCTGATGAGCTGGGTCCGGTTTCCTGGGAGGGAGGACCGGACAGCTGGGGTTGGTAGTGAAGGATAGGGACAGCTGGACATTCGGCCACGGGAGGAGGCCTAGCTTCACCCTAGACTCTTGCCCCAGCTCCAGCCCCTTAGCAGACACCATGGGTTGGGCTCGCCCCTCCTCCCTGGTCCTAATAAGACCATAGCCATGGCCATGAGCCCTTAAGCAGCCACTCTGCGTCAGGTCCCATGCCCAGGGCCTCGGCCTCCTGAGATATCTAATTATATCCTCGGCTGCCCTATCTTCTGAGGTAGGGCCCTATCTTTATCTCGCTGGGAGATTTGAGGGAAACCAAGGCCTGAGTGGTAGAATCACTTGCCCAAGGTCAAGGCCAGGAAGTGTCATCTCTGGGTGCCTCTGGGAGCCCGCCTTCCTGCTTTCCCAAGAAGAGAACTGAGCTCAGACTTGCCAGGTTAGCCTGTGCTGGGTTCTGGAGGTCTGGCCCCGGCATCTCTTGTCCCCAGACTAGGTCCTTTTTCGTGAACTTTACTGAGATCACGTGGCTTTTCCCTCAAACGCTCTGGACCACATCCCACCAGTCAGAAATACATTTTATATTGTCACCTACTATGTGCAGATGCACACATATTTTAAAAATCCAACTTCACCGAGGTATAATCGATACCAATAAATTGTGCCCATTTTAGGCGTCCCAATTCAGTGAGTTTCGACAAACTTTACACACCCATGTAACCACCGTCATAATCGAGACACAGAACCTTTCCTTCACCCCGGAAAGTTCCCTCTTTTCCATTCGTCACTTCTAGGCTATCATATACAATATATGCTCCTTTGCCTCTGCTGCTTTTGCCCAGCGCATTTTTGACATTTGTCCATGTGGCGCACATCGAGAGCTCGTTTCTCTTTGTTGCGGAGTGGCGTCGCGCTGTGTGGCTCTGCCACAATTTGTCTATCGGTTTACCTGCCGATGGACATTTGGGTTGCCTCTAATTCGTGCTATTAGGGACAAATGGGGTGAATTCACACACACCTATTTTTAACTGGGACGAGTTTCCTAAAATGTAGGTAGCCCTTGGAGCCGCAGGGCATGTTGCTATGTGCTGTTGTTGCTCCGCTTTATTTCACCTTTTAAGCACGGGGGCACGGCCCCCAAAATGATTTTATTTCCCCTTCGTGGGTGGCGACCTCTAGCCGTGCGAGGCTGGGGTGTCTCAAAGCACGGCCCACGTCAGAGCCTGCTGAGGGCTGGTAATGGTCCCTGTTCCCCGTCCACCCCAGATCCACAGAATCATGCTCTTAGTGTCGGGCGGGAAACTAAGGCAGGCAGGAAGCTGCGTTTGTAACCAGGCCACCTTCCTTCATTCTGCTGCAGGAGAGAGTTAGAGAATCTTGGTGTACTGACTAGGCTTCCAGTCTCTGGGTTACATGCTGGCTTTGCCATTGGCCTGCTTCCTAACTTCGGGCAAGCGATTTTAATGTTTCTCTCTGAGCCTCAGTTTCCTAATCCGGAAAGTGGGGATGAAAATAGGTACCATAAGGACTCAAGGGATCCATGCAAAATGTCTCCGAGCTCATCTCCTCCCGCTTCCTTGCTCGTGCTGCCGGTGCTGCCGCCGCCGCCATCCCGTCTCCCTTTCTATTCCTCAGCGCCCTCAGCGCCCTCCAGCCACAGGCCTTTTGCACAGGCTGCCGCCTCTTCCTGGAACGTTCTTCCCCCAGAGATGAGCAGGCCTGATTTCTTCTTGTTATTTGGACCAGGCTCAGCTCAAATGTCACCTCCTTGGAGAGGCTGTCACTTCACCCCCTCACTGGTGTCACACACCCCTACCCCCAAAGCCACTCTCCTACATCACCCTGGGTTATTTCTTTTCCATAACACTTATCACTGACATTCAAATTATTCACTTGTTTATTGCCTCTCCCCCACACGGATGTCAGCTCTGTGAGGACAGGGACTTTGTCTGCTTCATTCGCTGTTCTGTGTCCAGTCTAGATCAGTGCCTGGTAAGAGCGGATGTTTAATGAACGTCTGTCAAAGGAATGTAAAAGGTCAGAGCGTAAGGCCTCGCAGACAGTAAGTGTTTAATAAGTGCAAGCTCTATGTCCCTGTGCACACGCGAGCGCCCAGCGCGTGCCAGGATGTGGGGGTTGGAGACTAAAGGGCAGAGCAGTTATGGGGCCTCCTGCCGACACATCAAACGTCTCCTTCCTTCCCGGCTGAGGGCAGACGGAGGGCTGTGCGTGTGCTTCGAAGCCCAGGACTGGGGCACGTTTGTGTGAGATGCCGGATGGAAGGGCTGGAGGCCTTGTGGCCTCGGGCGGGACGCCTAACACCCTGGAACCCGTTTCCTCGGCTGTAAAAGGAAACAACCGTTGCCTGACTCAGCGGTGAAGAGCCGGAGTCTGTATCATTCTCGACTGTCGGAAAAGCGTCGGCCACTCCTCCGCGTACATTGATATCAGTGCTAAGTGTAGATACGGGCAACTTTACTAACACGTGAAGAGGTGGCCTAGTGTTCTAAGAGTGTGACACAGAGAGCTGGGATCAAATCCCAGCTATGCTGTGTGACAGCAGTGTGGCCTCTGGGTCCCAGTTTCCACGGGTTTCCGTTCTGGTCACCTCCGAGGGTCGCCGTGGGGATTCCGCAATGAGTTCATATGTGTTAAGTTCTTGGAAGGGGACCCAGCCCCTCGAAAACGCTTTAATTTACTTACAGCTTCAGTTTATAATCTCGAAAGCACCTCAAACTTCGAGAAAAGCTGCAAGGTTACTTCAAAGAACCCCCACGTGGCCTGAAGTCATTTCCCCCACAGGTTAAGATTTGGCACCCTTGATTTATCTCTCCCCCTCCCTCTCTCGGTCTCCACTTCACTTTCCCCCTCAACTCTTTGGGGATAAGTTGCGGACGCGGCACCCTTCACTCCTAAAGTACTTCAGTGTCTGTTTCCGAAGAAGCAAGGGCAGTCGTACGAAACCGCAGCACGGTTATCAACGTCAGGAAGTGCAGCATTGCTCTGATGCCATTATCTGTCGCCGTCCTACCTCGGCGTTTACCGGAGATGACATCGGGTCCATTGCGGCATGTCCCCGCCCACCCTGGATCCAGTCTGGGCTCTGGAGCTGCATTCACATACCCTTAGGAAGAACTCCTCGGGGGCGCCTCGGTGGCTCAGTCAGTTGAGCGTCCAACTCTTTTTTTTTTTTTTTTTTAATTTTTTTTTTCAACGTTTATTTATTTTTGGGACAGAGAGAGACAGAGCATGAACGGGGGAGGGGCAGAGAGAGAGGGAGACACAGAATCGGAAACAGGCTCCAGGCTCTGAGCCATCAGCCCAGAGCCCGACGCGGGGCTCGAACTCACGGACCGCGAGATCGTGACCTGGTTGAAGTCGGACGCTCAACCGACTGCGCCACCCAGGCGCCCCGAGCATCCAACTCTTGATGGCGGCTCAGGGCGTGATCCCAGGGTCGTAGGATCGAGCCCCGTGTGGGGCTCCGCACTGAGCTTGGAGCCTGCTCGGGATTCTCTCTCCCTCTCTCTCTCTCTCTCTGCTCTCTCTAAAATAAAATTTAAAAAAGGGAAAGACAAGAAAGCACTCCTTACATGATAGCCATTACTGAAACAATACACAAAGAGAAATTAGAGAAGGCTGAGCTTAAAAGCCATTGAACTTGGGGTGCTTATAGTTTCCACCCCCAGTGGCTCACCTTGGGGGCCCTACTGGAGCCAGCTGGACTGGGGTTCAAATCCCAGCCCATCCCCTTATCAGCCATGTGGCCTTGGAAAGCTGTGCCCCCTCCTTGAGCCTCAGTTTCCCCATTTTAAAATAGGGATGACACTCGTGCCTGTCTTGTGGGGCGTGAGAAGTGTGTGGAGCCCTGGGCACAGGCTCCTGTGTGATGACTTGTGAGGTGGGTGTTATCAGTCGCCACCTGTCCCGTGAGGAGAGGGGCGGGGTGATGGCGCGGTGTCCGCGGGGCCCTGACCCCGAGCTCTGCCCGCAGGATGACGAAGTGGTCCTGCAATGCAGCGCCACGGTGCTCAAGGAACAGCTCAAGCTCTGCCTGGCGGCCGAGGGCTTTGGCAACCGCCTCTGCTTCCTGGAGCCCACCAGCAATGCCCAGGTGTGTGTGGGAGTGTGGGGGTCTGTGGGGGCAGAGGCCAGGGTCCAAAGAAGAGGGGTGTGGGTCTGAAGAGAGGGTGCTGCTAGGAGAGAAAACGGAGAGGGGCTGGGAGGGAAAAGGGGCTGAAGCTTCCAGGCAGGCGGGAGGGGAGGTCTGAGGAGGGAGAGCAGGGGACCTGAGGGAAGAGGGAGGGTGGCTGGGGGCATGGAGGGCCCTGAGTTCAAGGAAGAGGGGATCTGAAGGTGGCTGCTGATGAGAGAGAAAATGGGGAGGGGGGTGAAAAGGAAAGAGGGCCAGAGGTCTGAGGCAGGTAGGGGTGGAGAAGCAGGGGCTCGGGAGTCTCAGGAGGCAGGTGTCTAAGGGGGCAGAGGGCCTTGGATCCAAAGCCAAAGGCCCTGGAGGGCTGGGGGACACTAGCAGGGGACTGGGGGGCCGAGTGGGAAGGGCGTTAGAGGCTGAGACTGGAGGGAGCCTGGGTCTGAGGGCAAGGTGGACTCAGGGTCTGAGAGAAGAGGTGACCTGGGGGGTGAGGGCAGGGACTGGGAGAGGGAAGGGACGTGGAGTCAGATCACGTCTTGGCCTCAGAGGAGGCCAAGGGTCTGAGTGGGTTAGAGAGTCTTGGGTCCAAAGGGGAGGGTGTCTGGGAGTCAGGGGATTGGGTGGGAGACTGGGGAGGGAGGAGAAAGGTTGGATGTGATTTGGAAGCAGGGTTCACGGGCATGTGAGGGAGAAGGCAGGAGTTGGGAGCGTCTGCTGGTGACAGCAGGAGACGGCGGGGGCGGGGGGGGGGCGGGGAGCTCCTTTGGGATCGCAGAAATTCGGGTTATCTGCAGGGGGCGGCATGTCCCGTGGCGTTGGAACAGGTGCAGCGTGTCTGAGAGAAGGCTGAGGCTCGTTTTGGGATAGGTGGGGGGTGGGAAGCTTCCATGAGGCTCGGCTAGGGTTTAGGTGTTTGAGGGAAGGAGGCCTGTCTTCTGTGTTGCCGGTGTCCGTGGGGGTGGCAGGGTGCAGGGGCTCCTCTGGGGACCGGGGCCAGGTCTGGGTCTCCAAGGGGTGTGGGTATTCAGACCGGCGCTCAGGGGCCTTCGCGCCCCCCACTCACATCCTCCCCAACCGCAGAACGTGCCCCCCGATCTGGCCATCTGTTGCTTCGTCCTGGAGCAGTCTCTGTCGGTCCGGGCCCTGCAGGAGATGCTGGCCAACACGGTGGAGGCTGGCGTGGAGGTGAGGCTCCCGGCCTGGCGGGGCGCGGTGGCAGGGCTGGGTGGGAAGCCACGGGGGTCGTCGCTCACCGCCTGCTCTTCTTCCTCTCTCTGCCCCGCCCCTCACAGGCCCTCAATTTGGATAAGTGGGTAGGTCTGGCCTTGGGTGTCACCTGCCTCTTCCACCTCTCCTGGCCCCAGGCCCTGCTCTTGGGCCCACGTCCTGCACACAGGGGCTGGGGGTCTCCCCCACCCCAGCTGTCAGGGGCTGTGGAGCCCAGACAGGCCAGGCAGGAAGGAAGGAAGGGGGTGGGGGCTTCTGCGCCCCCCCGACCCGTTCCCCCGCCTGCTCCTTTGTCCTCTTTCCCATCCTCCCCTCCGCCCCTGATCCCGGCTCTTCTCCGCATGGGACCTCTCCTCTCACCTCCCCCCTGCCCCAAGTGTGGGTCCTCTCCGCTCCAGGAGTGGGTCTGCCATGTGATCAGGTGGCCCCATCACATGGCGCCCTCAGAGCATGGGCATGTGAGAGCCAGGATGGGAGGCATGACGCCATCGAGCGACCGGGTGTATATCCGATGTACCCACCCCTGGAGGGGCCCAGGCTCCTTGTGCTTCGGCGTGTGTGGCGGCGCAGGGCGGGGTCCCTATGGGGATGTTCAAATATTTAACACCTGGTAGGACTACCCAGGTGCACATGGGCTGCCGCTCAGCTGTCTTATGACAGGTTACGGGGAAAGGGACCAGGATCCACGGAATATGAGTTAGGGGGGACTCTCAGGAGACCAGCCGGAAGAGCGGTTCGGCCTCCCTGAGGGACTCTGGGGCCTGCTCAACAGGATGAAGGAGGCAGGGAGGACAGAGTGGGCTTTGGGAACTAGAAAACAGCCTACCCACAGGCTTCTCAGAGACACAGCCCCTACTTCCATGAATGGGGAAACCGAGGCCAAGAATCTGTTGAGGGTCTGAGCTAAGGCTTTCTCGTGTCCGGGCGAGCATGGTATTTTATGGGGAGCGTATTGCCACGTAGGATAGGCCGGATGCCTGGGGCGGGGCGGGGGGGGGGGGGCGGGTCTCACTCTGTGCCCTCTCTCCACCCCCCCCCCCCTGCAGTCGTCCCAGGGTGGGGGACACAGGACACTCCTGTACGGCCATGCCATCCTGCTCCGGCACACGCACAGCGGCATGGTGAGTGTGAGAGCGAGGGGGCGAGGGCGGGGGCGGGGCGAGGGCAGGGGCGGGGCGAGGGCCGGGAGGAGGCTGACTCCCCTCTGCGATCCTAGTACCTGAGCTGTCTTACCACCTCGCGCTCCATGACTGACAAGCTGGCCTTCGACGTGGGACTCCAGGAAGATGCCACAGGTGTGGGGCTGGAGCGGGGAGGGCGGCGACGGGGGCGCTGCGGCCAGGGGCCGCGGTGGGGAAGGCCCGGCGGGGGCAGGGACGGGGGCGGCGAGGGGGGACCAGCGTGGGGGGACCCGAGGCAGAGAGTGTGAGGGCGGGAGGCAGAGAGGGGGTGGTCGTGATAAGAGAATTGGGGGCCGAGGGCTGGGGACCCCTCGGGGAAGGGCATTCTGGGTGGTCCTCATCCTGACAGCCCTGCCCCCTCCCTAGGGGAGGCCTGTTGGTGGACAGCGCACCCGGCCTCCAAGCAGAGGTCGGAAGGAGAGAAGGTCCGCGTTGGGGACGACCTCATCCTCGTCAGCGTCTCCTCAGAGCGCTACCTGGTGAGCAATCCCGCCCCCCGGCATAGCTACTACTGCCCAGGGCTGGGGGCGCACGGGGTCCCCCGTCTCCCGGTCACTGATTTGCCAGCTCTCTGGCCCCAGTGGTCGGACGCCTGATTCCTGGTTTCCCGACCTGATATCCATTTCTGGTCTTCGGGCCCCGCTGCCCAGTTTGATCTTGGTTTTCCGATCTATGATCTCTGATTTTCTGTCCCCTGTCTGCCGGCTTCCACCTTTGGTTTCCGGCCTCTGACTCCGGACTATTCTCACCCACCGTCTCTGACCGCCACCTCCCGGCCGCCCCCAGCACCTGTCAACGGCCAGCGGGGAGCTCCAGGTGGATGCCTCCTTCATGCAGACACTGTGGAACATGAACCCCATCTGCTCCGGCTGCGAAGAGGGTGAGGGTCCCAGACCTCCTGTCCCTAAACGGAGACCCCCAGAACAGACCTCCCACCTTGCCCCTCAAACATGTCCATACTGACCCCAAATCCAGAACCCTGGAGCTCAGACTCTAAACCCCACACTCAGTATCAGACACCCAAATCTAGACTCCAAAACTCACATGCCCCACTCAAGGTCCTGGAGGGCAGACCCTTAAACTCAGATCCAAAGCTTAGAGCACCGCATTTGGAACTTAGCCCTCAGATCCACAAGCCTTAGATGGCAAATACAGACGGAGACCTCAGCTCCCCACACCCAGACCCCCACATTCAAACTCAGATATCCAAGTCAAGACCTCTAATTCCGACCCCAAATCTCAGCCAACTGACCTCAGATCTCCAAACTTTAACCTCAGACATCTAAAATCATCTTCCAAATTCTTCCCATGCTAAGATCCCAAAGCATGACCCCAAAACTTTGACCCCAGCTCTTAACACCCAAACCCCACACCCAAGCTGAGACTCAAACCACAGATCCTGAAACTCAGGCCTTAATGTCAAACCCAGCAACTTCTAACTCTGAAGCTTCTCCAACTCAGACTTCAAAACTGTCAACGATAACTTCAGACCCCGAACCTCAGAACTCCAAAATCAACCTTCAGAGTTCAGACCCCAACCTCAGACCCAACCATAAAACCTCTAAACCCAGACCCCAAATCAAGACCTGACACTCAGAGCCCAATATCCGGAAACGTTAGACTTAAACCTCTGACCCCCAACCTCAGAAATCCAAACTCAGACCCACATTCCCCCCCCCCAACCTCAGCCCTGTATACCCAGACCCCCAAACTTAGATTCCCCACCTCGGACCCCAAATCTCATACCCCTGCTTCAGGCCTCAAACTTAGCCCAAATCTCAGACTGCCACTTTAGATCCTAAAACTCAGATCCCCAACCTCCCACAGGGGAGAAGCAGGACCCCTGAACTCCACTTTGGCTCCCAGGCCTGTCCAGGGCTCCAGCCCTACAATGATCACTTTCCCTTGCTCCTTTCCAGGCTATGTGACCGGAGGCCACGTCCTTCGCCTCTTTCATGGACACATGGATGAGTGTCTTACCATTTCCCCCGCTGACAGCGAGGACCAGCGCAGGTCTGGGTTGGAGACAAGAGGCCCTGGGGTGTTGGGGCAGGAGGGGAAGGGTAAAAGCAGGCTTGGGGCGCCCGGACCCTATGGGTGGGGTTGGGGATCACATTCTGGGAGGAGGGCGACTGAACCCCTGACCTCACTCTCTCCCGTGTCCCCAGACTCGTCCACTACGAGGGGGGATCTGTGTGTACCCACGCCCGCTCCCTCTGGAGACTGGAGCCACTGAGAATCAGGTGGGAGGGGCTGGGGCTGGGGCTAAGAGCTCCTGGGGGGCCTGGCAGGGGAGAGAGGGTCTTGAAGGAAGATCTGAGAAAGAAACTGGAGGATTTTGAGGGGAAATCTGGGGGGCCCCAGAAGGTGATGAAGGTCTTCAGGGTCCCAGAGTCCTGGAGGAAAAGGACCTAGGGGAGGGTGGGCATTCCTGAGGAGAGATTGGGGCTCCCGAGTAAAAGTGTGGGGAGTAGAGGGAGAGAAAGTGGTGGGTCTGGGGAAACTGGGAGCACTGGGGAGCCCTGAGGAAGTTGTGAGGGCCTGAGATAGGACTGGGGTTCCCAAAGGAGGGCTAGGGGTTCCTAAGAAAGATTTGAGGGCCCCAAGGAAGGTTTGGGCCCCCCTGGAAGAAGGCTGGAGGCTTGATGAGGTTTGGACCAAGACTGTGGTGTCCATGGGAGGACTGGGGGATCCTCTGACCCCCCGGCACCCTCACCCTTTGCAGCTGGAGTGGGAGCCACCTCCGCTGGGGCCAGCCTCTTCGTATCCGGCATGTTACCACTGGGCGGTACCTGGCGCTCACCGAGGACCAGGGCCTGATGGTGGTCGATGCCAGCAAGGCCCACACCAAGGCCACCTCCTTCTGCTTCCGCATCTCCAAGGTCGGTGGGGTCAGGGTGCCCTCCCTCACTTGGGGCCCCAAATCCGGCCCCAGCCTCCATTCTGCAGTCTCTCCCTGATTAAATGCGCAGGCAGAGGAGGCTGACCTCTGTCCCCTACCCCTGCAGGAGAAGCTGGATACGGCCCCCAAGAGGGATGTGGATGGCATGGGTCCCCCTGAGATTAAGTATGGGGAGTCACTGTGCTTTGTGCAGCATGTGGCCTCAGGCCTGTGGCTCACCTATGCGGCCCCGGACCCCAAGGCCCTGAGGCTTGGCGTGCTCAAGAAGAAGGTGGGTGCCTGGCGAGGGGAAGGGGCGGGGGTGCCGGCAGGGGCAGGAAGGAGACCGAGGGGTGATCATGCTTGAGCCTTCAGGAGTTTGAGGGTAGGACTGAGAGAAAGATGGGGACTCAAAGACAAACTGAGATTGAGAGAGGAAAAAGAAAGAGGGATAGATATACAGGGGGGAGAGAGGGAGGGAGAGGAGAAATGGGGTGGAAAGAATGAATAGAGTGAGGGAGAAGGAGAGAGAGGGAGAGGGAGAAAGGGAGAAGGACAGGGAAAGAGAGAGAGGGAGAGAGAAACATAGAGACAGAGAAAAGCAGAGACAAAAAGACATGGAGATGGAAAAACAGAGAAAGAGACAGAGAAGCAGAGATGGAAAAGACAAAAAGAGACAAAGACAGTGACAAACAGACCAAGAATAACATTCGGCAAATTATGGAGTGCCCCAGTTGTTCTAGATGTGCGTGTGGAAAAATAGATGAGATATACAGATCTGTCTCCTGCCCTCCCAGACTCAGACATGGTAAATAAACCACCTGTAATGAAGTACATAGCTTTCCAGCTGAAGATTGGAAAAGCTACTCTGGGCGGAGGGCATGGCATGTGCAAAGGCCCTGAGGTTGGAATGAGGTTGATTTGTTGCAATAACAGAAAGAAGATCCAGTTTGGCTGGAGCGCAGTGATTGAGGGACAAGTCTTGGAAGATAAGGACAGAGAGGAGATGGGAGCAGATCATGTGGGGCCTTGTGGGCCATGGGGAGGGTCCCACCTTTTACTCCTAGTGAGATGGAACCCCAGTAGAGTTTTGAGCAGGCCAGGGCGGTGACCTGACTCAGGTTCCTTAGCTGCTCGTGGGAATAGATGAGTTTGGGGTGAGGCCCAGAGTTGGAGTAGGGAGCCCAGGGAGGCGACTGCTGCCATGGTCAGGTGGGAGAAAACAGTGGACAGGACCAGGGTGGGGAAGGTGGCAGATTATGTTTGTAGCTTGAGGGCGGAGCCAACAGAATTTCCTGACAGACTGGATCTCGAGGTGAGAGGGGCAGGGGTCGAGGATGATGCCATGATTTTTGCCCTGAGCCACTGGAAGGATGGAAATGCCATTAACTGAGTCAGGGACAGCCAAGCGTCAGCAGCTCAGGATGACAGGGGTCCAGTGTGTAGAACAGAGCCCCTCGATAAAGAGTGAATGCCTGGGAAGACTAGGGAGATGCTCGTTTCAAAAAAACGAAGCTTGTAGTTGGATACCTGAGCAGAGGATATAGAAATGGGCCTGGTCCGAGGGAGGTAGTGGGAGCCGTCAGCGGTGGGTGGTATTTACAGCCACAGGACTGGACAAGGTGCTCGGAGGTCAGCTCAGGAGAAAGCTGGAAGATGGTCTCATCTTACAGAGAAGCTTTCAGGCATTCAGCCTGGGACATGTTAAGTGAGGGTGTCATTACACCTTTCTGGTGGGAGGGTGTTAAGTCAGCAGTAGACACAGGTGGAAAGGGTCTGGCCTGGAGACAGACAGATAGACAGGACAGTCAGAGAGGGAGACACAAACACAGAATCAAAGGCGGAGAGAGACAGAAGGCAGAGAGAGATGGAGATACAGACAGAGTGGGAAAGACAGGGAGAAAGAGACAAAGCATGGGGTAGCGATGTGAGACGTAGGGAGAGAGACAAAGACAGGAACAAAGGGGGGCAGGGAGATGGAGCCAGAGGCAGAGGGGAGACGGGGGGGCGGGGCCGGGGGGACACAGAGAATAAGAGTCAGATGAAGAGGGACAGAAGGGGGTGTCTGGCAGAGAGATTCAGTGGAGGATGGGGGCAGCTTTGGGGCTAGAATCTGGATGGAGATCTGGGGGCAGATGATCCGTCTTTGGTGCTGGGCCCACTCCTGACCTCTCTGGGGGGGCCCCCCCCCCCGCTGCCAGGCCATACTGCACCAGGAAGGCCATATGGACGACGCCTTGTCACTGACTCGCTGCCAGCAGGAGGAGTCCCAGGCTGCCCGCATGATTTACAGCACCGCTGGCCTGTACAACCAGTTCGTCAAGTGAGCCACCTGCCCACTCTGCCCCCCCCCGCCCCCTGCGGGGCCACGCCTTGACCCCCAGGCTCCCCGTGGTCATACACCTGACCCCTCTAATCCCACCTCTGACTTCCACACCCCTAACATACACAGGATCCCTAACCTCTAAACCTCTGACTTCTGTACACTTGACCCCTAATCTGACCTTGACAACCATGATTTTGACTTCACATCCCTGATCGCCCCTCACACCCAGATCCTTGATCCTGGACCTCCCCAGCCCTGACACCTGCTTCCACCCACCCCCCCTGTGCTTACACAGGAGTGAGTCCCAGTCCTAGCTCTGTCGCTGGCCACTGTGTGGCCTCAGGCCAATGTCTGTCTGTCTCCGAGTCTCAGTCTCCCCCTCTGTAGAATAGGTGTGTCTGTAAGAGTCCTTTGGGGGCAGGGGGTAGGACTCGCGAGCGCCTCAATGATAGCGCTCGGGGCTCCTGGCTGACAGGTGCGCCGTCCCCACAGGGGCCTGGACAGCTTCAGCGGGAAGCCGCGGGGCTCGGGGCCGCCAGCTGGCACAGCGCTGCCCATCGAGGGTGTCATCCTGAGCCTGCAGGACCTCATCGGCTACTTCGAGCCGCCCTCCGAGGAGCTGCAGCACGAGGAGAAGCAGAGCAAGCTGCGCAGCCTGCGCAACCGCCAGAGCCTCTTCCAGGAGGAGGTGGGGCCGTGGCGAGGGCGGGGCGGGGCCTGTGGACGCGGGGGCGGAGCCTGAGGGAGGGGTGGGGCCGCAGCGATGTTGGGGCGGGGCGGGGCCGCGGCGCGGGGCGGGGCGGAGCCTGAGGGACCTGAAGGCGTCTGTAGTGGTTTCAGAGCCGGCGGCGCCTGTATAAACGGGGCGGGGCCGCAGACCTTCGGGGAACAAGTGAGGGGGCGGGCCTTGAGGAGAATTTGGGGTGGTGGGCGGGGCCTTGGGGGAAAGGCAGGGCGTTTGTCAGAGCAGGGGCGGTGCGGGTGGGAGCGAGTTGCGACCGGAGCGACGCGGGTGGGGCAGGCCTGTTCCCTTACCCCGGAGTGGGGCGGGGCCTAAGCGCAGGTCTGTGCCGAGGCGGAGCCTGTAGAAGCGGCCAGGCCTGGGAAGAAGTCTGAGGATGCGGCTGCGGGACTCAGGAGTCCGGGGGGGTGGGGAATGGTGTCTGTGGGGGCTCGGCCCGCAGTTGGGAGGACTGAACCAGAGTGGGGCATGGGAGGAGGGGCAGGGCCAGAGGTGGGTTTTGGGGCGTCAGGGAGGGTCCTCTGCTGGAGTCAGGAGCTGGGGGGTCCGTGTGTTCTGAGAGCAAGAAGGGAAAAGATGTGGAGCGGGCTCCGCCCAGCAGGGGGTCAGAGTGAGGGGGACCGCACGGGGTGGGAGGAGGGGACTGGACAAAGGCCCGGGGGTCTGATGTCCCCACCGGGTGATAGGGGAGCATGTTCGTTTAAAGGCTAACAACTGACCCTCCTCCTCTCCAGGGACTCCCCAATCTGATCCAAAAGTGATAATAGTAACAATAACGAAACTTATTTGTGGAGTGGAATTAATATAGGCCAAACGTTTAGAACCGTGCCAGCACGTAGCAGATGATATATAGGTGTTAGTGGTTATTATTACTTTGAATTTGGCCATTATTGTGTGCTAAGGGTGCTATATACATGACATCCTCCTGATAACCCTATGGGGGTTGTAATTCTCATATTACAGATGGACCACAGAAGCTCAGAGAGATTAAATAACAGCCACCTATCTCCCCAACAAATATGCCAAGGGATACAGCTGTCAACAAAACAGACAAAAATCTCTGTCTTTCTGGAACTGACATGTGGGGAGGATAGATGATGATCAATAAAATAAGAAAATTACATGGTATATAAGATGATAAGTACTGAGAAAAAAATAAAGGAGGGAAGTAGGGAGTGCTGGGGTTGTTGCAACTTAAAATAGAGTGGTCTTGGGGTGCCTGGGTGGCTCAGCTGGTTAAGCATCCAACTATTCGTCTTGGCTCAGGTCATGATCTCACAGTTTGTGGGTTTGAGCCCCACCTCAGACTCCGTGCTGACAGTGCAGAGCCTGCTTGAGATTCTCTCTCCTTCTCTCTCTGCCCCTCCCTTGCTCGCTCTCTCTGTCCTGCTCTCAAAAATAAATAAACTTAAAAAAATTTTTTAAATCCTTAAAACAGAGTGATCAGTGGGCGCCTGGGTGGCTCAGTCGGTTGAGCGTCCAAACTCTTGATTTCCGCTTAGGTCACAATCTCAGGATCGTGGGATTGAGCCTAGCACTGAGCACCAAGTGTGGAGTCTGCTTGGGATGCTCGCTCTCCTTCTTTCTCTGCCCCTCCCCTGCTCACGCGTGCTCTCTCAAAATAAATAAATAAACTTAAAAGAAAAGTAAAACAGGGGCACCTGGATGGCTCAGTGGGTTGAGCGCCTGACTCTTGGTTTCAGTTCAGGTCACCATCTCACGATTTCGTGGGTTCGAGTCCTGCGTCCAGCTCTTCACTGCCAGGGCAGAGCCTGCTTGGGATTCTCTGTCTTTTTCTCTCTGTCTCTCCCCCACTTGTGCTGTCGCTGTCTCTCTCAGAATAAATAAACTTTTTTTTTTTTTAATTTTTTTTTCAACGTTTATTTATTTTTGGGACAGAGAGAGACAGAGCATGAACGGGCGAGGGGCAGAGAGAGAGGGAGACACAGAATCAGAAACAGGCTCCAGGCTCTGAGCCATCAGCCCAGAGCCCGACGCGGGGCTCGAACTCACGGACCGCGAGATCGTGACCTGGCTGAAGTCGGACGCCCAACCGACTGCGCCACCCAGGCGCCCCCAGAATAAATAAACTTTAAAAAAATAAAAAATAAATAAAATAGACTGGTCAGGGAGGGGACCTGAGTGAAGAGAGGCAGCCACATGTACACCTGGGGGAGGGACAGAGAGGAGACAAAGGGGAGAGCAAGTGCACAGGGAGTGTGCTTGGCAGGTTCTAGAACCATGAGGAGGCCAGGGCGACTGGGACAGGGTGAGCTAGGGGCAGAGTGGGAGGAGATGAGGGCAGAGGGGTGACGAAGGCCAGGCTCTGGGTGAGGACTTTCACTTTGGGAGCCACAAGAGGGATAGGTTCCCTAAAATCACAACTAGTTAATGACGCAGCCACTCTGTGTGACTCCAACCGCCCTCTACCCCCGTGTGCTGCCTCTCTTACTAGTGATAGGGGCCCCCAGCATAGAGACACAGTGATTGTCACAGTAGCACTATAGGTAATGGCCAAAAGCTAGAAACAGCCCAAATGTCCACCACCAGCATGGATCCGCAAATGTTGCGTGTTCACACACACAGCGGATATAGGTACTACTCCACAACGAAAATGAAGGGACTACAGACACGTGAAACGGTGCTCTTGAACTTAAAATATAACACCCAGCAAAAGACTCCATGTCCAGAAGAATACTTATTGTGTATGCCAAGTTCAAAAACAGGCAAAACTCAATTAGACTGTTTACTGATGCATACATAGGCGGCAAAAATAGAAAAGCAAGGAGAGGATTTCTACAAAAGCCAGGACAGCGGTTATTCCTAGCAGAGAGGTTTGTGTGGTCAGGAGGGGCATCCAGGCGACTTCTGCGTGGCTGGCGGTGTTCTCTTTCCGGGCTTGGGTCCCGGTTGCCCAGGTGTTCTTTGTATCTGTTGAGCCATACACGTTTGATCTTTGGTGTGCACAGATCTGCCTTTGCAAATTTGCCTGCTTGCTAAAATCTATTTTTTTAAAATTTTTTTTTTCAACGTTTATTTATTTTTGGGACAGAGAGAGACAGAGCATGAACGGGGGAGGGGCAGAGAGAGAGGGAGACACAGAATCGGAAACAGGCTCCAGGCTCTGAGCCATCAGCCCAGAGCCCGACGCGGGGCTCGAACTCACGGACCGCGAGATCGTGACCTGGTTGAAGTCGGACACTCAACCGACTGCGCCACCCAGGCGCCCCTCTAAAATCTATTTGTGACCCTCACATCAATACTTGCAGCATCTTCGTGGTCATTCGTGAACATGTGCGGAGTGGCAAAAAAATTTGTGTCGGTGGCCCTCATGTTCCCGGCTGAGGCTAAACAACAGGGTGATGCTGCGCCTTCTTGTTTTGGCACTCGGCCTGTAAACAGGTGTCCTTTTCATAGTATATTTAGTGCCACATTTTCCACACGCTGGTGTTTTTTTGTTGAGTTCGCTGTTTAAAGTGGCCCCCGAGTGTAGCGCTAACGTTCTGTCTAGTGCTCTCGAGGGCAAGAGGCTGTAGTGGGCCTTATGGAGAAAATAAGGGGGGGGAATATGCTTCATTTAGGAGGAGTTAGAGTGCTGTTGGCCGTGAATTTAATGTTAATGCATCAACAATATATATTAAATCAGTGTCTTTAAACGGACACACATATGTGCCAAGATTATGTATTGATTGACGAAAACGTGACTCAGAGCAACTCCCTGTGTTTTCCCCGGGAGAAGTGAGTGGTTCAGGATTTGCTAACTCCATGTTCATGGTGACTTTATAGAACCTAACTACCGCGAATAACAAGAACTGACTGTATGTATTATTGTATGTGCTTTTCTGTATGCCTGTTATAATTCACAATAAGAGAAGACAAAGTTTAAAATGTAAAATGAAAAAAAAAAAAATCTCTTGGGTGGTTGGTGCGGAGAGTAAACTGAGCCAGTTAGGACCCAGAGTGGGATGCTTGGAAGTGGATAGGATGGAAAGAAAACTTCGGGAAGGAAAAGCACAGTCAGTCCTGATGGTTTTTTTTTTTTTTAATGTTTATTTTAATTTTGAGAGAGAGAGCACAAGCAAGGGAGAGGCAGAGAGAGAGGGAGACACAGAATCCGAAGTAGGCTCCAGGCTCTGAGCTGTCAGCACAGAGTCGGACGCGGGGCTTGAGCCCACGAACCATGGGATCATGACCTGAACCAAAGTTGGACGCCTAATTGACTGAACCACCCAGGGGCCGCAGTCCTGACGTTAATAAGGACGTATTATGTTGGGAACCAAGGCAGAGAGGACAAGGACGGATGTGGGGAGCTGAGGAGGAGAGGAGGGTGATGGGAGTGAACGGGAACGTGGAGCTAATGTTGTTGGATCTGGGAACATAGTTGCTGGTTGTTGAAGTTAAATGAATTAGCAAATCCAAGAAGGGCAAGGAAGAGAGGGCCTGGACTCCCATGGTGACCCGCCCATTTTCCCCACCCTAGGGGATGCTCTCCCTGGTCCTGAACTGCATTGACCGCCTAAATGTCTACACCACGGCTGCCCACTTTGCCGAATTTGCAGGGGAGGAGGCAGCCGAGTCCTGGAAAGAGATTGTGAACCTGCTCTATGAACTCCTGGGTAAGGGGCCCGGTTCTGGCTTCCCCTAGAGCACCCCAGCTCCTCAGTGCCATGGGGTCTGACGCCTCTTTTCCGCCCTCAGCCTCTCTGATCCGTGGCAATCGTACCAACTGTGCCCTCTTCTCCACCAACCTGGACTGGCTGGTCAGCAAGCTCGATCGGCTGGAGGCCTCCTCTGGTAGGAGAACCCAGGGGGAGGGGACAGGGGCTGGCACAGGGGAGGGCCGCAGTCACTCGCCTACCATTCTGCCACCTGCACAGGGATCCTGGAGGTGCTGTACTGTGTCCTGATCGAGAGTCCTGAGGTCCTGAATATCATCCAGGAGAACCACATCAAGTCCATCATCTCCCTCCTGGACAAGCACGGGAGGAACCACAAGGTTGGCCCCTCGCCCTGACCTCTCATCCCCTGAACTCTGAACCCTGACCTTTTCCCAGGGCCCCGGAATTCTCCACCTCCCTCACTCTCTTTCTCCGCCCCATCTTGTCTCTTACCTGGACTCCACTCCCACATGCTTCCATCTCAACACAAGGGTCTTAAACTTACGGTTCTTAAATGGATTCTGGGCCACAGATGTGCTTCATTAGATCTCTGCAACATTTTTATTTTTTAATTTCTGATTTTGTAGTCTTTAGGTGGGCTGCATATACGCCCTCCAGCTCGCCACAGGTCCTACCTGTTTCTGAGAGAGACAGAGAGACAGAATGTGAGTCGGGGCGGGGCAGAGAGAGAGAGGGAGACGCAGACACAGGATCGAAGCAGGCTCCAGGCTCCGAGCTGTCGGCACAGAGCCCGACGCGGGGCTCGAACTCACAGACCGCGAGATCGTGACTTGAGCCGAAGTCGGACGCTCAACCGACTGAGCCACCCAGGCGCCCCGCCCCACTGAACAATTTCTAAGCACCTCACATATGTACATTATCCATCTGGCACCAGCCCCTGCTGATCTAAAATCTCCTCCTGACCCCCCTGCTCTCACTAACCAACCTTTTCCCTCCTCCCTCTGACTCCTCACCTCCTACTCCAGTCCCTCCTTCCTTAACACTGCTGACGTCTTACCCCAGATCCTGCGGCCCCCCGCCTGACCTTTCTCTTTGACCCTTGACCTTCCTCTGTGAGCCCTGACCTCGCACTTCCACCACCTCCTTGCCCATCAAAATCTCCACCTCTTGTCCTGGCACATTATCCTTAACTTCTGACTTTCCACCCCGGATTCCCCGCCCTGGTGCTCTCACAACCTGACCTCTGACCTTGACCTCCAGGTGCTCGATGTGCTGTGTTCCCTCTGTGTGTGCAATGGCGTGGCCGTGCGCTCCAACCAAGATCTCATTACCGAGAACTTGCTCCCTGGCCGTGAGCTTCTGCTGCAGACAAGCCTCATCAACTATGTCACCAGGTCTGGCCCGTAACCCCTGACCCCAGCCTGACCTCACCCTGACCCCAGACCTCTTAACCCTTTCCCAGATCAGAGACTCCACACTCAGGTGGATGTCCCTTTCTCGGTCTTCCACCCCAAGACTTAACACCTGGTCCTCACAGATGTCCTCTCTTGCCCCAGCTCACCCCCGGCCCCCCCTCCTCTTGTCCTCTCTCCCTCTTCCATTTCTGCCTCTGTCAGTTCCTCTCTCTTTCTCTTTTTCTGCATTTGCTCCTTTTGCTATCTATCTCCCTCTGTATCTGTCTCTATTTCTCTTCCATTTCATTTTCTCTGTCTCTCACCCATCTCCCTCTGTTTTTTGAGGTCTCTGTCTCTGCTTTCTCTCTCTCTGTCTCCATGTCTCTGCCTTCTGTTCTTCCTGTGTGTATCTCTCCTTCTCTTCTCCCTTCCCCCCCCACCCCTGCAACAACCTGGCTTTGCTCCCCACCTCTCCCTCACCCCCTCTCCTGTCCCATCTTCCCTGCAGCATCCGCCCCAACATCTTTGTGGGCCGAGCAGAGGGCTCCACACAGTACGGCAAATGGTACTTTGAGGTGATGGTGGACGAGGTGGCTCCGTTCCTGACAGCTCAGGCCACCCACCTGCGGGTGGGCTGGGCCCTCACTGAGGGCTACAGCCCTTACCCCGGTGGCGGCGAGGGCTGGGGCGGCAACGGGGTCGGTGATGACCTCTATTCCTACGGATTTGATGGGCTGCACCTCTGGACAGGTACCTGACCCTTCCGGGGGCCCTCATCCCCGATCATTGGCCCCAGAGCTTCTCAGACTCTCACCATACACCTTAGGCTTCTTGGGATCTTGATCCCCACAAGAGGCCAAATTTTGACCTCTGGTTCCTAATTTTCCAAGACCCCAACCCTAACGCTTCCAGAATCTTGCCCCTAACCTGCTTCCTCCTAGTCTCCAGAACTCTGGCCCCAGGAGATGTATGATCTCTGACCCCAGAGATCCTTGAAAACTGCCCAGATCATTATGACTTCTAACCTTTGACTTCCAGCCCCCAAGGGTTCCAGTATTCTAACTCCAGGGTGACTGTAATCTCTGACTCCACAGCTCTCAAGACCCTAACCTCAGGGGAACCTTGACCTCCTCCCTTATCTCAGAGATCCAGGACCCTCCATGGGAACACTTGACCTTAGGGTTTCCAGGATCCAGATCCCATGAGATTCTCTAATATCTGCCTCTTGCCTCTTGAGACCATTAGACTCTGACCAGTAAGGTCTTGAGACCCCTGACTTTTGACTCTTCCCTGTGACCCTGGTGCAGGACACGTGGCACGCCCAGTGACTTCCCCAGGGCAGCACCTCCTGGCCCCTGAGGATGTCGTCAGCTGCTGCCTGGACCTCAGCGTGCCATCCATCTCCTTCCGAATCAATGGCTGTCCTGTGCAGGGCGTCTTTGAGGCCTTCAACCTGGATGGACTCTTCTTCCCTGTTGTCAGTTTCTCGGCTGGTGTCAAGTGAGGACTTGCCTTTGCCCCTTGCCAGGCCCCAGACCTGGGACTGTCCCAAAACACCTTCCCTAGTTACAACATGGCCCACTATAAGGCCAGGAGCCTACCCTCACTGGGCAGCCTACCCTCAGGACTGACTGGTCAGATCCTTATGAGAAGGTCCCAGTGATCTCTACATGGTCCCAAACACTTTAGTGTCCTCCCATTGATCCAGACCCTCCCAAAGACCTCAGCTTCTTCCCAACCCCATATCCTTCCAGCGACTTTCACGTGTCCTCCAAATTGCACAATGACCTTCTAATAACTCTTCCAGGGGCGCCTGGGTGGCTTAGTCGGTTAAGTGTCCGACTTCGGCTCAGGTCATGATCTCGTGGTCCGTGAGTTCGAGCCCCGCGTCGGGCTCTGTGCTGACAGCTCAGAGCCTGGAGCCTGTTTCAGATTCTGTGTCTCCCTCTCTCTGACCCTCCCCCATTCATGCTCTGTCTCTCTCTGTCTCAAAAATAAATAAATGTTAAAAAAATTTTTTTTAAATAACTCTTCCAGTTAATTCCCAAATGATGTTAGACTCTCCCAATGACTCTATGTCGTTCCAGTGACCTCCAAATGACTCCAGAACCTGACAGCTCTCTTCCAATGACCCAGACCCTCCCAATGACCCCCCAAATTATCTTGGATTCTCCCAATGATTCCATGCTTTTAACCGCTTTTCAGTGATCCCAGCATCTCCCAGTGATCTTCTAATTACTCCATGATCCCCCAGTAACCATAATTCCTCAATATCCCCAGTTATTTCAAAGGTCTCTCAGTAACTCAGTCTTTTCCCAATGATCCCAAGCTCTGTAAAGAGCTTCCCAGTGTCCATTCAGTGGTGATTAGGGTTATCTCATAGTTACACCAGATTTTCCGTGATTTCCGGATGACCTTCTTGGTCTCCCAGAAACCTTCCAGTATCCCCAAACATTCTATTGAGCCAAGGTCTATTCCAGTGGATCTTTCTATGACCTTGCATTAACTCCCAATGAACCCACACTTTCCTTTTTTTTTTTTTAATGTTTATTTATTTTTGAGAGAGAGAGAGAGCACAAGTGGGGAGGGGCAGAGAGAGAGAGAGAGAGAGAGAGAGGGAGACAGAGTCCAAAGCAGGCTCCAGGCTCTGAGCTGTCAGCACAGAGCCTGACGCAGGGCTCGAACTCACAAGCTGTGAGATCATGACCCAAGCTGAAGTTGGACGTTCAACCGACTGAGCCACCCAGGTGCCCCCTCCTTTTTTGATTTTCCACTGATTCTCGTTGACCTCAGACCTTCTCTTTGACCTTAAATGACCTCCATGACTCCATGGCTGCCCGGTGATCTTTTCCAGAACTTTCCACAGATCCCAGGATTGCTCCCTTACCCCCACTGAGCACAGATTCTCTTTGTAATCTGCCTCACCAGTGACCCCACTCTCCCACTCAGGGTACGGTTCCTTCTTGGTGGCCGTCATGGCGAATTCAAGTTCCTCCCTCCACCTGGCTATGCCCCATGCCATGAAGCTGTGCTCCCTCGAGAGCGACTTCATCTGGAGCCCATCAAGGAGTATCGGCGGGAGGGGCCTCGAGGGCCCCACCTGGTGGGCCCCAGCCGCTGCCTCTCACACACTGACTTTGTGCCCTGCCCTGTGGACACTGTCCAGGTACTGCCTGCCCTGCAAGGGTTTCCTGGTGAGACAAACTCCCTTAGGAGTCAGGGAGGTGGGGAGCTGATTTGGAAGCTGGGAATCTTGTTGTTTAACAACAGATTGGGAAGCTGAGGCAGAGTGGAGGCAAAGAACTCTAGGAAGACAGAATCCCACTTTCTGGGGGTCCTCACTATAGCCCCCTAAAGAAAGGACAATTATTAAAGTTTTTGGGTTTTTTTTTTTTTTTTTTGAGAGAGAGCATGAGAGCATGTGCACACACACCAGGGAGGGTCAGAGAGAGTCCTGAGCAGGCTCTGTGCCCACAGCACAGAGCCCCATGTGGGGTTCAATCTCACAAACCGTGAGAACCATGACCTGAGCTGAAATCAAGAGTTGGATGCTCACCCGCCTGAGCCAACCAGGCGCCCCAAGAAAAGACTATTATTTCCCCTGATTTATAGATGAGGAAAGTGAGACCCAGAGGAGTTAAGCAACCTATATAAGCCACACAGCTGATTTGAACCCATGTGCGGATTCCAAAGTTTGAGATCTTTTCCACTAGTCTGTTGGCATCCCTTCCGTCTGGGCCTTCCCACTCCTCCTGTCCCAACTTGAACTCCCCACCCCCCCCCAAACATGTCCCTATTGGAGGCCACATAAGTTGTGTTCAAGAGCCTGACCACGAGGGTCTGATTTTCTGTGTGTTACCGTACGTATGTGGCTTTACTTCTCTGTGCCTCAGTTTCCTCATCTGTGAGGAAAGGGGGATAACAACAGAACCTACCTTGTCTCACAGTTGTGGAGGTCAGATGAATTAATATCTGTGAAGCGCTCAGCACGGTCCTGAGTAAATAGGAAGGACTCAATACAGTTAGTGTTATCAGTAGCAATAGTGATATTATTTCATGGTGAACTAGCCATCCCCTGTAGCCAGGACAGAGCCTGGACCCCCTTCTGGATGTCTCCCTCCTGCTCCCCCAGCTTCTCAGCCTCATGGGCTGTCCACTTGGCCTCCTGGACATCCCTCCCACCCCCTCTGCTTCCCCCCATGGCCTGCCCTGGTCCGAACCATCATTATCTCTTGTCTGTAGAACACTAACAACATAAATATTTATTATGCACCCACTGTGTGCCAGGCACTTACATAAACTACGTAGGATTGAGTAGTTATCTGGATTATATCACTGAATCCTTATGAGGTAAGTATTGTTCTGATCCTCATCGTACAAAGAAGGAAAGAGACTCACCCGTTCATTCAGCAACCACTTTCCAAGCATCTCCTCTGAGCCTGGCTGTGGGATGGGCTGGGGAAGTGGTGGAAACTGAGGCAGCCCCAGGCCCTGTCCTCATGGAACAACCAGTCCAAAGGGGGAGAGAGTCCCAATTCCTAGATAATTCCTTAATTCCATGATTCGAAGTCCTTACTCAGTTGGACTGAGTGTCAACCCTGGAGTCAGGTGATGGTGATGAGGAGCAGGGCTCAGAATAGCAGGGAAAATCTGGGCGAACCGTCCAGGGCTTATACGTGTCCTTGGGGAGAGGGGTCATGATGCAGCCTGGAAGGAACACAGGGATCTCACGAACGTTCCCTGCCCCCAGATCGTCCTGCCTCCCCATCTGGAACGCATTCGGGAGAAGCTGGCAGAGAACATCCATGAACTCTGGGCGCTGACTCGCATCGAGCAGGGCTGGACCTATGGCCCGGTGAGGGGCCGCCTGCAGCATGAGGGACTCAGGCTAGACTTGCCATTGGGGGAGTGAGCAGGGAGGGGCCAGTGGTTGGGGGAAGGGACTTTAGGGCACCAGGGCGTCCTTGGGGTTCTTGTGGCAGAACTAAGGGCAGGAGGTCAGGGGCCACAGTCTGGGAGTGTTGGGGGGAGGGAAGGGACCCTGAAAGTTGACACTGGGGTTTCTCCAGGTTCGGGATGACAATAAGAGGCTGCACCCGTGTCTTGTGGACTTCCACAGCCTACCAGAGCCCGAGAGGAATTACAACCTGCAGATGTCGGGGGAGACGCTCAAGTGAGGGGGGGCGCAGGGAGCAGGGGCCTGGGACCGACTGCTGGTGAGGAGGAGGGCAAGGAGAGACAGGGATTGTGAAGCAGAGACAGACAGCTAGAGAGACTAGAGAGCTAGTCAGTAAGAGAGAGAGAGAGACGTGGAATCAGGGAAAGAAGTAAGTGGACAGGAAAAGATGGGCACCGTCAAAGAGATACAGAGACAAAGAAGCAACGCCAGACAGGAGCCAGAGAGACAGAGACTGAGACAGAGGGATGGGGACAGACACCCAGAAAGTCAGAGCAAGAGATGTGAGAAACCGACAAGGGCGGGGGAGGAGGGAAGCCGGGCTGGGGGAGGGGAGGCCAGGGGCAGGAAGGCTATGTGAGGTGACACTGCCCTGCCACCCTGCCCCAGGACTCTGCTGGCACTGGGCTGCCATGTGGGCATGGCGGATGAGAAGGCGGAGGACAACCTCAAGAAGACCAAACTCCCCAAGACGTGAGTGCCGGTGGCCCGGGTCCCTCTGGGGAACAGAGCTTGGGGGGGGGGGGGGGGGGGGATGACGTGATAAGGGCTGGGCAGTTGAGGGGTCTTGTATGACGCTGAGGTCAGAGACAAAGCGTCATAGGTTAGGGTGAAGGTCATAGGACAAGGTGTCAGGGCCTGGAGTCAGTGGTGAGTGTCCTGAGGAAGTGTCAGGATTATGGAGGCAGGAGTCCCAGAGGGACAGTGGGTGTGAGTCAGGACCCAAGGTCAAGGTCTGCCATGGAATCAGGGAAAATGAGAGAACAGAGGTAATTTCTCCAAGTCAGAGTCAAGGAGTCAATAGAAAGAGGTGAGAAGCTGTTGGAGTCATAAGTGAGGGACCCTAAAATTATAGGTGAGAGGTCCTTGGGGATAGAGGTCAGCGTTCAGAGGTCAAGGACTCTAAAGCCAGGAATTTAAAGTGATAGAGTTCTGAGGTCAGCGGTAAGAAATCTCAAAGTTAGAAGTGAGAGGTCAGAGTTCCAGGGTTGAAGAGGAGGCTGCCAAAATCACAATGCAGGGGTCAGAGAGGCCAGAGGTCAGTGACATGAAAGCCCTTGCTAGGCTCACAGGATCCTGGGTAAAGAAGCCAAGTATCTCAAAGCTTATTCAACAGAGTCATAGAAGCCTGATGTCAGAGATCAAAGGTCAGCAATTCCAAAACTCAGAGCTCAGGATCATGGAATCCTGGAGCAAGGGTCAGAAGTCAGAGATCCCACTGAGCAGAGCCCAGAGGTGGAGGTGAGGGTCTCATCTCACCAAGCCCTGCCACACCCACAGGTACATGATGAGCAATGGGTACAAGCCGGCGCCACTAGACCTGAGCCACGTGCGGCTGACACCGGCGCAGATGACGCTGGTGGACCGGCTGGCAGAGAATGGGCACAACGTGTGGGCACGAGACCGTGTGGCCCAGGGCTGGAGCTACAGCGCTGTGCAGGACATCCCAGCGCGCCGAAACCCTCGCCTCGTGCCCTATCGGCTGCTGGACGAGGCCACCAAGCGCAGCAACCGGGACAGCCTCTGCCAGGCCGTGCGCACCCTGCTGGGCTATGGCTACAACATTGAGCCGCCTGACCAGGAGCCCAGTGAGTGCAGACCTCAGGTCCCTGACCCTGACTCCTACCGTGATGCGGACCTCGTTCCTTGACCCTTGATTTCTGACCTGACTCAGCCCCTGAATGGGCTACATCTACCACATTGAGCCTCTCTGCACTCCATAACCGTGACCCTTACTCTGACCCCGACCTGAACCCAATCTTGACCACTGACCTTCATCATACACAAGCCCTGCCTGGGCTATGGCTATAACACTGAGCTGCCAGGTCAGGAGCCCAGTGAGCACTATCCCTAATCCCTGACTCCAATTCCTGACCCCCAACACTGACTCCTAACCTCTAACCTCTGGACCATAGCTTCAACATGACCCAGCTTCAACATGACCCAGCCAAGAGCTCAGAGAGCTTCTAACCCCTACCCTTACCCTGACCCCTGACCTATCCCAATCCCAACCTCAACCACCCATCCTGGCTGTGGTCCCCAACTCCAATTTCTCTCCCCTCCTAGAGCCTGACTCTGACACTCTCTCCCTGATCTGGCTCTAGATGCTTAAATCTAAACATCGACCCTAATCTTGACCCTTAACCCTAGACCATGACAGTGACAGACCCGACTTTCTGTCTCTGTCAGCATCTCTTCTCTCAGGGCTCTGACTGCTAAGAAGAGGGGGTGGGGGAGGAGTCTCACTGAGTAGGTCCTTTCCACTTCTGGCTAGTCTGAGATTCACCAGTTCTTCTCCTATAACACCAAGAAATCGTCCCTCTTCCCCCAGCCCCCCGAGGCCCTTACCTTCTCTGGTGTCTCCCACCAACCTCTCAGTGCCTTGGGATCCACTCCCCACCCAGTCTCTGACTCTGCTTGGCCCCTGACTCTGTAGGTCAGGTGGAGAGCCAGTCTCGTTGGGACCGGGTGCGCATCTTCCGGGCAGAGAAATCCTACGCGGTGCAGAGCGGCCGCTGGTACTTTGAGTTCGAGGCAGTCACCACCGGTGAGATGCGAGTGGGCTGGGCGAGGCCTGAGCTGCGGCCTGACGTGGAGCTGGGAGCTGACGAGCTGGCCTATGTCTTCAATGGGCACCGCGTGGGTACTCCCTGGGCTCCCTTCTGCCAGGCCCTGTGGTCCCTCCGCACAGCTCATACACTCCAGCCCTGCCTCTGTCTGTGCCCCACTGTCCACTCATCCCTGATCTGCCTTACCACTCGTCCATCTGTTCATCCATCCCTCTCTGTCCATGCACATATCTATCCATCATCCATCTTTCCATCCAACCAGCCGTCTATTCATCCATCCACCTATCCACAAATCCGACTACCCACCCATCTACTCATCTGCCCAAATAACCACTTACCCATCCACATTTCCATCCGTTTATTCATTTTTTTGTTAGTTTAGCCATTCACTTATTTAAGCAATTTGTGATTTCACTTATTGATCAAATCATTTGCATGCATCCATCCACTCATCCATTTATCCACCTGTCCACCTATCTATCCATCCATCTACCCACCCACTCATCCATCTATCTGTCTATAATCTGGTCGTGCACCCTACTTCCCATCCATCCATCTCGTTGTCCATTTACCTATTCTGGGGGCATATAGGTATATGTGAGTCTGTAGAGGGGACATTGGTAGGTTCACTTTTCCCTTCCATCCCTCTAACTTACCACGGCCCTGAACCCCCGACTACCACTTTGGTGGTCTGCATAACCCTAGCACCAGCCATGGAAAGAGTAGAGAACGCAAGCAGAAGGGATGGGATACAGAGATCAGTGGGAAGGGAAAGCATGAAAACCTATCCTTTACATTCCAAAGATCATGGATGCAAATATGGGAAAAGATGGGAACCCTGTGGGGGTGACCCCTTGTCTGTCCCACATGTCTTGAACCCAGTGCCTTGCATGTGTATCTTTACATGTCTCTCCTTGCTTCTGCATGTCTCCATTTCTCTGTGTCTCTCTCACCCCACATCTTCCCCTCACCTCCTCACAGGGCCAGCGCTGGCACTTGGGCAGTGAACCGTTTGGGCGTCCCTGGCAGTCAGGCGATGTCGTGGGCTGCATGATCGACCTCACAGAGAACACCATTATCTTCACCCTCAATGGCGAGGTCCTGATGTCCGATTCAGGCTCTGAAACGGCCTTCCGGGAAATTGAGGTTGGGGATGGTAAGGGCTGGCCTCGTGGCCCCTTTCTGGTTTTCTTTCATCTGACCCTACACTGCATCCCTAGTCTCCCCCTTTCCATCCTTTCCTTCCACAGTACCTCCTCCCCTCCTGCTCCCACCCTGCCCACCTATCCTCACCCCTGCCCATCCATCCCCTCCCACCAGGCTTCCTGCCTGTCTGCAGCTTGGGACCTGGTCAGGTGGGTCACCTGAACCTGGGCCAGGATGTGAGCTCCCTGCGGTTCTTTGCCATCTGTGGCCTCCAGGAAGGCTTTGAGCCATTCGCCATCAACATGCAGCGCCCGGTCACCACCTGGTTCAGCAAAAGCCTTCCCCAATTTGAGGCTGTACCCCTTGAGCACCCCCACTATGAGGTGAGGACTGACCCCACTCAATACCCTCTGATCTGCTTCCAAACCTCATTCTTCCCACAATTCTCTTCCCCAAGTGTCTCCTTTTCTTCTGTGTTAGCCCACAAACCATGTAGAAGGGCATGTTGGGACAGTTGAGCTCCCAGGGCTACCTTGTCCGGTATAACCTCAGCAAACTACAACCTGTCTGAGCTCCAGGGGCCTTGCCTATAAAATAGGGGGAGGGGAAAAAAGAAGAGCTGGATTAATCCCTCCCCCCCCCCCACTTCTGAATCATTTAAATACATTGGAGACATCATGCCTTTTTTTTTTTTTTTTTTTTAATGTAAACTCTATGCCCAGCGTGGGGCTTGAACTCAGGACCCTAAGCTCAAGAGTTGCCCACTCTACCAACAGAGCCAGCCAGTCGCCCCCATGATGGTTCTTTATCCCTAAACATTTCAATATGCATTTCTTCAGAACAGGCTATGCTCTTACAGAACTGCAATTACAGAAGTCAGGTCATGAAAATCAGGAAATTTAACACCAATACGTACTATTACTTAATTCATAATCTGTATTCAAATTTTAGTAATTGTGGTGATTAAAAAATTTTTTTTCGTACAGAATCAAATCCAGGATTACATGTTGCATTGAGTTGTTATGTCTCTTTATTCTTTTAATAATTATTTTTAAAAATTTTTTTGAGGGGGGGAGAGAGAAAGCATGAACATGAGCAGGGGAAGGGCAGAGTGAGAGGGAGAGAGAGAATCTTAAGCAGGCTCCATACTGGGCATGGAGCCAGATGCAGGACCCGATTTCGTGACCAATTGTGAGATCATGACCCGAGCTAAAATCAAGAGTTGGATGTTCAACCAACTGAGCTACCCACACTCTCCTCTTTATTCTTTAATGTAGAACGTTCCTGAGTCTGTCTTTGTCTTTCATGACATTAACATTTTGGAGAGTACACACCAGTTATTTTGCAGAATAGCTCTCATTTTGGTTTGCTGAATGTTGCCACATGATTAGGTACAAGTTACACCTATTTGGCAGAAATACCAAGACATTGTGTCCTGCCTGATGGAGAATATCAGGAGGCACATAATGTCATTATGTCTTATTACCAATTACATTAATTTTGACTGTTTGATTTAGGTGGAGTCTCTCAGATTTCTCCACCATAAATTACTTTTTTCTCTTTGTAATTAATCAATAATTTGTGGGGAGGCATTTTGCAACTAGGTGAGAATGGATGGGTTTAAAGCAGGGGAATGTCCAGTTTGGATGTGACTTTTGGAAAGGTCTCCATTGAGAATGGATTGTAGGGGACAATAGCAGAGGCAGAAAGACCAGAGCCAGAGGAGGGAGAGGCTGGTGGAACAGATGTGGACCTCCTAATTCCTGCTACTGCCAGATGTGTTCTCAACCCAAAGAACAGAATGCTAGACAGCCATGAGAATGAATAGACTAACCTACACACAACCATCTGGGTGAATCTCACAGACATAATCCCGAGAGAAAGAGGCCAGGCACAGGGTGCCTGGGTGGCTCAGTCAGTTAAGCGTCAGGACACTTGATTTAGGCTCAGGTCATGATCTCATGGTTCGAGTGATTGGGCCCTGCATCTGAGCTGACAGGGCAGAGCCTGCTTGGGATTCTCTCTCTCTCCTTCTCTCTCTGCCTGCATCCCCCTCCCCCATCTCAGCAATAAATAGATAAACATTTTAAAAAATTTAAAAAGGAAAGGAGCCAGACACAAAACACATCTTGTGGGATCCCATTCGTAGAAAGTTCAAGAACAGGCAGAGCTAATTTATGGTGTGCTAAATCAGGAGGATGTTACCGTGAAAGAATACCTCTGAAGTTTAGTTACTTTGCACACAAATCACAGGAGGGAGATGGTCAGTAGACTCTTGCCCAAGAGCAAAACAGGGTCTATAAGAGATGGGAGAGAGTAGAGAAAAAGACCCTGCAGACATTCTGAGAACAGCAAATCTTGGCCACAGTTTCTGGGTAAAATGTGTTGACTGGCAGAAAGGGAGCACAGAGGTCTTGGTATTTGGTCTTTGAAGAGAGACATCAAAGAGTGGGAACCACTCCAGTTGTTTATGGAGTCTCCAGAAAACCTTGGAGAGCCTGTCTTTGGAACGTAGAGGCCAGGCACCTGCTCTCTGTCAGCTCCTGCCTCTTGTTTAAGCCAGGCTGGTACATTTCTCTCATCAGAATCCCTCACTGCCTTTGAGAGAGTGGTGTCTAAGTGGGCACCAAGAGGGATCCTGAGGGACTTGGTCAATTTTGTTTCTCCATCTGGGTGCTGGGCACACAGGTGGGGCCACTCTATAACCTCGTCATGTTGTGCATTATGACACGCCCCCTTTCCTTAATGTTGTGTCTCCATATACAGAAAGTTTAGCAAAAGTTCATCTGGGGAGCCTTTACAAAACTCTGCCCCAAGAGACCAGGAGGGCAGGGCCTTGGTCCTGTTCACTGATGTGTTCCTGGCACTTGGAACAGTGCCTGGCACACAGTAGGCTCTCAGTAAGTATTTGTGGAATGGATGGATGGGTGGATGACTTAGTCTGGAGTGAGACGCACAGGTAGGTCCTGGAAACTCCCAAAGTGATTCCAGTGGATTCCAGTGTCTGACCAGGGCTGCCACTGTACAGGTGCCTAGACAGAGATTGGCAGAGGGCTGAACGCACCCCACAGCCAAGCTGTGTGTCCCACAGGGAGCGCATCCACCCAGAGGAGCGAGTCTGGCTGATTCTCATACACGTGCTCTAAGGCCTAACGGTGGCTCTGTGAGTACCAGGTTTTGGACCCGTGGCCTAGCCTGCCTGCCTGGCTCAGTCTTCCTGCTTCCCTTCAGGTGGCCCGCGTGGATGGCACTGTGGATACACCGCCCTGCCTGCGCCTGAGCCACCGCACCTGGGGCTCCCAGAACAGTCTCGTGGAGATGCTCTTTCTCCGGCTCAGCCTTCCGGTCCAGTTCCACCAGCACTTCCGCTGCACGGCTGGGGCCACGCCCCTGGCGCCCCCAGGCCTGCAGCCCCCCGCCGAGGATGAGGTCAGAGCGGCAGAACCCGACCCGGACTATGAAAACCTGCGCCGCTCAGCGGGGCGCTGGGGCGAGGCTGAGGGGGCCAAAGAAGGAACTGCCAAGGAGGGGGCACCCGGGGGCAACGCCCAGGCTGGGGCAGAGGCCCCGCCCGCCAGGGTGGAGAACGAGAAGGATGCTACCACAGAGAAGAACAAGAAGAGAGGGTGAGTCAAGGGTGGGGCCAGGGTGGGGTTTGGGACCCCCAATTAGGTAACCTCAATAACTTGAGGACCCCCAATGTATCCCAGAGTGGCCCCATATATGTTAAGAGGAGTCAGAACACTGAGGGAGACTATCATGCCTCAAGTGAACCCCATTATTTTCCTGGGATGCCCTCATTTCCTTGAGAATGTAAAATCAGAGTACCCCACTACATCTATGGAGAACTCCACTATCCTTGGGGGTACCTAATGGGCCTCAAAGCATTTCACCCAATGGACTTCATTATCCATGGACACTGTAGTGGACAGACACTAAAATATCATGGGAGAGTTGATGGTACCCCAGGGTATAACAGTGAACACCACTGGTCTTCTAGCTTGGGGTCACTTCTCTGTCTCAAATGTGCCCCCAAAAAGCTAACTTCAAAGGAGACTCTCAAAAGGCATTAAACCTGATTTGAAGCAAATGTGTTTTCCTCTACTAGGCAGTGGTTTTCAATGGGATGTAGTTCTGTGTCTCTTAGCGGGTGTTTGGACGTGATGGACGATGCTGGTCATCACGGTTCGTTGAGGTGGTGGTACTGCTCCAGGAATCCTACATGCCTTCAGTGTATAAGACAGTACCACACAATGAAGAATTGTCCTTTCCCAAATGCCTTTAGCACCCATATGAGAAATGCGGACTTGGGGAACCACTGTATGCCCCAAAGGGAACCTCCATGTTCCCAGAGGCACTTTTAAATCTGGGTGACTGGGTATCAGTAAGCACAGAGCACAGCATCTCCAGAATGGATTATGCTGACACAGCTGGGAGTTTTATCCTTCAAGAGGCGAGGTCTTGGGCATTAGAAATGGGATGTATTTAGGATAGACGTGGGGGCCATGAATGTTGTGGTGAAGAGGCCTGGGGGGACTGGGCTTGAAAGCTGGCTCTCACGGTAGCCTTTCCTCATCACCAGGTTCTTATTCAAGGCCAAGAAGGCCGCCATGATGACCCAACCACCAGCCACTCCCACTCTGCCTCGACTCCCTCGAGAGGTGGTGCCTGCCGACAACCGTGATGACCCCGAGATCATCCTCAATACCACCACGGTGTGAACCCGGGGCCCTTAACTCCGAGACCCCTCAGATTTCCAAATTTCATGCTGCCATCTCTAGTAATTTCCCTTCCTGGGGACACCCTGATATATACTGAAGTCCACGAAATAGAGCACACACTGTTTTAATCCCTTGAACCCCTGAATCCGTATAGCTAGGGGTCTAAAAATTGCAGGGAACACCATGAAGCTATAAGGCACACTGATAAAACTCCCAGGGATCCCAGAATCCAGAGTATATAGCAATGTAGGCTTGGGACCTCAATATTTGGGTTCACCCATATAAACTCGATACCCCCAAATTTAATAGCTACTCTAGTATATTCCTGGGAAGCAAAATTGACAATTATCTCAATAAAGTTTAGGGATTTCCCAAATCTGGAATGTTTTCTGAGACAGGTAGCTTCGTGGTTAGGATTATGGGCTACCTGGGTGCCAAGTGGGTAAGTCACCTCAACTGCTCTCTATGCCTTCTCCTTTATGGAAGCTTTATGGTTCTCCCATCAGTAAAATGAGGATAAAAGTTGTACCCACTTGATGGTGATTATAAAAGTTAAGTAAATTAACTTGTGAACTGTTTGTTAACTATTATTTATCAGTAACTTTGCGATTTGGAGAGGGACCCAAATTTGGGGGTATCACAAATAGTCCCAGAGGATTCCCAAGTCTAAAAATATATCAGTAGACACAGAAACAGGGACATAGACCCAGGGGGTCTCAAAACCAGTAATTTATTGTTGAACTCCCAGAGGACACTGCAAATCCAGAGAGGCCAACTTAGAGTCCCAGGGAAGCCCTGTGTCACCCGCCTTCCAGACTGACCATTGATCCCCCTTTGCCTCTCTAGTACTATTACTCCGTGAGGGTCTTCGCTGGCCAGGAGCCCAGCTGTGTGTGGGTGGGCTGGGTCACCCCCGACTACCATCAACACGACATGAACTTCGACCTCAGCAAGGTCCGGGCAGTGACGGTGACCATGGGGGACGAACAAGGCAACGTCCACAGCAGGTGCCCAGGAGGGGTGGGGACAGTGGGAAGTGAGAGGTCAGTGCTGGGCACCTGGCTCGGCAGCTTCCCTCCCCCGCTTCTCCTCCTCTTCTCTTCCTGTTGACTTTCCAACAATGGCTCCTGCTCTTGGTTTCTTCTCCTCTTCTTTTTCCATTTGTTCTTTTCCATTTTCTCTTCCTTCTTCATCTCACCCTCCCCTTTCTACATTTCCTCGTTTCTCTGTTCTCTCTTCCTGCTCTCCTTCCCTCTCTTCCTCCCAGAACCCCCAGCCAACTTCTAAGAACCTTCACTCTGAGGGGCTCGGGGTTTCGGCATCAGGTGCAGGTGGTGGGGGTTTAGGTATGGAGCTCTGAGGTCATGGTGTCCTGGGAGTTTGGGGAAGGAAGTGTCCAGAGTCCATGCACTGACCACTCCTGTTTCCTCTAGCCTCAAGTGCAGCAACTGCTACATGGTGTGGGGCGGGGACTTCGTGAGCTCGGGGCAGCACGGCCGGATCAGCCACACGGACCTTGTCATTGGCTGCCTCGTGGACTTGGCCACTGGCCTGATGACATTTACTGCCAATGGCAAAGAAAGCAACACCTTTTTCCAGGTGAGCCCGGCCCTCAACAACTTAGCAACAGTGTTCTCATGTCCCACTACACTGGGATGGCCCTTCCAGACCCCCTCTGAGGACAGATCCCAGAGAGACAGGACAAAAACAGCTCCTAGTCTGCCCTCAGGACAGGCCAGACCTGGGTAGTTCCGGGGGGACCACCTAGTTAACCTTGCATTGAACTGACACCCAGAACGGAGGAGACAGCCTTGACCCTGGAGAGTGGTCCATAGTCCTTCTTAGGCCAGGTGACATCAATTGCCAACCTTTCACCAGTCAAGGAACACCCTAGGATGAATCCTAAGGTAGTCTTTTCCTTTTCAACATTTTATGATGAAAGATCGCAAACGTACAACAAAATGAAAAGAATCGTACTTTGAACACCCACATACCCACTACCAAGATACTACCACCTACACTGGCTTTATGACATATTTATCCACCTATCCACCCATTAATCCATCTAACTTGGATTCTGTAAAACTTTATTTTATTTTTATTCTTTAAACTTTACTTATTTTGAGAGATCGAGCAAGCAGGGGAGGGGCAGAGAGAGAGGGAGAGAGAGAATCCCAAGCAGGTTCCATGATGTCAGCCCAGAGCCCGATGCGGGGTTCAATCTCACACACAAACCGTGTGAGATCACGACCCCAGCCGAAATCAAGAATCGGATGCTTAACCAACTGAGCCACCCAGGCGCCCCTAAAACTTTATTTCAAATGGAGAATTTTCAAAAACATGCAAAAATAGAATAGCGTACTGAACCTCCATGTCCCCACTAGCCAGCTTCAACGAGTATGCACTCACAGCCAATCTCGTGTCGTCTTTAGCCTCCACACCCCCCTCACTGCCATACACTCTGGATGGTTTTGAAGGAGTCCCCAGATATCTTTTCATCTCTTTTCAGTATGTATCTCTAAAAAAATAAGGATTATTATTTTTTTTTAAATTTTTTCAACGTTTTTTTATTTATTTTTGGGACAGAGAGAGACAGAGCATGAACGGGGGAGGGGCAGAGAGAGAGGGAGACACAGAATTGGAAACAGGCTCCAGGCTCCGAGCCATCAGCCCAGAGCCCGACGCGGGGCTCGAACTCACGGACCGCGAGATCGTGACCTGGCTGAAGTTGGACGCTTAACCGACTGCGCCACCCAGGCACCCCAATAAGGATTCTTTTAAAAAGCATGATCACAATACCACTTGGATCTAAAAAACAAACACAAACAAATCCAATAATTCCTAATTAATTAACCAAATATCCAGTCCATGTTCCCATTTCCCCGGTTGTCTCAAAACTGTCTTTTTCCCATTTGTTCATTTGAACTGGAATCCAAATAAGGTCTTCTATTTTAATTGGTTGCTAGACCCCTCGAGTCTCCTGTGTAGATTTCCCTTCCAGCTCTCTCTCTCTTCGAAATGTGTTTGCTGAAGAAACCAGGCTGTCTGTCCTGTAAAGCTTTGCTTCTCAAAGTATGGTCCCTGGACCGGCCGGGTCTGCCTCACCTGGGGGCTCATTAGAGATGCAGACTGTCAGGGCACCTTGGGTGGCTCAGTTGGTTAAGCGGCTGGCCCTTGGTTTCCGCTCAGGTCATGATCTCACGGTTTCGTGAGTTCAAGCCCCGCATCGGGCTCTGCACTGGCAATGCAGAGCCTGCTTAGGATTCTCTCTCTCTCTCCCCCCCTCTCTCTCTCTGTCTCTGCCCCTCCCCCCTCAAAATAAATAATAAAACTTAAAACATTTTTTTAAAAATGCGGAATCTCAGGCTTCCCCCCAGACTTGCCCCATGAGAATGCCAAACTTAATCCTGGGAGATTCGTGTGTCTACCGCCATCGGGAGTGCCGGCCTAGCTTCTCAGGCTGCATCTGGCTGTCACATCCCCCTGGTGTTGTTTTAACATTTTCCTCTGTCCCCTGTATATCCTGGGAGCTAGGAGACGGGTCCAGAGGTGCGGTTAGATTCAGGTTGGGCAAGACGGCTTCACAGACGATGGTGTTTGTGGTGATGAAGGCTCGGGGGGGTTCCGCTGTGGAGATCAGAGGGGCTGGAGGGAAAGCGCAGTCAGAAGAACTTTCTGGGTTTTGAAGCATGAGTCTTGGGAGAGAAGTGGGAATGGTGGCGGGCATGATATGCACAGTGATCCCGGGGGAGCTGGAGGTTGGCCTGGCCGGATCGGAGCGGGGACAGCCCGTGAGCAGCCTCGGGGTCATTGGGGCGCTTTCAGTGCCTGAGTTTGGACCCATAGACACCAGCAGGATCAAGCTGGGGCGATCGACCCCCAGGGTTCAGAATCCACACTCAACATCACCTCCAGGTCACCCGCTTCCTCATCCTGCCCTCTTCTGTCTTGCCAGGTGGAGCCCAACACGAAGCTGTTCCCTGCCGTCTTTGTCCTGCCCACCCACCAGAATGTCATCCAGTTTGAGCTGGGGAAGCAGAAGGTGAGGGTGCGGTGATGGGGCAGGCTGAGGCAGCAGGTGCGGGAGGTCAGGCTGGCAGAGTGGCTGAAAAGTGGGGCCATCCGGGAGGTCTCCCTGGAAGCAGAGTGGCAGGACAGAGAGGGCTGGGAATTGTGACCGGTGCACACCTCTGTGCCTCCAGAACATCATGCCGCTGTCAGCCGCCATGTTTCTGAGTGAGCGCAAGAACCCGGCCCCGCAGTGCCCGCCTCGGCTCGAGGTGCAGATGCTGATGCCTGTCTCGTGGAGCCGGATGCCCAACCACTTCCTGCAGGTGGAGACGCGGCGAGCCGGCGAGCGGCTGGGCTGGGCCGTGCAGTGCAAGGAGCCACTGACCATGATGGCGTTGCACATCCCTGAGGAGAACCGGTCAGGGCCGGCCCAGACCCGCAGGGGTGGGACGGGTGTTGCAAGCCCTCTGGGGTCCAGATCCCCCTCGGTGCACCCCTCCACCCGTACCCCAGGACTCCAGACAACACCCCAGGAGGCCCCAGACCTACCTCAGGGAACCCTGACTCAGCGGGGGCATCCCCAGATAAGACTCCAGGGGACTCCAGACCCACCTCAGAGGGCTTTAGGCCCATATTAGTGGACCAACGACACACCTCCAGGGACCCCAGACCTGCCCCACAGGGCTCCAAGCCTATGTCAGGGAGCCCAGATCCACACTGAGGAGCCACACAACACTCCAGGAGCCTCAAGTGCACCTCGGAGGGTCACGGACATTACTCAGAGGGGCCTGCACGTGCCCCCGGTTGTCCTGGGAGACACGCCCACAGAGACTTCGGATGTGTCCCGTGGGGATCTCAAACCCAGTCCAGGGGACCCAGACACACCCGGGGTAGAGATGTATTCACATGTATGGCAGGAATGCTCTTAGTTACTCTGAACACACAGTCCAGCCCCAGACTCACTCCAGGAGGCTGTAACGTGTGTCATCTTTCTTTTATTCATTCATTCAACAAACGGCTCTGAGCTTTTCCTACGTGGCCAGCAGCATTCTGGGCTGGAGACACCAAGCTCTTGTGAACAGGCACTCCAGCAATGCTCACGTATAACTCTGGGGCTCAGACTTGCCCAAGGGGACCCAGGCCTGCCTCCGGGAGTCCCAGATTCACTCACTCACTCACTCGCTCGCTCACTCACTCACTCTATCCATCATCCACCCATCTATCTATCTACCTATCTGTCTAACAAGCATTTATTGAACACTCACTATGTGCTAAGTCCTGTTTAGGTTCTGGGAATACAGCAGAAAACAAAAACAAAAACAAAAACAAACAAACAAAACCCCAAAAGGCAGACAGGTCCTGCCCTGGTGGGGTTTACATTCTCGTTGCACTCAAACATCGCCAAGTTACTCAGCCCTGCCAGAGGGAGGTTCAGTTTCCATTTGGGAATCCCAGACGTATCTTAGGGTCACCAGATCTCCTCCGGAGATTCTCAGATACTGAGTACCAGACCATCCCAGGGATCCCAGATATATCCCAAGGAGCACCCCAGACCACTTAGGGACTTCTAGAACCATGGAAAGACCCGGCTCCACACGCCTCACAGAACCCTGACCCAGCGGGCCCCCGGGAACCCCTGCTGGGGTGGCCGCCACTCTCACCGGTACCCCTCTCTGCCTCTCTGTGCCCCTGCCTCCCACCTCCTCTGCTGGCTCTGGCCCGTCTCCGCCGCAGATGCATGGACATCCTGGAGCTGTCGGAGCGCCTGCACCTGCAGCGGTTCCACTCCCACACCCTCCGCCTCTACCGCGCCGTGTGCGCCCTGGGCAACAACCGCGTGGCGCATGCTCTGTGCAGCCACGTGGACCAGGCGCAGCTGTTACACGCCCTGGAGGACGCGCACCTGCCGGGCCCGCTGCGGGCGGGCTTCTACGACCTGCTCATCAGCATCCATCTGGAAAGTGCCTGCCGCAGCCGCCGCTCCATGCTCTCTGAGTACATCGTGCCCCTCACGGAGGAGACCCGCGCCATCACTCTCTTCCCGCCCGGAAAGAGTGCGGAAAACGGCCCCCGCCGCCACCGCCTGCCTGGCGTTGGCGTCACCACCTCGCTGCGGCCTCCACACCATTTTTCACCGCCCTGTTTCGTGGCTGCCCTGCCGGCTGCCGGGGCGGCCGAAGCCCCGGCCCGCCTCAGCCCCAGCATCCCTCTCGAGGCCCTGCGGGATAAAGCACTGAGAATGCTGGGGGAGGCCGTGCGCGATGGTGGGCAGCACGCACGTGACCCTGTCGGGGGCTCTGTGGAGTTCCAGTTTGTGCCCGTGCTCAAGCTTGTGTCCACCCTGCTGGTAATGGTTTCCTCCTGCTTCCTTCTGTCCCGTTCTTCTTCCACATTCCAAACAATCCATCCATCCATCCGTACGTCAACCTCCCTCTCATTTGTGCCTCCAACCGCCCGTTCATCTCTCCATCCTTTGTTCACTTTTCCTCCCATCCGTTCATCTGTAATCTGTTAATCTGCTTATCGTTGTTTGCCCCCTTCTTTCCATTCCTCCATCCAACCAACCATCATTCATCCATCTATCAATCCATTCATCCTCCACCTACCTTTCCATCCACCCAGTTATTCAGTTAAACTCCCGTCTTCCCATCCACAAGACCATCCACTTATTCTTCTATTTTCTGCCCACGTCTCCATCCATCCATTCACGTACCATCCATCCAGTTTTCAATCTAGTTGTCCATTCATCCTTCCATTTACTCATACATCAGTACACCCACTGTTCCGTCTGTTCATTTATCCACCTACCCACTTATTTATTAATCTGTCTTTCCTTTCATGCATCCAGCTATCATCCGCCTTCCCCCTGTGCCTCCATCCATCCACCCATCTACAGATTCATCCATTCCTTCATCTTCCACCTACCTGTCTGTTCACCGATGCATCTCTCAATCCATATGTATGTGCGCCCATCCACCTACCCACAAATCCGCCCAACCGTCTACACCCATTCGTCCACCTCCCATCCACCCGTTCTTCATCCTCTATTTCATGGGCCCTTTCATTCACATACCCATCTGATGACTCATGAATATGTACATCCATCCAAATTTTCGTGCCCAAACTATCCACCCATCCATCATCCACGCATCCCATTTCATCCCATCCCCTGGCTATTTACCCATGTATCTGTTTACCCATCCACTCATTTACATACTCATGCACCTGTCACATCATCCATCCACCTACCCACCCATCCATACACTACATATCTTGTCATCTATCCGCCCATCTCTTCCTCCACCTTTACTTTCATCTTTCCATCCATATCTGCCCATCAATTCCCCCTTCAGACCTCTGATATTCCATCTGTTAAGTCAGCCACCCAGTCCCCCCTCCCCCACTTACCCATCTCTCTTCTCCCCACTGTTTTTCCCTTTCATCTACCTTCTCTCCCTCCATCTGTTAGCATTTTCATTATGTTTACTGAGGGCTAGCATATGCTAGGAGCTACGAAGGCATCCGTCAGGGTAGGCTATGGTCTGTTTCAGAGTCACATATGCTCAAGTTTAGGAGAAAGAACATTTGCTAGTGAAGGGAGAGGCACTCATGTTTGGCTCTGTGGTCTGGTTGGCTATGTGCTTAGGTGGGACACAGGGTGTGGATCTGGGGGGATCTTTTTTTTTTTCTTTTTTTTAAATTTTTTTTTCAACATTTATTTATTTTTGGGACAGAGAGAGACAGAACATGAACGGGGGAGGGGCAGAGAGAGAGGGAGACACAGAATCGGAAGCAGGCTCCAGGCTCCGAGCCATCAGCCCAGAGCCCGACGCGGGGCTCGAACTCACGGACCGCGAGATCGTGACCTGGCTGAAGTCGGACGCTTAACCGACTGCGCCACCCAGGCGCCCCGGATCTGGGGGGATCTTAAGGAGGCTGGAGAGCAGGGCAGGGGGTGACATTTCTCTGTGTCGGAGGAATCACATGTAGCCCATGCAGGAATGAATTTGGCACATTCGGGAGAAGTAGTTTGGGGAGTGAGGCTGGGACTTAATTTGAGGTCTTGTGGGCCACAGTGAAGGATCCAGGCTTTGTCTTATAGGTGATGGGCATCTTTGATGATGAGGATGTGAAACAGATCTTGAAGATGATTGAGCCTGAAGTATTCACTGAAGAAGAAGAGGAAGAGGAAGAGGAGGAAGAGGAAGAAGAAGATGAAGAGGAGAAGGAAGAGGATGAGGAGGAAGAGGCACAGGAGAAGGAAGATGAGGAAAAAGAGGAAGAGGAGACAGCCGAAGGGGAAAAAGAAGAAGGCCTGGAGGAAGGGCTGCTCCAGATGAAGTTGCCAGAGTCTGTGAAGTTACAGGTAGGCTGGTTCTTCCTGTTCTCCGGCCGCCGCTCATCTGGGCTGGAAAACACAGGATCTGGTGCGGGGGTGAGGCTGGACCTTGCCCTGAGGCAGTGGGGAGCTGTGGAAGTGCCACAGGTGGCTGGCATGCTTCTGGCTTCAAATGGCCTCTCTGCTTGCCACGTGGCAAGTGAATTGGACGGATGAGACCACGGAGAAGTCTGGCTTATGGATCCAGGCAGGAAATGACAGCGGCAGATGGGGCAGGGCCATGGAGAGGGGAGAGGAAGCAAGAAAAGCTTTTAAGGAAGTCCTGATGGTCTCACCGCCGTCATCCCTACTGCATGGCTGTCCTCCCACAGATGTGCCACCTGCTGGAGTACTTCTGTGACCAAGAGCTGCAGCACCGTGTGGAATCCCTAGCGGCCTTTGCGGAGCGCTACGTGGACAAACTCCAGGCCAACCAGCGGGACCGCTATGGCCTCCTCATGAAAGCCTTCACCATGTCCGCAGCTGAGACTGCCCGACGTACCCGCGAGTTCCGCTCCCCACCCCAGGAGCAGGTCTTCTGACCCCTGATCCCAGCTGGCATTATTTTTAAATCCCAACATCAACCCCTCCCCCCACTCTGATCGCTGATGGTACTAAACCTCCAAGCTCAGGCCTGACCCCTGACCCTGTTGATATATTTATCTCTCACTCTCCTATGTCTCTCTGAACCGATAGGACCTCTTAGTAGGACCTCAGACTGACCCTGACTCCTTTCAAACCTCTAATTTCTCAGATAGTCTTCATTAACTCGTGGCCTTAGACAGGGACTCACAATTGGATCTTTGATCCTTGATCTCAGAATTTCTGCTCTTGAGCTTCTGACCCTCACTCTAACTTATGACCTTCCCCTAGATAAACATGCTATTGCACTTCAAAGATGGTGAGGATGACGAAGATTGTCCTCTCCCTGAAGAGGTCCGGCAGGATTTGCTTGAATTTCATCAAGACTTGCTGGCACACTGTGGTAAGAGATCAGAGAACCCTTCTCCCAGACTTTCTCTTGTGACCTTTCCTGAAGTTTCCCTAAGATTTCCTGATCTTAAATATTTACAGTTTTGGTGCAGTGTAACTTTTGGTTGAACGAATGAATGAACAGATATATTAGTGAACAGATAGAGGATGAGTGGAAGGATAAGCTTATATGGGTGTTTGAGCGGATTATATATGGATGGATGGCTATCAGCAAGTGAGCGATGAGTGTGTAAATTGGTGGGTAAAGAGATAAATGAGTAAAGAAATGGGTGAAGAGATGACTGAGTGGACTTATGGATAAAGAGAAGGATGATGGATGGATGGATAGATGAATGATTAAAAACTGAATGGAGAGATGGTGGGTGTCTGGTGGGATGAATGGATAATTTCCATTGTTTCTGATAACTTAGTTAATAATCTTACTGAGATTCTTTTATATATGATGAGTTGTTTTTCTCTGGCTGACTTTCTGTTTGCCTCTGTTTTGAAACAGTTGGGTATGATGTGTCTAAGTGTAGAGCTCTTTGATTTTATCCTACTTGGAATTTGTTAAGTTTCTTGGATGTATAGATTAATATTTTTCATCAGATTTGAGGGACTTTTGGGCTATTATTTCTGCACATTTTTGTGGCCATTTGTCATTTCTGTTTCTGGGATTCCCATTATGCATATATTGATATATTTTGTGATGTTCTGGTCCACAGGCTCTAAGGCTCTGTTAGTTTTTCTTCATTCTTTTTTATTCTTCAGACTGGATAACCTCTATTGTCCTAACTTTAAGTTCACTGATTCTTTCTCCTACCAGATCAAATATGCTATTGTGTTCCTCTAGTGATTTTAAAATTTCACTTATTGTACTTTTCAGCCCCAAAAACTTCTATATGGTTATTTTTTTATATGACCTGCCTCTTTACTGATATTCTCTATTTGAGGCATCACTGTCATCATACTTCTCTTTAATACTTTAGACATGGTTTCCTTTAGTTCTCTAACCTATTTACAATAGCTGGTTAAAAAAATATTTAAAATGCTTCAAAGAATGAATAAAGGAACAAACATATGAACATATAGAGAAAAACCCAAGAAGGGATACATGAGTGAGAAATGAATGAATGAACCAATGAATGAACAAAGAAGTGAATGACTGAGTAGATGAATAAACAAACAGATGAAGGACACCCTCTATCTTCTTGACCAACTCCAGGTATTCAGCTGGAGGGAGAGGAGGAGGAGCCAGAGGAAGAGGCCACCCTGGGCAGCCGCCTGATGAGCCTGTTGGAGAAAGTGAGGCTGGTGAAGAAGAAGGAGGAGAAACCTGAGGAGGAACCACCTGCTGAGGAGGCCAAACCCCGTGAGGACTGGGGCCTTAGGGAGGGACAGGGATGGGGCAGACAGCCTTGTGTTTGGGGAGCCTCTGGGTCCAAGACAGGCCATGAGGAATAGGGAAAAGGGAGGGGTGGATTAATGAGAGAGGAGGAGTGGGAGGTAGGGTAAGAGAAGAGGCATGCTGAAAGTGTGGCCGAAATGTGGGGGCTGCACAGTATGTGTGTTGGACCGGTGTGCCATATGGCCTGCCAGAGAAGAGACACACATCCCACATCGGGATGGTGGAAGCTCCTATACCAGCATGGCTTCTGTGTTCTCATGGATTTTCTTTGTTTTTCTTTTTTGTTTTTCTTTTTTGTTGGTTTTTTTTTTTTTTTTTTTTTTTGTGAAACAATTACTATGACGAGGGATTAGAAACACTGTTATGATAAGTGTTGGGCCGGGCCAGTGGGTCATTGTACAAACTATACATCAGCTCTATCCAACAAGGACAGAATCCCTGATGTTGGTACAGGGTTTAATTCTACAACAGTCAAGGCACTGTTGGCTTGGCTGAGGGATATTGTAGGGGGAAAAAGTCACAGTCTCTGTTCTTCAGGAGTTTAGAATATTATAACAGATACACATATACCATAATGTCAGGTGGCCATGGGTGCTAAGGAGAAAAATAAAGCTGAGTGATAGGAGAGAGTGGGATAGATGGAGGGGTCAGAGTGGAGGAGTGAGGTATGCAAAGATCTGGGAAGATGATTGGTACAAAGGGAACAGCCAGTGCGAAGGCCCTGAGGCAGGAACATGCTTGGTATGTTTAGAGGCCAGTGTGGGAGTGAGCAGGAGGCGAGGGGTGGGCAGGAGATGAGGTCACCAGTGCAAGGCCCAAACTTTAAAAAAAAAAAAAGGTGCGGGGAGGTGCTGGGTGATTCAGTCGGTTGAACATCCAACTCTTGATTTTGACTCAGGTCATGATCTCATGGTTCGTGAGTTCGAGCCCTGCCATCGGGCTCTGTGCTGAGAGTGCAGCATTCTCTCTCTCTGCTCCCTGCCCCCACCCCCCACCCCCAACTCTTGCTATCTTAAAATAAACAAATAAACTTAAAAAAAAAAAAAAGAAGAAGAAGAAGTGCCAGGGCCAGATTGTGTAGCGTTTCTGGAAGGTCGTGAATTGATATGACACCATCATTCAGTGTCAGTGCATGGAGGTTTCTCCTAAGCCTGAGACACATGAGACCTCTGTCTTTTCTCCCCCCAAATCCTGGAAAGGAAAAGGGTTGGGAGAGAGAGGCAAAGAGAAAAATGGATGAATCTCAAGGAGGGACTGGGAAAATAAACCCATTAATCTTGACATCATTTTCAAATGACATCAAATGACAGTTTTTCTTTGTGTCTGTTGTCTGTCTTGATGAAAAAATCAGCGGTACTTTCATTTATTTTTGTTTTTTTTAATGTGTATTTATTTTTGAGAGAGAGACAGAGTGTGAGTGGACGAGGGACAGAGAGAGGGAGACACTGAACCTGAAGCAGGCTCCAGGCTCCGAGCTGTCAGCACAGAGCCCGATTCAGGGCTTGAACTCATGAACCGTGAGATCATGACCTGAGCCGAAGTCGGACGCTTAACTGGCTGAGCCACCCACGTGCCCCCAAAAATCAGCAGTATTTTTACAGAACAAGTAGAATTGCGACTTGTGCTTTCAAAGGTGCATTATATATTTCAAAGGTGCTTATAATGGTGCTCTGGTATTTTGAATGATACATTTTTTTTTTCCTCTTGAAACCTTTAGGGGGGCCCTTACTGTCTGGGTATTAGGGTAAAGAGAACAGGGAGGCTCTTAAAGCAATACAAAAAAAAAAAAAAAAAGATCTGTCAGAATCTGCCCCCTCCTGGCAGGTGACGGTAGGGGCGGTTAGTAACTGCGAAGCCCTCTGGAAAGAGGGGCCCTCGCTGCGTTGTTCGGCTCAAGGCCGCAACCCGGCAGTGCGTTCTGACCCTTGTGTTCCCTTCCCAGAGTCTCTGCAGGAGCTGGTGTCCCACACGGTGGTGCGCTGGGCTCAAGAGGACTTTGTGCAGAGCCCTGAGCTCGTCCGGGCCATGTTCAGCCTCCTGCACCGGCAGTACGACGGGCTCGGGGAGCTGCTGCGTGCCCTGCCCCGGGCATACACCATCTCACCATCGTCCATGGAGGACACCATGAGCTTGCTTGAGTGCCTGGGCCAGATCCGATCGCTGCTCATCGTGCAGATGGGTCCCCAGGAGGAAAACCTCATGATCCAGAGCATTGGGTGAGGCTCCGAGGCTCTGCCCCTTCCCCTGACTTTGCACTTCGCCTGGGAAGGAGGGGAGCCCTCCCAGCTCCAGCACGTCCCCCTGGCTCGTGTCCCCCGGATGCAATGATGTCTCCTTCCTCCACTTCGGGCCCGTCCTTGCGGCGGCGTATTTCTCCCAATAGCTGGCCCATCTCCCTGGCTAATGTCTCCTCCCCTTACCTCTCCATCCGACCTCTGGGGTGACAGCTCTTACTCACCTGTGACTCTTGGCACAAGATTGACCTTCTCTGAGCTTCATCTTTATCTCTGGGCTGGGGAAGAGTCGCGCCTCCCTTGTGGAGTCATAGTGAGGCCTAGTGAGCTCCTGCGCGTAGGGGTGGTAATGATAATACGAATGACAGCATTGAGCACTCACTCAGTGTCGAATGTGCCTCATTCATTCACTCATCAAGCATTTATTGAGGACCTACTTTGCACCAGGCCCTTCCTAGGCATCTGGGGATACGACACGCAACATGGCGAGGGTCTCTGCTCTAGGGGAGCCCACCTTGGATCCATGCCTCAGTTTCCTTATCTGTACAATCGGGGTAATTTCATTCCTGCCATCCAGAGTAGACGTAAAGGTTGAATGGGTTGGGATCTGTGAAGGGGGACGGTGAAGGCTCTGGGGGCTCTCCCTGGACTTGGGTCGCACCCGGCCCCCGGAAACGCCACCGTACTCTACCTATTCACAGGAACATCATGAACAACAAAGTCTTCTACCAACACCCGAACCTGATGCGGGCACTGGGCATGCACGAGACAGTCATGGAGGTCATGGTGAATGTCCTCGGTGGTGGCGAATCCAAGGTAAGGGGCCTGCGTGGGCCGAGGAGCTCAGGGCAGGGGGCCACGGGGGGAGGCACTGACCAGCGGCCCGCTCTGCCCGCCCCAGGAGATCCGCTTCCCCAAGATGGTCACGAGCTGCTGCCGCTTCCTCTGCTACTTCTGTCGCATCAGCCGGCAGAACCAGCGCTCCATGTTCGACCACCTGAGCTATCTGCTGGAGAACAGTGGCATTGGCCTGGGTGAGAACACCCCAGCCCGCGGTGGAGGGAGAGCTGTCCCCCGGGGCCCACGCTCAGCAGTCTATCCAGGCATCCATCTCTGCTGGCTCGCTCACCCGTTCGGTCATTCAACAAACACTCACTCTCAACCCACCCTGGAGGTAGCCCTTAATGAGCGGTGCTGAGGGTCCACCCAGACAGCCGTGACCCTGGCCCTCACAGGGCCCACAGTGCAGCATGGAGGACACACAGTGACAGCCCAGGGTGCTCAGCCCCGGACTGGGGAAGCACGGGCCAGTGGAGGCACCTGACCCAGGCTGTAAAAGGGACGGTCAAGGAGGGCTTCCAAGAGGAGGTGAGACAAGCAGGAGTGAGACTGTCACCTACATACCTCTGAAGAGCACTCTCTCTGCCTCTTGTCCTCACAGGCATGCAGGGCTCCACGCCTCTGGACGTGGCAGCTGCCTCTGTCATCGACAACAATGAGCTGGCCTTGGCATTGCAGGAGCAGGACCTGGAGAAGGTGTGGAAGGAGGAGGCCTGGCCTCCACCTGGCCCCTTGGGGCACCTGCTAATTTGGGAGCCAGTCTGTGGGATGGTCCGGGATTGAATCAGAGGGGGAATAATTTGCAGGGAAAGAGCAAGGGCCCAGTCACTCATCACAGGGCCGAGTGCAAATCCACGCTTCACCCTCCCGCAGCTGCATGACCTTGGCACATTCCTTGCCCCCCCCCCGGACTCCCCCCCCCCCCCACTACTGTGTATAGCAACGAAGGGCATGGGCTCTAGAGTTCAGCACCTTACAATAACTCCCCTTGCTCCCTTGCTGTGTGGCCTTGGACAAGTGACTTAAATTCTCCAGGCCCCTGTCTCCTCATCTGTAGAATGAATATAATAATCCAATAGGGTTATTCCGAGCACAGAATGGGTTAGTCCATGAAACCATTGATAAAACAGTAAGCACTCAACAAGAGTTATCTGCTCGAATAGTATTACTCGGTCAACAAACATTTACTGAGCACCTACTATGTGCCAGACCTGACCAAGGCAGCAGGGGTACTACAGTGATTGAGACAATCAAAAATTCTTGTCCTCATGAAGCTGACGTTCTAGTTGGGAAGATGAATAATAAACAAGATAAATAAGTAAAACATATAGTGTATTAGCTAGTGACGAGTGTTAAGGATGAAAAAAGTGAGCAGGGGAAAGAAACATCAAGTGTCAGGAGGGTGTCCAAGTTTAGACAAGTGTGATCAGAGAATGCCTCACTGAGAAAGTGACTTTCAAGTAAAGCTCTGAAGGAGGAGAGGGGCCATGCGGACATCAGGGGAAGAGCATTCCAGGCAGGGGAACCGCCAGTGCAAAGACCCCGAGGCAGAAGTGAACTTCATGAGTTTGAGACCAGTTTGGTTAGAGCAGGGGGAGTGAGGGGTTAGGGGTGGGAAGTGAGGGCAGGGAGGTGACAGGGAAGATTGTGCAGAGGGTCTTGTGGGGCCTCTGCATTTTACCTGGAGCGAGATGGCGCCACAGGAGGGTTCCAAGCAGGGAAGGGACGTGGCCTGACTCAGGCTGTTTGCAGGGTCCTTCTCTGCGTGGGATAGACTGGGGGAGCAGGGAACCCAGGAAGGAGACCACGTGACGGTCCAGGTGGGAGGTGAGGGCTCAGGGTGAGGATTATCGTTCACCGAGAGATCCAGACGTGAATGAGGTCACAGAGCTCCAGCGATGGGCAGGGAAGGGAGCCTTGGGGAGGAGGTGGTGCGGGTCTGGCCTCGGTCTGAGCCCGTCTCCACTCCCAGGTCGTGTCCTACCTGGCGGGTTGTGGCCTTCAAAGCTGCCCTATGCTCCTGGCCAAAGGGTACCCAGACATCGGCTGGAACCCTATTGGCGGTGAGCGCTACCTGGACTTTTTGCGCTTCGCCGTCTTCGTCAACGGTGAGTCAGGAGTTGGCGGTGGCGGCGGGACAGGAGGCCAGGGTCCCCGACCCAGCCAGCCTCCCTCAGGGTGTGGTCCCCGGCAGGGATTCCTCCAGGCGGGCTGGGGCAGGGTCCAGAGGCCAGTGGGGGCCCGGGGTTAACCCTTGAGGTGCTGGGTCCTGGGCTGCTGGGGCAGGGTCCCCGGGGCAGCGGCTCATGAGGCCTCTGGACCCGCCGGAGCCACCAGGTGAGAGTGTGGAGGAGAACGCCAACGTGGTGGTGCGGCTGCTCATCCGCAAGCCCGAGTGCTTCGGGCCTGCCCTGCGGGGTGAGGGCGGCTCTGGGCTGCTGGCCGCCATCGAAGAGGCCATTCGCATCTCTGAGGACCCGGCGCGGGATGGCCCGGGCGTCCGCAGGGACCGGCGGCGTGAGCAGTGAGTCTCCCACCCCCTTCTCAGCGGCAGAGCCCAACTTCCCCATGCCCCTTGCTGCCTCCCCCACACGCCACCCCCCTCCTTCTGCAGCTTTGGGGAGGAGCCCCCCGAGGACAGCCGGGTGCATCTGGGGCACGCCATCATGTCCTTCTACGCTGCCTTGATCGACCTGCTGGGACGCTGTGCGCCGGAGATGCATGTGAGAGCTGGAGGTCCAGGGACAGGGAGGGGCACGCCTGGGCGACCTCGAACCTCTTCAGTCGGGCACTTGACGACACTGACGGAGCTCTCGTGATGTGGGTGGTCTTAGGCTAGCCAATCCTGGGGAGACACCAGTGACCAAGACTGCCCTAGGCCTGGCTCTCACGGAACTCCCAGTCCAGTGGGGGGGGGGGGGGCGCGACCAAGCACTGAGAGCCAGGGACAGTCGGGGCTTCAGTAGAGGAGCACTAGGAGCAGAGGAGTCAGGGCTGGGAGTTCGAGAGCTCGCCCCACGAGGAGTCCTGCTCTGCCTGCCGGTGGGTCAGGAAGGGATGGGTGGACTAACGACCAAATGGGGCAGAGGGTGCTGGATGACGTGCCCCCTTCCATCTTCCAGCTAATCCAAGCCGGCAAGGGTGAGGCCCTGCGGATCCGCGCCATCCTGCGCTCCCTCGTGCCCCTGGATGACCTTGTGGGCATCATCAGCCTCCCGCTGCAGATCCCCACGCTGGGCAAAGGTGCAGAGGGGGCAGGACTCGGCAAGGAAGGGAGGCTGGGGAGGGAGCGGGTGGGGCCGAAGGGCAACCCTGACCCCCTGCCCTCGTGGCCCGCAGACGGGGCTCTGGTACAGCCAAAGATGTCGGCATCTTTCGTGCCGGACCACAAGGCGTCCATGGTGCTCTTCCTGGACCGGGTGTATGGCATCGAGAACCAGGACTTCCTGCTGCACGTGCTGGACGTGGGGTTCCTGCCCGACATGCGGGCGGCCGCCTCGCTGGACACGGTGAGCACCCCCGCCCCTGCCGAGCCACCCTCCCCACCGCCCGTGAGGGTGCAGGATGGTCAAGGGCACAGCGGCAGCGCTTCTGTTTGTTCTGGGCATGTGTACATATCATAATCCTCCCTCCCCACCCCCCATCAAGATAGAAAGCGAAACCAAGAGGAACTCCGCGTCCTGGGCGAGGGTGGGTGGAGATCTTCAACATCTCATCTTTCTTATTTGAGAAATGATCATTCTCGGCGATGGCTCAAGCACCAAGGAGACAAAGACCTGCGCTCAACAGCAACGATAGCAGTTATATAGATATTCAATAGTTATATAGTTAGAGAATAGTAGGGGACAAGGCCGAGTAAGATGAAGACTGAGAACTGACCACTGGTGTGGCCAAATGGAGGTCACTGGTGACCTCGATGAGCACTTTCAGTGAGGCGGTGGGGTAAAAGCCTTACTGGCGAGGGTTTACGAGGGTCTGGCAGGCGAGGCATTGGAGACAGTGAGTGGACGTGACCAGCCCAAACCAAAGTATGGGAAACTCCGTGGATAAATGATCCAGTTTTTCTAGCAAATAAATAGCATTGAAAAGAGGAGGAAAGGAGACCGTTACAGATGAAAAGACCTGAGACCCAGCAGCCAAATGCAGTAGGGGGGCCTTCCTGGTGCCCTGATCCAAACAATCCCGGCTACAAGTGAGACGCTTGGAGAAAGCTGGTGAAGGACTTTACGCGGTTGTTAATTCTGTTAGGTGCGAAAACGGCAGCGTGGGGTGTGAAACGAGAGCAGGTGTCTGAACGGAGACACAAAGCTGAATGTCTATGGGTGGTAAATGGCTGGGATTGTATAAAAGTATCACAGGAAGAAAGGTGAGGGAGAGGACGTAAGCATGCAGAACTTTGTCTGCAGGGCTGTCTACTCTGGGTAACGAGGGCTCACTACTTGGCGCCTCGGCTGCGGTGGGTTTGAAAATTTGCATGGTTGCAAGAGATCACAGAGACTGGGAGGAGCAGGTGTGGGGGGAAGGTCCGAAGCCAGGGCGACCCCAGGAGCGCGAAGCGGGCCTGAGCCCCCCCCCCCCCCCCCCGCTGTGCTCCCCAGGCCACTTTCAGCACCACGGAGATGGCGCTGGCGCTGAACCGCTACCTGTGCCTGGCGGTGCTGCCGCTCATCACCAAGTGTGCGCCGCTCTTCGCGGGGACGGAGCACCGCGCCATCATGGTGGACTCCATGCTTCACACGGTGTACCGCCTGTCCCGCGGCCGCTCGCTCACCAAGGCGCAGCGCGACGTCATCGAGGAATGTCTCATGTCTCTCTGCAGGTGGGGCGGGGCCGGGGGCGGGGGCGGGGCCGCGGGGGGCGGCCGGCCTGGGGGCGAGACCCCCACCGCCCCGCGCCTGTCTCCGCAGGTACATCCGCCCGTCCATGCTGCAGCACCTGCTAAGGCGCCTGGTGTTCGACGTGCCCATCCTTAACGAGTTCGCCAAGATGCCGCTCAAGGTGAGGGTTGAGCCCTCTCCGGCGTGCGCCGCCCTCGGGCCGCCTCGGGGCTCTTCTGTGACGCACCGCCCGGCCCCGTTAACCTGCCAAGCGAGGGCGGCGTCCCCACGGAAACCTCTGAGGCGGTCTCATTGCCGTACTAGGATTTCCAGGACGGTCGCTTGGCGTCGTCGGTGCCTCTTACGCTCCCTAGTTAGCGTTTAATTTGCCTAACAGTGAGCCAGTCCTCGCCTAGATTAGCACGTCTTTGCATGAGCACACCGCTTTTCCTAATCAGCGCGCTTACTCTCACGCCCAGACCACCAGCCTTACGCTTTTCCAACGAGTGCATTCATCTGAATACATAGCACCACAGCTATTCTGAATATTCGCACTCTTTCCTGTTAGTTTTTTCGTTTGCATGCTGGTTTGCATAAGGAGACACCCCTTGTCTGGACTGATTTACATAATACATTTACATAATACATCTAAATCAACCCCCAACCTGCCTATTGGATGTGGAGGTCCTCTTCCCAATTACCATATATTTGCATGGGGCTCTGCGTGTATTTGCCCGCCATGGTAATTCACAGAAGCGCAGATCACTCTGTCCATACGTCCATTTGCACACAACCCTACCCGTGGATTAATCTTAACATACTTGCATAAAACGACACCAGACAAATCCGGCCCTGGCCCAATGCCTATCCTGACTCCAAGTTAGAGCGCTTAATTTGCATCATAAACGGCTCCAGACCACTCCCCAATAAGCACTTTCCCTTAGTACCTGCATGACCCACGTCCCCTTCATAATCTAAAAGCCCCCGGCCTCCTTGGCTTTGCTTTTGCCGGCCACCTACTACACGCCCCTCATTTGTGTGTCGCCCTCTTGCTCCCACCCAGCTCCTCACCAACCACTATGAGCGCTGCTGGAAGTATTACTGCCTCCCCACAGGCTGGGCTAGCTTCGGGGTCACCTCAGAGGAAGAGCTGCACCTCACCCGTAAACTCTTCTGGGGCATCTTTGACTCACTGGCCCACAAGGTCCGGGCACGTGGGGGGGGGCGCCGAAAGGAGCCTGCTTGGAGGGCTTGGGGGCCAAAGTGGGGGGGGGGTGTCCAGAATGAAATTACCAAATTCGGGGGTTCAGGGAGGGAGCTAGTTCTGCAGGTTTGGATCCAGGAGAATCTAGGAGTTGGGTCTCTGGTTTGGCTGTTACAGAAGAGGCGATGGGCGCTAGTCTGGGGGCTTGGAGAGGGGTGATGCCGGGGTGGTTTGGAGGGTCCAGGTGGGCTGAGGTTTGGGTTTCAGGGAGAGAGACCATAACTGATGTCTGGGGGCTCAGGGAAGAGGGGTTGATTAGTAGAGGGGTGAGTTTGAGGCCCTAGGGCTCCAGGATTTGAAGGCTCAGCCAAGCCTGCAGTGACCCCTCCTCCCCGGCATCCCCAGAAGTATGATCCAGAGCTATACCGCATGGCCATGCCCTGTCTGTGCGCCATCGCAGGGGCCCTGCCCCCCGACTACGTGGACGCCTCATATTCATCCAAGGCCGAGAAAAAGGCCACGGTGGATGCTGAAGGCAACTTTGACCCTCGGCCCGTGGAGACCCTCAAGTGAGGAGGCCTGGGGGCAGGAGCGGGGTGGGGACTGGGGACCGGGAGAGGGAGAAGGATTCAGACATGGAAGGATGGGCCAGCGCTAACATCTGCCCACCCTATGCCCCCTAATAGTGTGATCATCCCGGAGAAGCTGGACTCCTTCATCAACAAGTTTGCGGAGTACACACATGAGAAGTGGGCCTTCGACAAGGTTGGCGTCAGGGTCCTCCCTCACCCCCCAGCAGCCCCCGTTCCTGCCAGCCTTTCTCAAGACCCCACCTGCCCCCCCCACCCCAGACCCAGGTCTTCCCTGAGGCCCCAGATTTCCCTGGGACCCCAAACTCTCCTGAGACCCCAAAGCCTCTTCCAGAGCCCTCCGCCCCTCCAGGGTTTCCCCTCTGTGTCTCCCGGGCTGCTCTCTCCTCCTCATCCTGCCCCCCGCCCCCCTCTCCACGGTGGTGCGACCTGTCCCCTCTCCACCTCCAGATCCAGAACAACTGGTCCTATGGGGAGAACATAGATGAGGAACTGAAGACCCACCCCATGCTGAGGCCCTATAAGACCTTTTCAGAGAAGGTGAGCAAATCTCAGGGCCCAATGCTGAGGGTCCAAAATGAAACCTCCAAATTCGAGCGTTCAGAGAGGAGCGAGGCAGCTTCATCAGCTTGGATGTAGCTGGGGCTGCGGGTTAGGGCTCCGCATGCATGGACTTTGCCTTCCCTCAAACGTGGCTGCCTCCCCAGACCCCGGACTTCTAGTGTTCCTTCTCTTAGAAAGAGTCAGACTGGATTTGATTCCTTGACTGTGCCATTTAACTTCTCGGAGTCTCCAGAGTAAAATGAGATCATGAGAGTTTTGTTTGGGAGACTCTGTTACAGAGCAGGTAAGAGACCGGAGTTCGAATCCGAGCTGGACCACTTCCTCCTAGCCACGTAGTCGAGGCTTTCCACTTCTTAGGACACTGGAGGCCAGTAAGGCTGAGGCAGGGACTCCTCCCTCTATCTCCCTCCCATGCCATCTCACCACCTCCACGCCTTCCTGTCCACCCCAGGACAAAGAGATTTACCGTTGGCCCATCAAGGAGTCCTTGAAGGCCATGATTGCTTGGGAATGGACGATAGAGAAGGCCAGGGAGGGAGAAGAGGAGAAGACAGAAAAGAAGAAAACGCGGAAGATATCCCAAAGTGCCCAGGTGGGGGCGGGGCCGGGGCAGGGGGCGGGGTCATGGGAGGTGGTGAGCGGCGGGGGCGGGGGCAGGAGAGTGTGGGGCCAGGCGGGAGGTGGGGTTGAGAAGGGAGAAGGGCCAAGGAAAGGACGTGGGGGGAGGGGGGGCGGGGGTCAGGGAAATCTTGGAGGCCCGGAGCCAGATGCCCGCCAAGGCTGAGAGATCTGGGAAGGGAGTGGGCGTGGGTCTGAAGAACTGCGAAGGGCCGAGGAGAGGAGGGCGTGACTTAGCGACAGGGCCTTGGGGGGGGGGGGGGGGGGGCGAAGAGTAGGGGTCTAGGGCCAGTGGAGGAGGTAAACTGTGTTGGGGCCCGGACTTCCTGCTAGTCCATCAAGCACCCCCATTTCTCCCTCGTCCTCCCAGACTTATGATCCGCGAGAAGGCTACAACCCCCAGCCCCCGGACCTCAGCGGAGTTACCCTGTCCCGGGAGCTGCAGGTGAAACCCCTGATCCTTTATCTAGAGGCATGGAGGTGTTTGTTGGGGTTGAGAAGGACATCCTCTGAGTCCGGGCCTTGACTCTTTCGTCCATTCCAGGCCATGGCAGAACAACTGGCGGAAAATTACCACAACACGTGGGGACGGAAGAAGAAGCAGGAGCTGGAGGCCAAGGGTGAGAGCGTCCGTCCCGTCCCCGCACAGGCCCCTCTTCACCGAAGTCCCCTAACTCCAGAGTCCCAAGGGCTTAAGTTAGAGTTGTGTGACTTTGAACCATTGCTTTCGCCACCGATAATAACAACATCTACTACCATAGGGCTGTGGTGAGCATATGACGATCCTCTGAAAGCCATGATTCGGTTCTCTTACCTCTGTTTTTATTACTCTAATTATGCGTGCTCTCAGCAGCAAGAACCACTTCAGTGAGAGTGGCCTGGGTCTCCCCAGTCCTCTGATTTCTGGTCTTTGCGGCTCCAGGTGGTGGGACCCACCCCCTGCTGGTCCCCTACGACACACTGACAGCCAAGGAGAAGGCACGAGACCGAGAGAAGGCCCAGGAACTGCTAAAGTTCCTGCAGATGAACGGCTATGCTGTCACCAGGCACGTGGGCTGCAAGCCCGGCCAGGGAGGGGCGGGGAATGTGAGAGGAACGAGCCAGGCCAAAACTGGGGAAAGCTGGGCTGGGGGAAAGCGGCGGAGCCAGGGAAGGGAGGTGGCTGAGAGGGGTGGGGCCCGGAGAGCAGAGGTGGGGCCAGAGAAAGGAGGTGGCTACGAGGGTGGGCCCTGGAGAGTGGGGGAGGGGCCAGGGGAGAGGAAGCCAAGATGGGGGGGCCTTCTCAGAGCGGGGAGCAAGGTCAGAGAGTGGGGGGCCGGGAGGGTGGGGCCTCGGGAGAAGAGTTAGGACCTGGGAGGGGAGGAGGCTAAGAGGGTGGGGCTTGGGGGACTGTTTGGGGCCAGAGAGGGGAGGGGCTAGGCCTGGGAGGAGAGCCAAGGCCGGGGATGACAGAAGGCTAAGAGGGCGGGGCCTGAGGGGAGGCGGGGCCTGAGGAGGAGAGGCGGGGCCAGGGAACTGCTAGGACCTTGAGGGGGACCTGGCGTGGGGCAGAAGCCTGCAGCGGCCGGCCGTAGGAAAGCAGAGGGGAACTGGAGAGGAGCGGGGAACAGGGCTGACTCCTCTCTGACTGTCCACGCAGAGGCCTTAAGGACATGGAGCTGGACACGTCTTCCATCGAGAAACGGTTCGCCTTTGGCTTCCTGCAGCAGTTGCTGCGCTGGATGGACATTTCCCAGGAGTTCATCGCCCACCTGGGTACGGGGGGGTCCCTCCCCATGCCTGCCATGCCTGCAGGTTCACCCAAGGACCCGGCGCATGCATTTCTCCTTCCCTCCCCTCACCTCATTATTGTGCCAGACACTGTTCCTTCCAGGTGTTGAGAACACAGCAGCGAACGAGACAAAGATCCTTGTCCTCCTGCGTTTACATCCCTGTGGTGCCTTCAGACGATTAATGTCAGATACCTTACGTTTTTAGAAGGCAGTTAGTGTTTGGGGAAGAAGAATACACTAGAACCAGCTAAGGAAGACTGGGAGTTGGGGGGGGGGGGGGTTGGGGAGTGGAGCCCTTTAAATTTTAAATAGAGTAATTGGGAAGACCTTGAAGGAGCTGGGAGGGGGCTGGCCATACATCTGAGGAGAGTATTCCAGGCAGAGGAACAGCCAGTGTGAAGGTTCTGAGAAGTCCCTGGGGAGACAGGAGGCCCAACTGGCTGAAGCAGGGTGACTGAGTGTGGACAGCGGGAGGAGACGGGGCAGATCACGTAGGGCTTTGCAGGCATAGGGAGGTGGCTTTTTACCCCAAGTGGAATAGCACCACGGGAGGGTTCTGAGCAGGAGAGAGCCCTGACCTGCTTCAGGTGTTCACAGACTCCCCTTGGCTGCATTAGGGACAGATTGTGGGCGTAGGGACCAAAGAGGGTGAGGATTGGGCAGATTCTGGGTCTCTTTTGGGGATGGAGGCTGTTGGTGTGCCCCATACGTGCCTCTTACACCCCACTAAGAATCACAGCTGGCCCCTAGAATCCCTCCCAGCTTCCCCCAGAGATCCCAACACTCCCCCTGAGAGCCACCCAGGACCCCCAGACCCCCTCAGATGAGTGGCACAGCAGGACACACTCACACACCTCACCTCGAATCCCACATGCTGATCCTCCATGCTGAGCGCCTCTCGGCAACTCCCTCTCCTCTCTGTGCTTCAGTTTCCCTATCTGTCCACCATAACCAGTCACAGTTCTGTCCTGTTCTTGCTGGGTGACCTGCGCTGAGTTATTTCATCTCAGTTCCCTCATCTGTAAAATGAAGGAGGGGGACCAACTGTACAGACCTCCAAGTTGGGAGGAGATCGTGCGAGGGCCAGGGACATTATTAGCATTATTATTTTCATTAATTATTTACTGTCACTGTTATTATTACCTGAAATTGACTTCTGCTTTAAAATTAATTCTAGTCTGTCAACATTGACTTCTTGTTTTGTTCATTCATTCATTCATTCATTCCACATTGACTCAGTGCCAAGTACTGAAGTTCAGGAAGAAGAGGGCTGGTGAGGAAGCGGATGTTCCATGACCTTACTCCATCCTAGTTTATCCTCTTCCCCATTTTCAGCCGCAGGAAGGGCTTGATCAAGGAGTCAGGGGGAAACACAGGAAAGACAGGAGAGAGAGGTTTACCTCAAAGCCAACAGAGGTGGCTTTATACCAAGCATTAATCTCCCATCTTTTCCTCCCTTAACCCTCGAGTCCCCTCCCTCCCGAGGCACCTTCTGAGTTCCCCAGCCTTGAACCCACCATCACCTCTCTTTTCCCTCCGCCACCAGAGGCTGTGGTCAGCAGTGGACGAGTGGAGAAGTCCCCCCACGAACAGGAGATTAAATTCTTTGCCAAGGTGAGAGGTGGACTGAGAAGCTGGAGGGGGCTGGGGACTGGTGGGCCCCTTCACCCAGTCCCCCTTCACCCAGCCCGCCTCGTCTCTTCCCCACCCCACCCCCAGATCCTGCTCCCTTTGATAAACCAGTACTTCACCAACCACTGCCTCTATTTCCTGTCCACACCGGCCAAAGTGCTGGGCAGTGGTGGCCACGCCTCCAACAAGGAGAAGGAAATGATCACCAGGTGGGCTACCCTGTGACCCCTGACCCCGTCTCCTGACCTCACAGGATTGCAATCCTGGACCCTGTCCTCCCAACCTGGGACTGTCTGGGCTCTGTCCTGGGTGTTGGGCACTGACCACTCTACCTACAGAGGTGACTGAAGGGTGAGGGTGACTCCCTGTCCTCTTGTGCCCAGGACCGAGGGGTCTCCCAGGATGTAGGACTTTCGGGCAACTGGGACGAATTGGTCGCCCTGTCAGAAAGGCAGACCAGCCTCCCCACCCCCCAGCACCCCCGTGTCTGCCCGTTACTCTCAAGCTTGCTCATCTCTCTGCCCCTTCCCTACCCTTCCTGTCACCTCTGTTCTCTTCTCCACCATCCTATGTCCTCCTGGCTGTGTCTTCTGTCCCTCTGTCCCTGTCCCTAACTGTGCCGCTGCTGTCCTTGTCCCGTGGTGTCCTCACTGTCTGTTTCCCCCGTCCTTATGTCCCTTTCTTTCTTCAGCCTCTTCTGCAAGCTTGCGGCTCTTGTACGGCACCGAGTTTCTCTCTTTGGTAAGTAGCTCCCCGCCCCCAGTTCTTCTCTCTAACCTTCCCTCCCTCCCTGCAATCTCCAACCCCACCCTGAAGAAACAGCTCCCGGTTCAGGCCTCGATTTGAACAACCTCCACCGTGTTGTTCCTCTGGACCCAGACATGGACTGGGTAGTCCTAGGGACAGGGCTGTGCCTGGGACAGCGCTGGGCCCTGCCCTCGTGGAGCCCCCAGGCCGGTGGGGACACAGACTCATCCTCAGACAGTGACGGCCCGAAGGTCAGGGCTGGGATGGGGGAGGTGCAGGCAGAGCGGGTTTGGGGAAGGACCAGGTCCTGTGGGGGTCCAGGTGGAGGTGGGGCAGGGGGGAGGTGGATGTAGGGGGAGGCACTGCCCTTGTAGCCCTTCCTTCGCCCTCTCCCGTCTCCCTTTCCCAGGGACGGATGCCCCAGCTGTGGTCAACTGTCTTCACATCCTGGCGCGCTCCCTGGATGCCAGGTATGGGGCCTGGTGGCCACCCCCGCCCCAAACCCCTGTCCTCCTTGACCTCCTGAAATCCCGAATCTCAGATTCCAGAACTGGCGCGCCCCGGCTTCCCTCCTAGGACGGTGATGAAGTCAGGCCCCGAGATCGTGAAGGCCGGCCTCCGCTCCTTCTTTGAGAGCGCCTCAGAGGACATCGAGAAGATGGTGGAGAACCTTCGTCTGGGCAAGGTGTCCCAAGCACGCACGCAGGTGAAGGGTGTGGGCCAGAACCTCACCTACACCACGGTGGCCCTGCTGCCGGTCCTCACCACGCTTTTCCAGCACATCGCCCAGCACCAGTTCGGAGACGATGTTATCCGTAAGGACCCCTGACCCCAAGGGCAGGACTAGGGCCGGGGGTGGGGTGCAGTTCTGCTGACGCCAGCCATCCCCGTGTGCCCGGCAGAATCCCCAGGTGTCTGAGTGTGCATTCAGTGAATTGGTAGGTAACAGAATGAGACAGAATGAGTTAATGAGGATATAAGTTCGGCAGCTTTTTTTTTTTTTTTAACGTTTATTTATTTTGAGAGACAGAGACAGAGTATGAGCAAGGGAGGGGAGAGACAGAGGGAGACACAGAATCCGAAGCAGGCTTCAGGCTCTGAGCTGTCAGCACAGAGCCCGACGCAGAGCTCGAACCCATGAACCGTGAGATCATGACCTGATCTGAAGTCAGACGCTTAACCAACCGAGCCACCCAGAGACCGCTGAGTTCAGCAGCTTCTAACAAAAGACCCTAAGTCACTGTAGCTTAAACAAGAAAGGGGTGTATTTCTTTCTCATGTAAGAGCCTACTTGTGAGTGCATCACCATGTCAGAAGCCCAGGCTCTCTCCATCTTGTTACCCTGCCATCTTGGAAATACTGCCTTTATCCGCAGGGTCCCGGATGGCACGGCGTTCATTACATCCCCATTCTAGTCTGTAAGAGGAGAGAGGAAGCAAAGAGGAGGGCACTGCAATTCTTTTACAAGAACGACCTAGATGTGGTCTGTGTCACTCCTGCTTACATCCATCTCGTTGGCCAGAATTCAGCATGCGGCCACATGTCACCGCAAGGGGGGCTGGGAAAGTAGCCTTTATTCTGGGAGGTCACGTGTCCAGCTAAACATTGGAGGTCTGTTCCTAAAGAGCAGAGAAATGTTAAGAGCAGATATTGGGAGTCTATTAGCAGCGTCTGCCGTTTTTCTGCTACCGAATGGCACACCTGTTGTGTGACCCAGCCTGGGATCTGGGAGCACAATGTGCACCGTGTGTTAGTGAGACACAGGCAAGATGCAACACCCAGTGGAGTGTCAGGTCCTCAAAAGAAAGAGCCTTATGAGATGTGGTCTGGATTCTGGGGGGGGGGGGGGGCCCGCCCGGCGGGGGGGCTGGTGGGAGAGATGTTCAGGAGGCCGAGGAGATGGGCGGTGGCGGGGAGGTATCCAGAGTGAAGCCCAAGGCCCTGGCCTGCGACACTCGGATAGTGGGGCCTCCAGGATACAGGGACTGGGAGCAGTAACGAGTCTGGGGGAGATGCCAAGGTCAGTCGGGCCAAGGGGCCCAGGGAACACCCTGGGAAGGTGTCCAGGACGGGCCAGCAGGCCACGGGCCGTGGGGATTGGCGGATGCTGAGCCATGTCTCAGTTCACCGTTTCTTTGAAATTAGAACCTTTTGCTAAAAGTAAGAAAAGCTGAACGTGGTTGGGGCCCTTCCCCCACCCTCACGTTTTGTTCAGAGAATTAAAAAATTTTTTAATGTTTATTTATTTGTGAGAGGGAGAGACAGACAGAGAGTGAGTGGGGTAGGGCACAGAGAGAGGGAGACACAGAATCCGAAGCAGGCTCCAGGCTCCGAGCTGTCAGCGCAGAGCCCGGCACGGGGCTCGAACTCACAGACCGAGAGATCATGACCTGAGCCGAAGCCGGACGCTCAACCGGCTGAGCCACCCAGGCGCCCCTATTTAGAGAATTTTCAAGTGTCCAGAAGAGTCAGAAGAAGAGAATTGTTCACAATTTGCCCCGTTTGCTTAACCTTTCACTTTATGAGCAAAAGTATTTGCAGACCTTTTGGTTGAACTTCAGAATGTGAGTTCCACAGACCGTGACACCTCATCCCTAAATACTGAGTCTGCACCTCCTGGAATGAGAACCTTCTGTCTGTCATGTAATCACAATATCATTATCACCACCTAACCTGGCTGGGCTCGAATTTCCCTCATTACTCTCAAAATGTCTTTGATTTAAAAAAAAAAAAAAAAATTCAGAGTCCAGTCAGGTTTTTCTCCTTGCGTTTGGTTGTTATGTCCACGTGTCTCTTCGATCTAGAACTGCCCCCTTGCCCTCTTTTTCTCTCGAGACATTTGTAAAGTTGCTGAGGTCCCTAACCTGGTCTTCCGGGGGTCGGCAGGGGGATGACCTAAAATTATCGTCAGGGTTGGATGTTTGCATTTTTCTGGAGAGTGTCCATCGCTATCATCAAGGAGATCCGTGACTCCCCTCCAAGGAAAGAGCAGCCTTTACGGAGTGCCTGTTGTGTGCCCTGTTCCAACTGGTTTCCAAGCATTAATCTTTTGATCCTTACAACCACCCCGTGAGGAAGATACTATAGGTATCCCCATTTTACAGATAGGGAAACTGAGGCCAAGAGAGTGCTGGCACTTTGCTCAAGTCACAAAACTGGTAAATGGCAGGCTGGCTCTCGACTGCCCAGCTCTTACCCAGTATTTGGAGGTGAGGGAGGAGGGCGGGGGAGGACGGGGATGGTGGGTGCTTCCCCCACCCTCACCCTCCGTCTCTCCCTCAGTGGATGACGTCCAGGTCTCTTGCTACCGAACGCTGTGCAGTATCTACTCTCTGGGAACCACCAGGAACCCTTACGTGGAAAAGTAAGGAGAGAGAGCCATAGTTTGGGGCTGGGGTGGGTGCTGGGGGGATGGGGGAAGGAAGGAGCAGGAGAAGATGGGGGTGGGTGAAAAGCAGAAATGAGCAGTCTTCCACGACGGACATGCTCGGCGGCAGCTGCAGTTCACCGAGGTGGCCACTTGAGGGCACTCGGGGGAAGGCCAGCGAAGGAAGCCCGATCGGCCCCAGGCGCCTGCTGGCCAGGATGGCAGGTGGCTCCCTGCCTGGGTGCAAGCTTGCCCCGGCAGGAGGCACACAGAAGGGAGGGTGGTACACAGGAGTCACAGCACGCTGGGCGCACCGAGGAGGGGCCCTGGCAGTGCCCGTGTGGGTGGGCTCTCCTGAGCTGGGATCACCAGTTAGAGCGAGAGGGCACATGAGAACCCAGGGAAAAGGCCACGTTCATGCTTTGGGTGGACGGCTGGGCTCCAGAGAGTTCTGGGAAGACACACTCCTGTGGAGACGGAGGCTGGGACGCAGCACCGGGCGGAGGGCGTGTCAGAGCTAAGCAGCCCCCTCTTCCAGGCTGCGGCCGGCCCTCGGGGAGTGCCTGGCCCGCCTGGCAGCGGCCATGCCGGTGGCGTTCCTGGAGCCTCAGCTGAACGAGTATAACGCCTGCTCCGTGTACACCACCAAGTCTCCCCGGGAGCGGGCCAGTAAGTGGTGTGGGGCTGGGGCGGGTGTGAGGAAACGTCCTACCCAGCACGGGCCCGGGGGAGGGCCCGCTTTGGGGGGGCTCCGAGGGCTGAGGATTCCCCAGGTTGGGGGCACTCCAGACTGGAGGATTCTGGAGCCCGTCAGGGCCTGGGTGTGTGGTGGGGACGCCGAGGTCTGGGAGTGATGGGTTGGAATGCCCTGACCCCTCTGTGCACCCCAGTCCTGGGGCTCCCCAACAGCGTGGAGGAGATGTGTCCTGACATCCCGGTGCTGGAGCGGCTCATGGCGGACATCGGGGGGCTGGCCGAGTCGGGGGCCCGCTATACAGAGATGCCACACGTCATCGAGATCACGCTGCCCATGCTGTGCAGCTACCTGCCGCGCTGGTGGGAGCGTGGGCCCGAGGCCCCCCCGCCCGCCCTGCCCGCGGGGACGCCCCCGCCCTGCACAGCTGTCACCTCTGACCACCTCAACTCCCTGCTGGGGAATATCCTGCGAATCATCGTCAACAACCTGGGCATTGACGAGGCGTCGTGGATGAAGCGGCTCGCCGGTGGGTCTGGGGGGGGGGGGGGCACCAAGCTCCTGAGGACTGGGGCCGAAGCGTCCTGGGGCTCGGGCCTTTTGATCTCATGGTCTGAGAGGGAGATCCCCGGGGTCTGTGTTTTCCTGGGAGTTGGCAGGAGTCAGAGTCCAGGTTTTCTCAGGCTCAGAAGGCGAGGAGTCATCACAAGCGGTCAGAATTTCGGGCTCTGAGGGCCTGGGGTGGATGGATGGGTCCTGGAAGTCCTCCAGGCCGGATTCTGAATTGCTAGAGCCTTGGAGAGGGTTAGGAATTGGGTCAGAGGCCTGGGTTCCTTATACAGAGGGTCAGAGAACCAGGTCACGCATCAGGGGCCCTGATACAGAGGGGTTTGTAGGTCAGAGGTCAAGAAATGGGCCTTTAAAGGGATGGGATTCCCGGTTCAGAAGTTCTGTGTCAGAAACTGGGCCAAGCTAGAGCTTGGGGGCTGGGCTCAGAGGCCGGGGTCAGAGGTCAGAGGCTGGGGTAAGAAACCAGGGGTCATAGTCAGAAATCACACAGTGAGGTAAGAGTTTGGGTAGGGGCTAGGTCACAGGTCAAAGATTAGGGTGAGAGGTCGTAGCCCAAGGTAAGCTATCAGGTTATGAGTCAGTCACGGGGGGGTCAGAGGTGGCTGGCATCACAGGTTCAGGTCAAGGGCTGTGATTGGGACCAGGCGTCAGGGGCCGTGTCAGAGGTCAGGGCCCGAGCTCAGGCGTGGGATCCAAGGTCGTAGGTCAGGTGCTGGAGTTAGAGGCTGGCCGGCAGCGCGTGACCCTCCGTCCGCCTCGCCCCCGCAGTGTTCGCCCAGCCCATCGTGAGCCGGGCCCGGCCGGAGCTGCTGCATTCACACTTCATCCCCACCATCGGGCGGCTGCGCAAGCGGGCGGGGAAGGTGGTGGCCGAGGAGGAGCAGCTGCGCCTGGAGGCCAAGGCGGAGGCCCAGGAGGGCGAGCTCCTGGTGCGGGATGAGTTCTCTGTGCTCTGCCGGGACCTGTACGCCCTCTACCCGCTGCTCATCCGCTACGTGGACAACAACAGGTCAGCAAGTCTCCGCCGTCCCCGTGCACGTTCAGCCTGACCTTGGGCTTCCCGGAGCCCCATCTGACCCGTCACCTTCTGAGTTACTATAAACTTTTTCCAGCTCTCACCCACCCCCCCCAACCTTCTGACCACCCCCCCCCATTGCCTCTGGCCCCACAAAATCCAGCCCGCGGGTGTCTGCTCCCCTTCTTCTCCTTCACACCTCCTGAGACCCAGCCCCCGCGAGGCCGCCCCCGGGCTTGGGTGGATGGGGCTGATTCGCGCAGTTAGGCCAATGGTCAGGCCTTCCTCCGTCACTGAGGGGAAACGAAGATGGTCCAGATCTGGCCGGACTTTCCTCAGAAACAGGCCTTTAAGAGAAGCAAGAGCAGGTGCAGCACCTGGGTGGTTCAGCCCACTGAGCGTCCAACTTCAGCTCAGGTCGTGATCTTGCAGTTTGCGGGTTCGAGCCCTGCATCCAGTTCGCTGCTGTCAGTGCAGAGCCCGCTTCGGATCCTCTGTCCCCCTCTCTCTCTGCCCCCCACCCCCACCCCCACTCATGCTCTCTCTCTCTCTCTCTCAAATTAAAAAAAAATTTTTTTTAAGTCAATAGCAGGGGCCCCCGGGTGGCTCAGTCAGTTAAAAGTGTCCGACTTTGGCTCAGGTCATGATCTCACGGTTCACGAGTTCGAGTCCCGTGTCAGGCTCTGTGCTGACAGCACGGAGCCTGGAGCCTGCTTCTGATCCTCTGTTCCCCTCTCTCTGTGCACCCCCCTGCCCCGCTCATGCTCTCTCTCTCTCAAAAAGTAAAAAAAAAAAAAAAATTTTTTTAAGTCAAAAGCAAGAACAGGTATCAACCAATTGCTAACATCTCCCTAAAATCAGAAGCACAGTTCGGAGAATTATTAACTCCTAGGGCAGCCTAATCCAGGGATAGTGAATACGTTTCAACTCCTAGTTCCATCCTGGTTGAAAAGATTTTCGGGTTGCATCAGGGCTTTGTAAGAAAGGGGGCTCTGATTGATTAGCTGTGCCTGTCACGGGAGCAGAAATGGGAAGCATTGGTAGGAATGTTGTATACACCCATGCACACCCCTCTTCACACTCACGACGGGGCGTATTACTGTAGTGTAGGTTCCCAGGAGTCCGTGCACCGCATCGGAGAGTTTGAACAAATAAATTGTGGTGCATTCCCACCGTGGAATACTACACAGCAATTAAAATGAACAAATTATTGCAGCATACAACGATGTGGATGAATGTCGTAAATGTCAGGTCGAAGGAAGCCAGGAAAAATAAAAATAGAGTACCTATTACATCTATTCATGTAACGTTCAAGAGCAGACAAAAATAATCCATGGTCAGCATAAGGGTCATCCAAATGAGGGAGAAAGGAGTGGCTGGGAGGGGCGTGAAGATACTTCTGGATTCTGGAAATGTTCTATTTCTTTTTTTTTTTAAATTTCTTTTTTTTAAATTTACATCCAAATTAGTTAGCATACAGTGCAACAATGATTTCAGAAATAGATTCCTTAGTGCCCCTTACCCATTTAGCCCATCCCCCTTCCCACACCCCCTCCAGTAACCCTCAGTTTGTTCTCCATATTTATGAGTCTCTTATGTTTTGTTCCCCTCCCTGTTTTTATATTATTTTTGTTTCCCTTCCCTTATGTTCATCTGTTTTGTCTCTTAAAGTCGTCATAGGAGTGAAGTCATATGATTTTTGTCTTTCTCTGACTAATTTCACTTACCATAATACCCTCCAGTTCCATCCACGTCGTTGCAAATGGCAAGATTTCATTCTTTTTGATTGCCAAGTAATACTCCATTGTGTGTATATATATATATATATATATATATATATATATATATATACACCACATCTTCTTTATCCATTCATCAGTTGATGGACATTTGGGCTCTTTCCATACTTTGGCTACTGTCGATAGTGCTGCTATAAACATGGGGGTGCATGTGTCCCTTCGAAACAGCACACCTGTATCCCGTGGATAAATGCCTAGTAGTGCCATTGCGGGGTCAAGGGTAGTTCTCTTTTTAGTTTTTTGAGGAACCTCCATACTGTTTTCCAGAGTAGCTGTACCAGCTTGCATTCCCGTATATTTTTCTTTAGTGTTTATTATTTTTGAGAGAGAGCACAAGCAGGGGAGGGGCAGAGAGAGAGAGAGGGAGACACAGAATGCGAAGCAGGCTCCAGGCTCCGAGCTGTCAGCACAGAGCCCGACTTGGAGCTCGATCTCACAAACTGCAAGATCATGACCCCAGCTGAGGTCGGACGCTTAACCGACTGAGCCACCCAGGCGCCCCTATTTTTTGACTTGGGTGGTGGTTACAACAGTGTGTTCACTTTGTGATAACCATCAAGCTGACACTTTATGTTATACTTCAATAAAAAGGTTAGAGATAGAAAAAAGGACTTCCTTTTTTTAAAGGAATGGGTAAGATGTTTAGATCATCTGAATGGCCAGCTTACCCTAGAAAACTCCATCCCATCCCTCCCGTTGGAATCTCCAGGTCCCCCCCCATCCCCTCCCCTGAGAGCTCTCTGTGGGGCGTCCTCTCCTGGGGGTCCCTGCCCCCATCCCTCACCGGCCCCTTCCCTGCCCACCCAGGGCGCACTGGCTGACGGAGCCCAACCCCAGCGCCGAGGAGCTGTTCAGGATGGTGGGCGAGATCTTCATCTACTGGTCCAAGTCCCACGTGAGTCCCCGTCCTCCCTGGCCCTCCTTCCCATGACCCTCACTGCCCCGTCTGATCCTGACACTGCCTCCCCCACCAGAACTTTAAGCGTGAGGAGCAGAACTTTGTGGTCCAGAATGAGATCAACAACATGTCATTTCTGACCGCTGACAACAAGAGCAAAATGGCCAAGGTGGGTGCTTTGCTCTGAGAGCACGTAGCAGGGAGGGCGGGAGCACCCTCCAGGCCTTCCCACCTGACCTCTTCACCAGCTAGCCTTCCCTGCCCTGGCCACGTTCCCGCAGCCACCACAGCACCCCATCTCCCCCGCCTCATCTCCTCCCTCCTCCTCTGTCTTTTCCCTTCCCCCCATTTCTCTCTTCTTCCTCCATCTCCTCCCTCCTCCCCATCTCCCTCCTCCTCATCTCACTCCCTATCCCCCTCCTCCCATCCCCCTCCTCCCTATCTCTCCTCTCCCTCTTCCCCATGCCCTTCCTCTCCCTCTTCCCCATGCCCTTCCTCTCCCTCCCCATCACCCTCCCCCCCTCTCTCCTCTCCTCCTTCCTCTCCATCTCCCTCCTCTGCCTCCTCCCCATCTCATCCTTTCTCTCCTCCTTCCTCCCCTCTCCTCCCACTTTCCCCTCCTCCATTCCCTCCCTCACCCCAATATCTTCCTCTCCCATCTCCTCATTATCCCATATGCCCCCTCTCCTCTACCCTTAACTTCTCAGCACTGCCCTCTCCAGGGGCCTACAGACCAAACCCACCCGCCCATTTCCACTCAGGGTCTGGAAATGCCCAGCTAGGGGCTGTGTGTCGGGCTGGGGCAAGGGGGCTGGGGTGGGGCCCACTTGAAGTTGGGCCTAGGGTTCTCTGAGGGGCCGGGGTAACCCTTCTTGTCTTTGTCTGCACCCTGACGAAGCAGGCGGGAGATGTACAGGTCAGCCCCACGTCTGGGACCTTCCGCATGCCTCTTGGCTTAATTCCCTCTTCTCCCCCACACCCTGGCTTCTGCATCCCCTCCAGAAAATTCCTGCCCCTGTTCCCCGCCCCTCGCCCTTGGCTCTCAGCCCCCATCCTTCTTCTCTCCCCCATCCCCACTCCCAACTACACATTCCCTTCCCAACGCTCAGCTTTTGCCAATTTAACTTTTTTTTTTAACTTTTGTTAAAAAAAAAAAATCTCTCAGCTTTCCTCAAAGCAGCGAAGCATTGTGGTCTGAGGTCAAGGGGAATGGGAATGGGGTGGGAAAGGCACGCGCACGGTTGGGCTTAAGGCTTGGGCTCCGGAACCAGGCAGACTTGGGTTCAAATCCTGACCCTTGGCAGTTGGCTGTGCGACCTTAGTCAAGTGGCTTATTTTCTGAGCCTCGGACGGCATCTGGCCGGTGGCCCCCGGGGCCCCGGGGCTCTGCATGTGGTCTCAGCAGTGTCTGCCTCACACACAGGCCGTGCTCCGTATTGCGAGCCGGAGTGAATGTGGCTCCGGCCGAAGCTTGTCACTGGGGCTTCTCGTTGGCATGACTGGGGTGGCCCTGGCCCTGGGTCCGCACCCAAGGCTCCAGAACACGGCTGTGGGACTCTGTGCCCCGTGTTTCTGCTTCCAGACCTCTCTGGATCTCTCTTACATCTTCTGTCTTCCTGTCTCCTTGTCTGCCTGAGTCTCTCAGTGTCTCTCTTTTTCTCCCAACTTCTTTTGTCTCTTGAGACTCTTTACGGTTCTGCATCTTTATTTCATTCTGGGGACCTCACTCTTGGGATATCAAGTGTAGGGTTGCGCATGTTGTGGGGGAGGGGAGGTGCCGTACTGAAAGTTGTTAGGGGATTCTGGGAGAAGACTGCCAGAGGTTGGGAAAGGCCCAGAATTTGGGGAAATCTGGAATTTGGGATAGAGATTGGGAACTGGGGACAGAGGCTCGGTCTGGGAGGGTCTGGGGTGAGGGCTGGGGGCCTGAAGTGAAAGATCAGCAAGGTCTGGGGTGGAAATGGATGCGGGCTCTCAGATGGGGGAGGGGATGCCCGGCACCCAGGCTGCGGGCTGGAGCCCAGGCCGTGGACAATGGCACAGGTTGGGGCTGAGGCCTGGGGCCTGGGGCCTGGGGCCGGGCTGCTAGTCGGGCTGGTGCTGAGCCCCATGTCCCCACAGTCAGGTGGCTCGGACCAGGAACGCACGAAGAAGAAGCGCCGAGGGGACCGGTACTCTGTGCAGACGTCACTGATTGTGGCCACGCTCAAGAAGATGCTGCCCATCGGCCTGAACATGTGTGCGCCCACTGACCAGGAGCTCATCGTGCAGGCCAAGAACCGCTACGCCCTGGTGCCTGCACAGCCCCGTTACGGGAACCTGCCAGCACCCTGCTCAGCACCCCACCAAGCCCCCAGGACCCTACTGAACCCCCAGGATCCCATTGGGAGTCCTCTCTTGGGACCCTAATGAATCTTTCTCCAGGACACTGAGGACTCATGGGATCCCCTGGGATGCCCTGAACCTTCCCCTAGGTTGCTGAGAATCCAGGGCTCTGCCCAATACCTTAGGATACTGGGCAAAGCCCTGGGACCTAAGGATCCTAATTGGAACCCCATCGAAACCCAGGAATATCATTAAGACCCCTGGGATCCAAGGACCATATTGAGCCTTCAAGGACCCTCCTGAACACCCTCCCCCAGAACCATGCCTAACCCGTTAGGACCCTGAAGGCCCCACCAGAGACACCATGAGCCCCCCTGAGACGCCTCTGAGTCCTCCACCCGGACCTCCCATTGGGACCCATTGAGTCCTCCATGATCCCACCGGCCCTCCCCTGAACCTCTGGGTCCACACTGAGCTCTCCAGCTCACCAGCTCTTTCCCTCAGGACCCTGCTGACCCTGCCCTCTGGGCTCTGTTGACTCTCAGGGTTCCAGTGAGCACTCTGATCTTAAGTATCCCCCAGGATCCTAATGGCTCCTTCCCCAGAACCACACCCAAAACTGTGATGTATCAGGATTCCTGAGATCAACTGATCCCACTCTCTGAACCCCCTGAGGCTCCAAGGAGGACTCTCAGGATCCCATGTACCCTTAGTATGGAATAGCATCCCCCATCCTTACCAGCCTCAGGGATCCTGAGAAGTCCTTCCAGGACCCTGCCCAAGACCCCTTGAGTCTCCCCAGGACTCTGCTAAACACCCTGACAACCTATTAACTCCTCTGGGGCCTCGAAGACCCCTGACTCCCCCTGGTATCACAAACACCCTCTTTCCTGGAGCCCTAAAGTCTCCTCCCTTCAGGACCTCAGTCTACTCCTAGGACCTGCTGAGTCTTGCCAAGAACCCACGGAGCCCTCCAGGGCCCCTCTGACCCCTCAACTTGGTCTTTGAGGGCCCCTCTTCTCTGGGAATCCCCCCCGCTGACCCTTCTTTGGCCTCCATGAAAACCCTACTGGTGACTTGGTTGATCTGCCTGATCCCTCATGACCTCTGCTGATCTTGTTGTCTCCCTTATACTCCCCCCCCCACCTCCTTTGATCTTCAAAAACTCCCTGCCCATCTCGCAGCCCCACTTTGACCCTCCTCTGACCTCCAATAATCCCTCGGTGGCCTCAGTTGACCTTTGAGGACATTCTCTCATCACTCCCTACCTCCACTCGCATCCCCACAAGGCCCTTCTAATCCTTACTGTCTCTTCAACGTGCATCTGTGGCCTCTAGGACTCCCTTCTGACAATTCCTGACCATCGGACCCTTTCAGTTTCTCCCAGATGCCCCCCTCCCCACAAGCCTCTCGCCAGCTGCTGGGATGATGGGCCTGGAAGGGAAAGGGATGTGGGTTAAGGAGGATGCTGGGCCATCAGAGTGACCCAGTCTGGCCATGTCTCCCCAGAAAGACACAGATGAGGAGGTCCGGGAATATCTGCAGAACAACCTTCACCTTCAGGGAAAGGTACCCTCCTTAATCTGCAACCAAAAGGGGCACGTTAGGACAGTAGCAACAATAATAAGCCAAGTATACTTACTCTGTACCAGGCAGGGTGAGAAGGACCTTAACGTGTACTCACCCACCGAATGAATGGTCAGAATGAATGGTCACGGCACCGAAAGGGGGGCGGGGCAGCCAGAGAAGCCCACCTCAAGCGAGCGGAGGGGCCCTCAGACGAGCCCGGCTGGGGACCCGGGAGCCAGCAGGGGGAGGGACCCTCACGCCGGCCGCCGTTCTTCCCTCCCGTCAGGTGGAAGGCTCCCCTTCTTTGCGCTGGCAGATGGCCCTGTACCGGGGCCTCCCGGGCCGTGAGGAGGACGCCGACGACCCCGAGAAGATCGTGCGCAGGGTCCAGGAGGTGTCTGCGGTGCTCTACCATCTGGAGCAGGTGGCTGGGCTGGAAGGGTCTTGGGAGGGGGCGGGGAGCTGGGGTCTCTGGGCGGGGCAAGGGGCGGGCCTTGAATCTGTGGGCGGGGTCTGAGGGTGAACCTTGGGTCTCTGGGCGGAGCCTGGAGTTAAATGCGAGGCTTTAGAAGGGAATTTGGGAACCCCAGGGGAAGGACCTGGTGCTTAGATCTCGGGCCTAGGGGCGGGGTCAGGGTCAGAATTCGGGGTCTAGAGTGGGGCCTGGTGAAGACGCCTTGACTCTGGGCAGGACCGTGGGTGGGTCTCTGGATGGTGACGGGCCTGGGTAGTGACCCTGGGCCTGTGGGCGGGCCTAGGACAGACATTTTGGTCTGGAAGCAAAGCCCAGGTTCGAACCTTGACTCTCTTGGTACGGCCGGGGAGTTCCTACAGCCCTGTGAGTTGGACCTGAATTTGGGCCTGGGCATAGATGGGCAGTTTCACCCAGGGGGTCTGGGGTAGGAATCAGATCGGGGTAGAGGCGGGGACATGACAGATTGCCGCCCGCGCCCCCCCCCCCGCCCCCCCAGATCGAGCACCCTTACAAATCCAAGAAGGCCGTGTGGCACAAGCTCTTGTCCAAGCAGCGCCGGAGGGCGGTCGTTGCCTGTTTCCGCATGACCCCCCTGTACAACCTGCCCACGTAAGACCCCCAGGGTAGAAGGAAGCTTGAGGGGCGGTGGAGAAGGGCTGGCTGAGGAGGCGGGCGGACAGAATGCCGACTCGATGGGGCGTTGGGGAATGGTTGGGAAGGTAGATGTGTGGAAGGACAGAGGAGGCGTGGAGCGGGGATGGTCTCAGTGATGCCACACACCTCCTCCCCTCCCCCCCCC